TTCCCTCCGGTTAATTAGTGGAGATATACACCCTTTTGAGAGATCCAGAATGCCAACCTTACCTACGAAAGCGCAGATGGACCTGCAACTAGCCTCCAAGATCAACGTTGGTAGATCTCAAGCAAACCAGCCGCCTGGACAAGGCTTTCATTTACCGAGAGCCGAAGCTGAACTGGGTCATTTGGAGAGTATGGGACTGATGAGGGTCTCCTGTAGATAAAGGTGTTATCTGTCGGGCTCTGAAGCGACCGTTGTGACGCTGGTGCTGCTCGACAGCATGATGGCTCCTAATGGCTCCCACCATCCGTGGTCCATGCCTTATGCCTACTTTAAAGGTAGATTAGTATTGATGCCATTGGTGAATATAATTCTATGGGCTGGAGGTATGTCAAGTCTAGTGAGTAAGACGTTTCGGGCGAGTTTCTGTGACGACGAAGGTTCCCCAAAGCGTGAGGGGACCTACGCGATATTGGTGCCTATACGCTGGGGGACTTCAACATGACTTGCAACGAGGTTTTATTAATCACGAGAACCTTAGTCAGAGTACAAATGAAGGACGAGCTCGATTCAAAGCGCCAACTTTGAAGTGGATTTTCACGCGCTACGTTCATGTTCTCAGGAGCCATATCCACCTCTACACTGCGAACAGATGTTCAGATGATCATCCGCAGATTCTTCCAGCCGACGGTATGTCGTTGAAGAAGTCAAGGCTATTTGGAAAACCCAGAAGCATGATGACTGACATGCCAACGTGATGCGTCACGCGTATGTGCTCAAAGGACTCGTGCGCAGGACGTGACTCAACGAGATGCGTCCCACGTCTGCTTCGACACTTTCCGCAACAACTCCCCCAATCTGAACGGCTGAACCAACCAACAGCATGCAAAGAGAATGTGGACTGTCAGTAGTCTCACAAATGAGTCGCCCCTTACGGTCACCAAAGATTGAATGCGTGTTTCCTTCCAGCTGCTTACCTAACGCCGCATTTCACTTCATCTTCACTTGCCCTGCTCAGGCACACTCTCCAAGTTCCTTCCCAACTTGCAGAGTTCTCTTCCGTCATCTCGTCTTCACCCCCTCTTCTTCCCTCCCGTCTATCTTTCGCCGCTTTCTTTTTCTCCGTTTGCTCATTTTTGACCAAGCAATCGCACGAGAAGAGTCCTCTCCAACGCCTCGGTATCGTCCCAATTTCTGCCAGCGCTTTATGTAACATCGGCGCTGACATTGTGGTCCAGATCTTTGACGACTTCCACGATCCATGCCACTCAAGTCGATATTGGTATAGATGCTCGCCATCTCGCCCACGACGTGACAGATCCCTTCGTGTCGCTTCTCCTGCCTCCCCTCTCCATCGTCGACACCAATCTTCGAGATCACACCTCCAGCGGAGATGGAAGTCAGAGACCTTCATTTCATGCATATCCTGAGCGGAGATACGGGCAGCTTTCGACGCATTCAGCCGCTTCGACCACGAACATCACAAGCACCCTTTCAGCTTCTAGTATTACCGCTACATCCCTGGCCTGGGCTGTTTGGGAGGATGGAGTTGCTTGCTTCTGGCAAGTTGCAACGGCCGCTGGCCTGTTCTACCTCACGGTACTTCTCATGTCCCTTCCCATTGCTAAATCTTCTGGCTGTCCAATGGCTCCGTAGTTGGCGGGTTCAACAGAAAGGCTTTGCACTAGAGTCTTGTTGCCCTGATCTGACGCATTCCTCCATGACAGAGGCGCCTGCTAAACGCCCCGCGAGAGCAACTCTCACATGCTGCCTTGACAGATCACACTTCAATAGCCTCGTCGTGGGCGACATCACCAGCATCCCCAGCTGCTCCCACGTCGATGCAAGAGGCACGCACATCTGACAGCAGGGGCGATACACACGACCTTAGGGGTAAGGTCTATCGCTGGTATCTCTGGGCTTATCAGCAACGCCCATGACATTTTCTATGGCAGATCGGTCAACGGAAAGTCTGGTTTGATGACATCCTTGATAGTTGCCTTACGGTGACTCCAGGTACGCCTATGGCATTGTTGCCGCGAGGGAGTTTTTGGTCCCTTTGCGCGTGAACACATTGCAGGGAAGGGTCACTAATTCATTCGAGTTTCTTCTAGACGCAGCACCGAACAAACGATACGCAAACGTTACCGCCTGCTCACTCGGCTGCTACCGACCAGTCGAGCGGACCTACTGTCGGCTCGTTACAAAGCCCTTCTCAAGGATGTAGCCAACACTGCGGTAGAGAATGTCTGACCGAACTCCGAGTGAACGGCCGGTCACAAGTACCGCGCTGTTAGACGGAATGTACGAAGAAGTGCGTCGCCACCTGCGGCTCCAAATTACATGAGAAGCCTTGGATTCATCTGCAAGGCGGCCTTACGTGATGCGCAAGACCAGGAAAAGCAGCTCTGGTCAGTGGTACATGAGTCCAGGAGTTCTCTAGTCGATATCTCTCTGAATAGTGCCAGAGGCTCCATGGATGCATCTAAGATCTGGAATGGAATATCGCCATTGACAGTCGGTCAGCCGTCCCCCCTGCACCAGACACCTGTGTAGGCAATCGCTCACATGTTGCAGCTGGTCAGACTCCTTTCGGTCGTCGAGCTCGTGCAAAGTCGGAAGACACGGTCGCCGAGGACCTCGCTCAGCTTTCAGGTCACAGAAGCCGCCTGTCAGTCTCGCATGTCACGGCCGGCCATACAGACCACGGCAAGGGGCGGTTCACTGGGAAGATGATTGATGTTGACATCGATACCTGACCTTCACTTACGCGCATACTCTCATTGAGGAAGATCAGTGAGTCCTTCCTGTGGGCGAGATTACTCCAAAGTACAATTGTGTTGACGAGACCTTCAACTGTCATCGTCGCCCTCGAGGCTGCTGTGTGCCTCGAACCCCACCACCAGCTCGAGCTGCATCGCAGAGATGCCGACTGCTGCCGAAGTATAGTGAAGCACCCTCACGAGGCAAATACCACTTTTCGGCTGTCACGGTATCATACCATGCATTTGCGCAGTCATATGCTCACCGTGAAGGACAGACCGATCGCCCGCAGCTCAACCCAGCCTTCACCGCTACGACGCTCTTCACTCACACGATGTCCAAGGGGAAAAGACTCCTCAAGAACACGTTCTACTTATGCTGATGGTTCCGTTCGTAGCTTCTCCGGGGTGCGAAAGCCTTCTTGCATAGGCGATGTTGCTACGATCGCAATGTCAAGGTATGAGCTCGACACTCTTAATCTTAGCGTTCCCAAAGTTGCCAGTCGTCTATGGCCACAGCGGAAAACCCTTGGCAAGTCTAACTTTAGCTATTTCAAAATGGTATGCGCATGCTCTGGAGACTGACATCGGGTGTGACGAGCATACGTTGTCCAGAACCAAGCCGCGCCGTTAGGGTCGCCGAAAATAATTGCGGCAGTGGGCGGTTAGCTATATCATCGCTCTTCTAAAGCTCGACTGTTTCGAGGTGAGAGGCGTTTGGCGCCGACTCCATATAGCGCTTGCTCTTCCGCTGCCGTCTGCTCAAGGCTTCATGGCTCACAGCGTCATAGATCTTCACCGCTGCCCGCAGCATCAACTGTCCGATGAGCTGCGTTGATTCCGGTTCGTCCGTGCGTTTATACGCATCGTCATCCAAGCTCAGCCTTTTTCAGATCCCGGGCAATGACAGTCTGAACTTCAGGTATGAGAATCGTGTGCTGAACAACAAGCCACCCTGATTTGCGATGGCACAAGATGTCCTCACACACCTACGATGGCTGCTGCTGCAGCTCTTTCTCCGTCTAAAGTTCATCAACGTGAAATGTGGCATTGCCAGTGCATCCCCCATCCAAACTCCGCTGTACCATTGCGGGACCCAGGCCCTCAAAGCTCAGCGCGTCGGGTTGGCACAGCTATCGCGGCGACATGTCGCAGGGTAAAATATCATTGTGCGCTGCACAATTTGTACGATGGCTTACCGACTGCATGCAGCCCACTGGGTGAAGAATGACGTCTTGGGGCCGTACAGCCATGACTTGAGCTATTCAGCCGGCTTGTTGAAGCGAAGTAAGCTTGATACTTGACCTCACTAACTGTCGAACAAAAGTAGTGGAACCTCGACGACCTGACGTCTGTATCAGCGTCAGATCCTCAGTCACCGCCAATTTCTTATCAAGGTCATGGTCACCCTATCATCAGTCGACATACCATATATTGGGCCAAGTTCACGGAACCTCCCACTTGAAATACGCCTGATGCCTCACGAAAACTAATACAACGGGCCGTCGATCACTATACGATATCTGCTTCGTATTCAACCAGAGACCATGCGGCCATATTGGGGCTGCAATTCTACCAATGAGCTGAGAATGAGGTCGAAAAGTTGTCTGAAGTTCAAATGATACGCCTGAGTCGCTTTTCGCCCGCGACGTCATGTCCAAGAAGGACGTGGCATCCGGTTATATCTGACTCGTTGTTATTGATTGACATTGCATGAAAGCATCGCTAATCCCATACATACATGACGAGTATTCCGTGCAGCTGATTATGATTTATCGTGCCAGCATCTCCCAATGACGTTCTCGAGTAAGTTTCCTACTGTTGCATGTAGTCCTTTCACCTCGGCTGTTCTGGGCAGGAGCTACCACAACCGACGACCACGCCGACCCGTGACAAGAAGAAACTTGCCCGGTATGAGGACCAATAGTGGCTAACGAACCTTTGTCTATATCTGCCTCTGAGCCCCAGATGCCGCTCGTACACTGACAAAGCGGCCCCCTGGCGTGCCGATATCGATGTTATGTTAGAGGATCTCAAAGACATAAACCACTGCTGCAGCTTATGAAGGCCAACAGATAAAGACACGGTCAATTTGAGAGATCCAACTATGCAGGTAAGCAATGGAGGCCATCGCCATAGCCAGACCCAACTGCACCCATTTCGAGTTTACCGCCAATCTCAAGGTTCATTGCCGGCTTCCAGAGTTGCTGAACAAAGTTTGCGATGAATTATATAATAAAGTTGCCTGTTCAATCCCTACGAATATTGGAGATTTCGAACAGTTGCAACAACAAAACAAGCCCACGCCGCCAAATCTACAGTCAAACCCCTCCAAGTGTGAATCTTCAACCATTCATCCAGATCATTTGTGCTCTGTCCATTCGAGCTATCTTCGATGATAGCCTGTATTTTCGGTGCAACAGCAGGTACAAAGGCAAGATGGCTGGCTGCTAAAGCCATGCCAGCCGTATACCAGCGTAGAGACCCATTCGCCCAATGCGAATCATGGTTGACGAAGCAAGTGGCGAAAGAAGAAGACAGCGTCAGCGAGATTAGGACCAGGACGCGGGTGACACCGCCACGGAAGAAAAAGCGAAAGTATGTCGGCAGCAAGTCATTACTCTTCGCACGGAGTTCGGGCTTGTTGAAGATGTGCAGGAAGAAGTGCTGATCCCATGCGAACCAAAGGGAGCAGGTTGATGTAAGGAGAGGGGCGGCACGTAAAGCTGCCACGGGATCGAAGAAAGCTTTCGAGGCCATCTTTGAAGCAATGAAGAATGGTCCGCGGGGTCTGATAGATGAAACTGGAGATGAATTGGAGACGAAGAATGGTGAGTGATTTGGAGGGATAATCGAATGATGTTGACGTGCCAGTTCTATCACGTGATAGAAACCGCCCATAAGGTGTTATTACACAGACACGGATCTCACGGGAAGGAGCTGTTAGCTGTACCCATTGAAGGATGATGCTTTACATAATAACTCCGGTGCGCGACTACCATCTAGTAAACGTAAGGTAGTGATCACAATCTCCTGTCTCCGGCTTCCGTATATCCGGTTCCCATTGTGCGTTAGCTTCCGGGCAGGTACTTCACCTAACCATCCGCGGTCGTGTCACAGAGCAGGATAACCGGGGCACACGACGACTGTAGTGAGTTGTAGTGCCGGTCGCAGTGCCAACAAAAACAAATCGCCAGCCGATTGGGTGAGAAAGACCGGGCGAGAAAGGAGCATGTAGCCGAGCTTGTCCACTCAAACACTACATCCTGGGGATAACTGGTCTGACGCCATGAGTGAAGAGCCTGGGAGTATGCTATTGGACTTGAGTGAAGATTTGAAGAGAGTGAAGAGGAATGAAGAGACGAACCTGCCTCGAGACTCGCCATTTGATGAGCTTCGCGGCAGGTGTAGTAGATTGAGGCAATCCAGCAACAGGCTCAGGAAGAAGTGATAGCCCGCTGGCCGAGTGAAAGTCGATGCTTGTGAAAGATGACATGTGACTAGACCTGCGCGTCATCGTGGCGCCCGCGGACCAGCGCTTCGAGATGCGGTTTGAAGGGCATAATGTTTCGGGCAAACAGGAGCCTGTCGTCGCAGTGGGCGGAGGCTGGCATCATGGTCAACCAACTCTTGAGATGTTGATACACATTGAGGTGTGATGCAGAACGCTTCCAGGAGTCCAATGCTTTCACCTTTCAATTTGGCCATGGAAGATTGAGGCTCTCGAAGACACCACGGCTCTATGCAGATATGCTCACCCCGCACTCTATCAAAGCTCATCTACGGCATCGAATCAGCGAAATTGAGTCCATCAGTTGCACCACCATCTGGACAGTTAACGACCGGGTGCGATTAGCTGAGCACTCTCGTGCAAGCAACAGCTCCGGCGGACCTCGACCTTTCAGCCACGATATCGCGAACATTCAAGGCTACAAGTGCTCGGATGGATGGAACTTTCTGAGGACTTGAGATATCTTTCCATTCATGGAATTCATTGGAATTTACTTGGATACATCTGGTCTGGTCAGCAACGCAGCCGCAATATTCACATTCACAACCGAGGTGATACAGGGTGGCTCGCAAAGGAATTACAGCATAAATCAGGAATCGACACCTTACGCCTGCACCTTCAGCACAAGAAACCTAGGGGACTGAGGAGATTACCTTTAAGATAAAACAGTTCGACAATAAGAACGTCTAGTCCAACAACTTCAAGGCAAAGACTGGTTAGTACTGTAACAACGTCATGAGTTGTCGATGCTACATTGTCCCCCCTCACCTTTTCCGGGCCATCGCCCAATCTCCTCTAAACCCCGAACACGTCCGCAAAGCCGCCGAGGCCTCTCTGGCTGCACACGACCACATCTCTGCTGCTCGTCAAGAACGTACTTGGAAGATTCTCCAGGAGAAAAAGAGCAACAGAAATGCACGCGTCCAAGCTTCGCCGTTCGTCCCTGAGAGTCTCCTTCAACGACTCTCAGCCTCAGATGCGGTAGATGAGGCGTCGAGGACTCGTGCGAAGAGAGATCTGCGCCATCTCCAGGGACTCATGGGTAGAGCCAAACAAGGTATCTTGAATCGCCATCCCTGATTCCGATCAATCTCGCTGACATTTCATAACAGTTGGTGCTGACGCGAAAGGTACACAAGAAGCAGCCTCCAGAACTGTCGCCCACAACAACGTGTACAATGCAAGCAACACATGGGACGACGAGAAGCTCCCCGGTAGACTCGAACGTGCCCAAGGCGAACCTCCGGCCAAGGACCTAGACGTCAACAAAGCCTATGACAACGTGGGCCATGTCCTGAGGTTCTACGAGCAACACTTTGGCTGGAAATCTATCGACAACCAGAATGCGCCCGTGACATGTTCAGTTCACTTCGGTGAACACTACGGGAATGCCTGTAAGCCTTGCTCACCCCTCTTTATGTGGCACAAGTTAAGGAGGATGCTGGTTAGTCTGGTCTCCGGAGACCATGCAAATGGTCTTTGGGGATGGGAACATGCTTCTTTGCAATTTCACCGGCTGCGTAGACGTCATTGGGCATGAACTCGCGCATGCCGTCACGGACAACACCAGCCCGCTCGATTACAGCGATCAGGCTGGGGCTCTGAACGAGCACATTTCCGATGTCTTTGGCATCATGGCTAAACAGCAAGTCGAAAATGAGACGTCTGAAGAGGCAGACTGGTTGATTGGCGAAGACTGCCTCTTGCCCGATGTCAAGGGAGTGGCTTTCCGCAGCATGAAGGAGCCAGGAAAGGCGTACGACGACGAGCGCTTTGTAAGTCCACTGGAACCGAGCACATGTGTCTCACCTAACAGATAGACAGGGCAAAGACCCTCAGGTGGACAGCTTTGCTCAATGGGAGGCTATCGCAGAGGACCGCGGGGGCGTTCACATATTCTCTGGCATTCCCAACAAGGCATTCTACCTCTCTGCTGTCGCCTTCGGAGGCTACTCGTGGGAAATTGCCGGCAAAATCTGGTGGAGAGCCATGAACTGCGGCAAGGTGCCGCCTCGCTGCACGTTCCAACAGTTTGCCGATATTACGGTCGAGTGTGCGGAAGAGCTGTTTGACGTAGAAGCTGCGAAGTTGGTGCGCCAGGCTTGGAATACGGTGGGCGTCATACGAGGCATCTGAGGGTACCGTCGGTATCGCCTGTTCCTGTCGATGCAGCTGCGTGAGAAAATCGTCGAGCCACTGCCAACATGTTAGTGCGTGTACAAAATTGCTTTGAGAAGGAGAATTTTGTGAATCAACTTGTATGCAATGGCCCTGTCGTGGCCATGAGACATCCAGTCGGTTTGAGTGGCCGTGTCCGACATCGACGATATATCGAGAGGGTTGACTCTGCTCGGACGCCTAGTCGCAGGCTTTTTGCCCGTCAAGTCTGTTCGAAAGGATGATGATGGCAAAGATTAGAATCGGACGCAAGGGTCCACTGGTCGTACCAATGCTCGCCCGGACATTGCTGAAAAGAATTGCGAGGGCCGAGCTGGCAAGCAGCGCCATAAGAAGTTGCAAGCAAGCATGGAGGCAAGATACATCACCAACCGCCTGCTCATGTCTTTCTACCCTAGGTCGGCGTGGCATCACACCGGACGCAGGCACAAACCATGCATCATGATGTCTTGAGCCAGCTTCGAAGTTGTCAAAGGGATCGATGATGACGACGGCATCAGTTGACTGGTGTCTTCAGTTGCAAGTTGATACATCGATGTTGTATAGAATGATGCCAATACTCTTGCTGTCATGTCGACCCTGGCCCTTGCACCGCACAAGAGCCGCATGCGAATGCGCGCTACGAGGGTGAGAGGGGGCAACTGGCCGTTGGGATCGAATGGGTCGCTTTCGTTGGTTCAGGTTATCACGTACGGCACCGAGATCGAAAGAAACGCGCTCAATCAATCGCTCGATGTCGAGAGTGCGGCTCCTCTGTATGCCCGTGTGCCATGGTCAGACGCGTTCTCCAGGGGCCGGGCCGCATCTCTGATGATTAGAGCACAGAGATAAGTGGTGTTGGTGGCATTCGGAAGAAGGCGCGGGTTCGTAACGGCAACGACCTGGTATTGCAAGCCGTCAGTGCATGTGCCAGAGAATGGGCGAGGAACATTTGGGGGCTTCCGCGGGTGATGGCGTTCTACACTTTGCTGTTGTCAGACATTGGACGACGATGAAGTAGGTAGGTAATGACGTCGAAAGTCAAAGCTCCATGGAGAAAAGTGCGATGTCTTGGAATTCTTGCTCGGTTAGGGCAGTGTGCTCATGTGCTCTCGCTTGTTGATACAAGATACTTCGCTATCGATACACCGATAGTGCACCAAAGCAGAGACCCGGGCAACCTGATGATCGAGCAGAGGTACTAGGTAGTATTAGATGACCTGTGAGCGAGACACCTCGGAGATGACCATCGTTCAGAACTTGACTTTAAGTGATTCGCGAGTGGGTGGGTATAGGTAGGTAGGCATGGAGTGGGAGTGGCTATGTTCATCCACATCTGGAGTGCAGTATCGAATTCTGTGATAGTGGGGCACCTGATGACGAGACAAGAGAGCATCTGGCCGACTCCCATATGCTTGTGACTTGTCCCATGGATGGGACGTCAAACCATCGATATTGGTCGGCCGCATTCCTCTTGAACCAAGCCAGCAATTCCCGGCAAGTCGCGCGCGAGCCGTCCGAACGTCGGATACAGCCGGGATGGAACCAGCTACTAGTTAATTCAGTGCTTCCGCTCATGCATCAAACCAGGCACGGCTGAGCTGCAGATTGCGTTGTTGGTTGAGAGGCGTTGCATCCCATCGCAAGTGCTTAATCGTCAAGGGCAGCAGCGGAGCATTCGGTGGTGATGCGGTCGTGCTTCAGAGCTCATCACCAGCTCCAGCTCTGGCTTCAGCATCGAAGTCAGCTCCCTCCCTCCAATCATGCGTCAGAGTCAGAGCAGCTTTTCGTAATCCTCTCCCAAGCTGTCCAGTCACTTTCCCTCCGTCCCGCCCTCGACCCCCAACATTGAAGTGACCCCGCCATTGTGTCTGCCCCGCATCCCATCGCTGACGTGACGCGACTTTAATTCCTCCACGTAAGGGTCCAACCTGAACAGCATTGACTGCATCGCGTCTTCACGGTTCAGGCAAACGGGTTCGCAATGGATACGAGAACCTGGCAAGACTCGGAAGAGGGCCTCAGCCCTGACTGGATCTTTTCCAACAACTCCAACGTGCAGTAAGTCACCTGGTCTTGGTTCGATCAACAGGGTCTCTGCTGCATCTTGAAGACTCACGCTCCACAGCGCGTGTAATGATAGGAAATGGTTCACCGATTTCACGCCCTTCCCAAGCCATGTCGATTCGGCCACTTTTACCGGCCGCGCAGTCCCCGTGGAAGGCGTAGGAGCTGTCAATCTTCCAGTCAAGAGAGGCCCAAATGTTCGCGGACCGCAAGCCCACCATATCGTACGCCTTACAAACGTGCTCTACGTTCCATCGAGCGTCTGCAACATAGTCGGGATGCCTATCTTTGAGTCCGGCGTTGCTTCAGTCAGCATGGGTAGAGGTCCCAATTCCAAAGGTAGTCTGGAAGATCGCAACGGCAGCCCTGTCGCATACTTCTCTCCCAACGCAAGGCTTCTTTCTCTGAGACTCAGCGGGCCGCCGATCGGGCCACGGCTCGCACCATCAAAGTTCGATCCCGACACACTGTATGCGGCGAGTATCAATTGGCCTCGTGAAGAGAGGGCGCGCTGGGAGGCCCAAGTTCAACAAGGCAACGCAGACAACGGGAAGGACCAGTGGATCGGGGACCAGCCATATACTGATGAGGAAAAGGCGTGGGTGAAGAAGCATTTTGGAAACGAGTTCAGACTTCTTATGCTTTACGGACTTTCAATCCACGATGAAGAGGACCGGGCAGAAGGCCGAGCCATCGCACGCTCATTCATGCGGGCTGACGCGGAACGTGAAGATGATGAGATGGATCAGGATGATGATGATGATGAGGAAGAGGAAGAGGAGGAGGAGGATGAGAATGACTTTGAGAGGCACCTTGCCGATCACCACTTCGATGCGCAACAACTGGACTGGATCGAGGAGAATTATCGGGATTCAGCCACCTTCATGTACTCATTCGGCCTCAAGTTCTACGATGACGACGATTGCGAACAGGCCAAAGCCATTGTTCGATCTTTCATGAGCAATTGATGTCTGCCACAACACCCGTTATCGAGCTAACATACGCACCCTCAGATTGTCATCATGTTGTCCTTCGGAAGGTCTCAATCTTACACTCGAGTTGCACCCTATGGTGCTCTCAGACCAATTTCCCAACCCGGGAAGAGAGAAAAAAAAAATGAGAAAAGCGCTTGATGTTTGTTCATAGGGCTTGGGCAGATCATCGCTAAGTATTTAGCCACACCAGACCATGGTCTGGCAGTTTCGCGAATGGAGTACACTGTCATGACGAGTACCCAACCGACGCCCTCCTTGCTTTTGCCAGTTGTGTAGCAGTCAAGATGGAAGTCACAATAACCTCGCGGCCGCTCGAGTGGCAGTGATTGTACGTCTTGCATGAGGTATCTGGTAGTTATCGACTATTTATATTCATGTCTTATGTAACGTTGGGTAATAAATGCGTAATAACCGATGCCGGCCTGTTGTGTCTTGCAGCCATAATGTGTCAACAGGCTGCGTGTAGATAGAGCGCGTCGTGTTCAAGCCACACATCGGTTTGGGGGGGCATGATTAAGGACCTGTGTCAGCACTACCAGAGATAAGTCCTACCTCGGAAGTACTTCACTCGAATCCTCATAGGATCTCGGCTGCTAATAAGCGCGCGAATCCGGCTTTCTTCACATGGTCGCTGACTACGCGATGGATGGCCTGCAAACTGATGGAACTTGAGCACTATCAACACCCGACTCTTTGGTATCACCCTCGATCTTCCGACGCCGGGAATACTGATAACCCTCTCTGTATAGAGTACCGGGCCAACATTTCCGAATATTTGAGCTAGGTAGGAATGAAACGTTTCTTCTAGTGTAGCATGTATTTACATGCACCTCGGGAGTCGCGATCCTACGTGCCCCTTGAGCAAGCTCATAGTTACATAACAATGAAACAAACATACCCTGTCTCCCCAGCATCTGGAGGATGTCGGGACCCATTGAAGGATCGTGATAAATCCTGTTGCCCAAATCCATTGACGAGTCAGGCAAACATGCTGGTTTGCATCTGCAACCTTGAATTGCCGCATAATGTTGAAGCCCCGCCGCAATGCTGGAATAACACGCCATGTTCAAACTGCTGGGACTACGAGCATGTACGTACCAATTACATAGCTCTAACGATAGATCGCTAATAAACGATCGCTCGGTAAGGCATTTTGTTAGCATCGGGACTTGTGGAGCTCGGGACATGCAAGCCACAAACAGGGCAGCTCTAGGCTCTCGGAGATAAAACGCCCGGGTTTTGAACATCCATACTAGTACTCGTACTAGGTTCTGGCAATTATGGAGATCGCGAGCTTGGGCTGCCTGTTGGTCCCAGCCAACGGCGCGCTCGGATCCCGACTCTGGGGAAGATACCAAACTGGATGGAGAATGTTATAGACACCAAGTGCGTGAACACGAGGTCTTTCCCCCGCTGCACAGCCTGGAAATCCTTCTTGTATAGCAGGGTTCCCTATAATGAATGGCTCGGCAGACTCACGCCAAACCGTACTAGTGATCCTACACCTGAGTTCAATAAGGATTGTGGTTGCTCTTGGACCAATGGTGCCCCTCCAGTCGTACGAGATTCTGAGAGCTCCTGATAGAATGCATGCTTCGCCTCGCACGTCTGGGTATTTCTATACAAATAGTATAAGTCCATGGCATTTTCGCTTTATTCTACCTGTTCTAGAACTCCACCAATCGGCCTTAGTAAAGCAGACACACTGATATGCATATAAGCTGACGCCCCCAGAGGGCATGTACACGGAAACTTCAGAAATTGCTTTGGAGCAATTATTGGCCAGGAGGAGAGATCATGGTCGTGAGCAGATGGTAGTAATTCATGTCTAGTCTTTTCATGAGTTTCCAGAAAGAGCTCGATGTTGGCAAGCGAAAACGATATGTGATGCGTCTATTTCCGCCTTTCTCTTAATCATCTACAGGGGTTCTAGCGGCACTTGTCCTGGGCGATACTCTATCGGGACGGTGAACTAGCAGAGAAAGGCAGGCAATCAGGATTTGACCCCCGTTACAAGATAAAAGGCCCGAAATAGTACATGTATGCCGGTTCTCGAAAATGACTACAGGCGTTCGCATAGCGTTCAGAAGCTTGACATGGTGGTGGCCCGGTCTTTAAGGATAGACAGAAGCTTCTAATTCAAAACTATAGCTTATCAAGTTATCCCGCGCAGTGCATTCTTTTCCATACGGCTCAGATCACGACTTCGCAGCTAGATGTGAATAATCAAACTATATATCCTGATATTGCCTTATTGTGACTATAGTTTCAGCCGTAGTCTTGACGAGGCTATGGGCTAGCAATCATCGTGAGTTTGGCCTATTAGACTCTTCTTCGAACATCCTCCTCCAGAACACTAATCACGTAACTTTACAGGGGGATGTAGGAGAGGCTTAGCACGAGTGCCCATTGATGCCAAGACGGCATGATCAGGAATTGTCACATGCTAGTCATTCACCTGCCGGATGAGGATCGTCAGCCTGGCCGTCCATGGTTGCCAGGCTTCAGGACCTCTACGGCAAGCTTAGCATTAGTATATATAGAGCATGTTTATTCCTCAACGAGAGCTGCATGTCCACTTGAGCAGCACCGGTATACGAACGAGCTCAGTAGGCAAGCCTTATCATCAAGACCCGGACAATACACTTCAAAATGGCATCCAAGGCCGCGGCCATCCTATCTATTCTCCCTTTTGCTCTGGCAATCCTCGACAAGCCCGTTATCCAGCCAAACTTCCCCGGAAATGGCCTGGCATCCTTGGGTCAAGGATTGATGGACCATCTGGCACCTACGCACTCAACGTGGGATGATTGGGGTGCCGGATGGATCCCCCAGGACTGCAAGTCCTTGGTCGAGGGTGCCGGGCTCTCTGCCTCCGATGTCATCCCCTTCAACATTCATTATGATGACTGTGCCCAGACATGGACCTTTTGCCGGCACAAGGACTCTCCTCTGAGTGAGATTACTATCCTCGACATCTTTGGGCGTTTGCCCGTTCGAATGAGGTCCTTTGTCCGACATTTGGTCTTCATTCCGGGTGCCAAGTCTGCAGGCTCCAACGGAGACAACGTTCTCCTGAGGGGCGACATCGACGTCACCGTTTTTGCCCACGAGATCGGCCACAGCCTCGACTCTCACGCCTTTGACCCGTCATACGGTGTGCCCTTCTCCACCGGCAACGTCTGGATCAGCAACTACAATCTTGACTCTGCCGTGCCTGATCCCTACGCGCAGACCAGCCAACAGGAGAACTTTGCTCAGCAGACCGTCATCTCATTGTATGACAAGGTGGTACCGGGCGGAATCGGCACGATCCAGCCCAACTGGCAGGCCATCTTCCACCAGTATGCCACTCTTGAGGGATACATTGGCGATGTCATCATTCCCGGCGGTACCTGCACCCACCGCCTGACTGATAGTCCGCCCGTGCAGATGAGCAGCTTGGCCAAGGGACGCCGTGCACTGGGACCTAAGCCCAATGTTGCTTTGAGCCCCGAGGTTGAGGAAATTGAGGCTATCCCGATGAAGAGCTCTATTACTATGACATCGTTCGATGAGGCTGGAAAGCCGAATGGAACTTATGTCATCAACCTTTAAACATGTACATTAGATAGATCATTCAGGATATATATATAACATTCTTGGGTATATACTGTTGTAGTAATTGCACTGATATGTGACATGATGGCTGTAGCATGCTTAGCTAGGTCGTAAAAGCCTGACTTGACCTTTCTGTCCTCTTGAGGCTGCAAATCCTTCACTGCTGTCTCAGGTGTTGTTGATTGTGGGGTCACGAGTGTTGTATCGTATTTGGAAGCCACTCACGTCATTCCTCCTTCACGTCGGCGAGACATGCTTTTTCACCAGGCCCCCGATATTTCACGATAAGAAGTTGACTCAGGCTACTACATGATCCAGTGATCTAAGGTCATTGTTGGATGTTGAACGTTATATGTACCCTAACATTACAGGCGTAGGTATGCGCGCGGAGAAACCCGTGGATACCTTGAGGGCTAAAAACTGGATTTAGTCCCGTACCTATCTTCAGTATAGCAAGGTTGAGAAATTACCTTGGTTTGTTGGAAAGGAAAAAATTTGCCAGATATGACATATGCCTGTGCTCAGATCGAGCAGAATCTTGTTTGTCTGGAATGACAGCCAATGACAGGCAAGACATGCAGCTATGCGCTCATTGGCCACGCCACACAACCTGCCTCTGTTTTGTTTCAAAAACTCGGCTTAGTGGATCTACTCTATTGGACAACAGATGTCAAAAGGGTTTTGTCTTGATGGCCAGGGCGATTCGCATCAACCAGACCTTCAGCTGCTTGATATGTGGCTATAGTTTAGCAGCCCCTTGATTCATGTAGGACAGCTTTACTAAAGAACCCGCCATCATCTAAACCTTACCTATGGCTTCAAGTGGAACACGTAAGCTCACGATATGAGTTTGGTTGGACCAAACTGCGTACCGAAATGGGGATCATGGAGGGGAGTCAACATACAGCTGGCGTGACACCTTTGCTCCACGGGTCGATGGAGGTCCTGTCAGGCAATCAGGATCGCGGAAAAGCTACCTTGCGGACAAGGTTATATAACTACATTGACGTGCGTTCTCTATATCACGAGATCATCATCTTGAGGCTCTGTAGTGCAACATTCGCAACAAAAATGATGTATCTTTGCGTTGACCGAATCTTCGGTCTGTATAGAGACGTCTTTGAGCCGTATGATTGGTAGCGAGAGATGCATTTTCCATGACCTTAGGTCTACATCATCTACGTGTAGGCCTTGTGGGCAAAGAAGCTATTTGAATAGATAAACACCTTACAACGGCATACACGTCTATCATCAGTTTTCCAGAGAGGGTGTTAGAGGGTGGTGAACTTACCTTCTGAACAGCTATAACACCGCATCCAATGAGGATGAGAAGCCATTAAGAAGGCAGGCCTTGACGTAGAGGAAGCGAGAAAAGCCTCGCAAAGTCAGTGTGACAACTTTTCTAGCCTCTATCAGCACTTCAATGGGCAGGAACTATATATCATTAATTCGAAAGAATCATGAATTCCCTCTTAACTTAGAGAAGCTTGCGTCGAGGCTCAGGCATACCTGGATTAGGATAATGGCTCAATAACCGCTCTAGGATGATTGCATATGCGGCTGAATTGATCTAAGTCTACAAAAGCGTACCTACTTCCAGATGTCAATGGCGATGCATGACGGGCGAAGGGCCAATGTGATATCGAGAGAAAGTGCAAGGAGAATATGACTTGAAAATGCTCAATGAATCTTTCGTGAATCCATAAGACATCAAGCCCTCGGAAATTATATTCCCTCCTACATCTTACAATACTGCTGGTACCTAGTATTCATGGGTCCAGGACGAAGCCCCTGTGTTCGTCACACATGCGGATAAACAACTCAGCTTTGGAAGAAGCAACAGAGAGCGGATCGGTGAAAGGCTTCACCTGGCAGCAGAGGTAAAACATCTTGAAAGGGTACCCCGAGTCATCCATGCTGTCACCGACAAGCTACTTTTCTATCTCGCACACTATTGACACTGACAACGTGAGGCGGAGTTGCTCGTTACCGCATGATGATGAATACATGTTTCAGTTGGCGTCTACCAATCTGCTCAAAGACAATGAAAATCGTTAGTTGTGAGCGCTCAGATCTGAATCTATGCGGATATAACCAAATTTGTCGGTTTGGTCCTTGGATTGCATGCAATAAGTGAGCCTCGGAGCACATGTTGTTACTGGAGGTGTATGCGGTAGACCACCCCAGCCACCAGCTCTATACTCTCCCTTGAACAGCATTTCAAGTAATTGTTTCTACGCTTCTATAATGACTGACTGTGTCGCACATTTGAACCTAACTGATAGTGGCTCTGTGGGGATATCGAGCCAGTTCCGAATTGCTAGGTCACGGCACCACAAGAAGATCCCCATCTAAGACGAGCTTTTAAAGATCGCCGCTATACTAGCTCCCGCATTGTGGCTTTGAGATGTCCGCTAATTTGAGCTTAAAGACTGCTGTTTCATTCAGCAACTGCAGGTGTTATTCGCTCCCAAGAGCACCATTACTTATATGAGTTGTAACAATAGGTGTTGGTGATCGGCTCCAAAGCCTAGGTTGTGCACTCGTATTCCTGCCTCTGCGTAGTTTTAGCACTGGGCAACGGCTTCGCAGCTTGAGCGCTTGATCAACTTGCAGCACAGAAAGGCTCCCGGGTAATGTAAATCACTGTCACTGCCGTGCTTAGCCCACTCACTATTCGTTAGTGTTGATGTTACTCTCAGTATACAGGTAAGCCCACACAAACATGGCCTCATACATGCAAATCTCTACTCACGCCTTGCCACTTCTCGTGAGCCCCCACAAGACTGGAACGACGCACGCTCTGGCAAGGTATCCTTGTTTCGTAACAGGGCCACGTATTCGTGCAGTGACGAGCGATAGCTTCGTCATACTTGCCAAGGCTTAGGAGTTGGAGTGATGACTGTGTTTCGCGTTTGACAGGGAACTTTACCTGTGGAACACCAGTTGGAAGAGAGTTTTTACCCCTAGTTCATTTGTATCCTTATTTCGATTGTCTCTTCTTTCTCGCCAACATATCACCAAACTCATTATGCGTGCAACATCGTGGACCCTGAGAGCAAAATTATGAATGACAATTGCCATCATCCCTTTTCAGTCAAAATGACAGGCGTATGCTCTGTATGCACGTCTTATTATGTAGCAATCCACGTGCAGAGGCCATGCCACGTTACCGTCTTGCAGATATGGTACGTCAAGTGCTCTCCGCTAGTACCCTGATAGTAGTGTATGTTGCAGTACACTTCTCGATGGCGACCCTTTTTTCGTAGAGGAGTGACTCGTAGCTTGTCTCGAAACCTCCCCGGTTTGATGGCTGCTATACCCGCTTAGACTCGATATATCTGATAGCCACCGTACGCGGCACAGCTTTACCAGACGCTCCATGAGATTACAAGCCCTTGCAACTACAACAATTAGTCCTCCTCAGCCGCTGACCTGAACAAGGTGCATGACGGATGTACTCCCCTGTCGTGGTCTCTTGTCAGCAATTTGATACGCTTGTCAAAGATCCGGCAACTCTGACCCGGCCAACTCCGTGGGAGGCCGTAGGCCTTGAGAAGGAGGGGGGGAAGGCGTGGAATGGCGGCTTCAGGGCGATCGAAGTTTAGGCTGCTGATCAGGGACCACCACTTGGCATGAAATCCATGGATCGATGGATGTAATGGTCCAGAATCTCACCCCAGACAAAAAGACCACATGGCAAGTAAATTGCTCTACCACCCCTCCTCATCTTCAAGAGTCGAAATAGGAATAGTTGGTTGAGACGAAGACATGCATCAGCTGACGGCGTGCTGATGTAGTATTCCGTGATCTGTGTGTTCCATTTCTAGATTGGCGTATCTTCAATCATGGGTACTCTCCCCCCTCGGGTTACGGGGAAAGAGCTCCACATGTGCCGCTGAGCTCGTAAGATGCGTATGGGCATGCTGAGTGTGGGTGCGGGCTGGTGCGAAGTTGGCTCCCGGTCCGAACCCGTGGCGGGTGAGGAGAGGCTGGAGCCTCCCGCGCAATTGTGACAGACTGAGTTTCGCGTGGCAGTCCGCTGTCTCGGGCCCGAGACACGTGGCTTTTCCGGACACATAAGTCGATGAAACGGCACAGGATAGGACTTCTGGGTTACACCCACTCGCTCATACTACTTTCTGTACTTAGACGGGGATATCATCTTCGTTTCCCCTATTGCTCCAGGGCAAGTCATGTGGGTAGTAAGCTGCCGTGGGCAGAGAGAAGAAACCCCCAAACCGTCATACCCGCATGTTTACGAAGTGCATGATGCATGTTGTCGTCAATGATTACCAAGTGCAATCGGCAACCCTGGTAATGAGTGACTGGCTCTATGCCATTTGGACGTTTCACAACATCTTGACATCGGCAGACCGGCACGCGGGGTGTATGGAGTAAGACAAGCCACCATCAACCGAGCACGTTGTGAGATCAGCGGAACTAGGCTAGCTTGATTGGAGTGTTATCAATGATGTCGGTTGGGAAACTACATGCTATGCCAGTGGCGAGTGGAAAGGCTCGCATTTTGCATCCATCCATGGACGTATTGGATATGCACGCATATAGCCTATCTGCAGCTTTTGTGGTTCCACTTCGGTGCTATTCGGTATCACTTTCGTCGTGATGAATGGGTGAGACAATTAGTATAGTAACACTTTTGGCTCGACAAAGCCAAATTCTTACCTAGTTGCTTCACGAGGGAACTCCAATGGTTCCCTTGTACCTGCCTGGGTATTCAGAGGTACTTACTGCGGATACTAAGGTAGTTGCTAGATTGCTAGCCACTGAACATGCCTGCATGAGGCCATCCAGGGTCCCTTACAATGATGCTGCTGCTCATTGAGCAACCACTCCAACCCTTGGAGGAGTAAGCCGTTACGACTTGCCTGAGTCGTAATGTGGGAGTATTCCCATCCAGATACTGCTTGAAGGCTGAGAGCGACCGGGTTGGTGGCTGCTGATGGACAAATCTCGAAGCTCTGCAAGGGAATGTGCAGGCTGACAGTAAGTGTTAATGAGGAGCAGTTCTTCAACCTTGCAAATCGCGAGCTTGGCAGGCTTTTTGAGGCTCCGAAGGACGCAACAAGACTATCACATGCATACATAGGATTTGGCAGTACAAGGATGCTTCGTACAACATGTTGCCTACCACTGGCCATCCTCATGCGTGTTGGGTGTGGGGTAAGCACAACCTCAACCGACCCGTGTCCCCGGCAAGGTGGTGCATCAGCAGTGGTAACAGCATGGTATTTCAATTGTTACGATCCTAAGGTTTGATGATTGTGGACAGTAGAACTCACGCGGTGATCTTGCGACATTGATTAAGAGATAGTAACTTGGTGTTATTGAACTGAGATTCGCCGTAGCATACATGTAGAACTAGAGTCTTTCTAAACGCAGATAGATGAACCAACAGCTTACATCCTCATCGCGGTGGTGTGCCAGAAGCATGTCCTTGGTCCTCTGCACCCACTCCGCTAGTAGCGTATGCCCTCCTTGTTCGGTATAGCCAACACCCAGACCAACACGCAGGGCCTTGAGGAAGTAGCCGGAAACGACCGCCATTAGCCAATCAGTCACAGTTTCAGCATACCACTTGCTGTCCTCGTCCCGCTGCTTCTGCTTATCACCATTATCGCGAATGCTGTCCGTCGTCTGATGCCGCGCCCGCAATTCGGCACCGGCCGGATGGACCACGCGCTTCTCTGCAACGTCCCTGACTACCCACTTGCCAGGCACCCCATCTTTGATCAACTCGCCTAGATCTTCCAGTTTTCGGTTATAGGTGGGCACTTCAAAGGAAGTAGCAGCAGCGATGGGGATCAGCCCGGCCTGGAGCATCTCGACTAGCGCGCGCCGACAAGCATCCACAAGGCCGGCATAGTTCTCCTCCCCGGTGGACGACTGGGCCACAAAGGACAGCACTAGGGCACCTCCGGGCGCTATTTCGGCTGCTCGATGATTGAGGAACCGCAATAGGTCTTTGTGGGATTGCTCGCGGAGGATGGAAGTACGGGATACGTCGACAGGGGACTCTCCCTCTGCCAGGGGTGGAACATGTTCCAGGTGGTGCAGACAGGCCAGTGAGAAGCCAATACTAACGGAGTCGGATGGCGCAATCTGTTGGTAGAAAGATTTGGGCACCATGGCCGTGAACAGCTGCTTCTTTTGCTGCTGACGCACCTCAAAGGCAGCGATGTTTGAGGCGAGGATGCTGAAATCATTTTCAGGGCGATCACTCAGGACCAATGTGACTTGGGTGTCTTCGGGCACATGCATGGCATGTACTATGGCAGAAAATGGCTCAAAACTGCGTGGTGTTGTCAACAAAACGGTCGCTCCCTCCGTACACCACAAGGCATACCGTGGGGTGGGTGGCCTTACGAGTTGTTACCATGGGCGGAGCCGTACTCCGCCACTGTGAGTCGACCCATCTGCTTTGAGTGGACATTGATGCTAGAAGCCGCTGCTCGGAGTAAGGGCAGTGCCTCAAGCATGGCTGCATGCTGCAGCTCAGAATGCGAGCTATAGAAGCCCCTGCCTTGCATAGGGACATCATTCACCAATACGCTATTGGCCGCCATGCTGGAGAGGAAAGAAAGCTGACTTGACTGGACAAAGCTTGCAAAGAAAGCGAGATACCCATAGACGTAGTTTCCGTCACAGGAGGAAATCGGACCCTTATGTCGTGGATCGGCGAGTTTCCCTAGTCGGGTCACAATCATAGTTCTTGAGAGATGTCGAAGGAGGTACCATGTCATTTACAATTTGTTCCTCTCTGCCTATGCTGTAGTGACCTTTAAGGTATTCCTGCTCCATGATGTAGTCAACATCTGCTCTGGTCGGGGATTAACGCTCTCAGCCAGTTTGGTTGCAGAATCTCTGCGATGGGGAACGGGAGAGGCAGTCCTTGGCTACATAACGATAAACATATGCTCTGAGTCCCAAACTCCACATGTTGTATTTCTATGAATGCCGTGTCCCTACTCGCAAGTGACAGCTGTCGCTCGGCATATATCCAGTCTGGCGCGGGTAATGGTTTCAATATCTTGACGATAATTCGAGACTGACTTCTACATCCTCATCGTCTACCTAGTAACAAGAGTCATACAGTTTCATCAAATCTTACTCCTGGGGTATAAATAACAGCATTATGCAAGATGAGGACCACTTGACACAGACTGCGCAGGACACAAAATGAGCCGGGAAAGTAAGCGGACAGGACTTTTCGCGGTGTCGACTTGTCCACGTCGGTGCTTTTTCCAGAGTCCTTACATTTGTATATGCAAAAACTCGAAACCCTGAGCTTATGGTTCTATACTGTGTCAACATTGCTCCTGCAGTCGTGAAGCCCTTGTCATCCGCTCGCGGGCGTTCGTATATAGACAATAGGTGTAGTAGCGGCTAGCCGGCAATATGCCATCAGCTTCTATCATCTGATTGCACACTTGATCACCACCCTGCTTCGAGGCCAGACCATCTCTCCCGTGGCTACTGCTCATATCACTTCTTTTTCTCATAATCATTGCATTTCAGTCAAATATGGTTTCCACCTTTGACGGTAGCATGACCCCTGGCTCAAATCCACTCACACTCCCACACTCGCCGTCATTTGCCTCTACAATCGAGAAGGTCGAGATTCCTCTCCTGGTTGAGCTCTTATGGGTTCCAACGTTTCTCGTAATTGCCATCTTCCTGCAGATCCCCCAACCGGGCCCTACCCGTGTTGCATTGGGACTTGGAGTCTTCACCACCGTATGGTCCTATGCGCTTACGCACTGGGTCGCCCATCCGTCGTTTCTTTTCAGTCCCATGTTTGGCTTTGCGGTGACAGTGAGGTGGGTATATATGAATGTCTTCGATACGGCAGAGGTCAGCTTTGTGCGGCTAGCTCAGGGGCAAGGTGTCAGAGAATCACCGCTACAGTTCGGCTTCTGGAGAAAGGCCAAGTGGAGCGCCGACCTTTGGTTCTCCTGGCGTGGTGTTGGGTGGAACTGGGAGGTCTCGAGCATCCCTCGTTCAGGAAGGGAGATGACAACTCGAAAGTACATTCACAAACCCTGGTCCCATATCCTCATCACACAGGTTCCCTGCTAATATGTACATTGCACTAGACGGTGGCTGGTGATCGAGATTGCAGCTGCCGTCGCAAACTTCGCCGCGCAAAAGGTCACGATTGACCATGTCTTTTGCCGCTATTATCCCCCCAGCAATACCGTGGAAGCATTTACCAGTCTCTCACTGGTCCAGCGTCTCTGGATCAGCATCATCCATCTAGCTTTAGGGTGGTTGTTTCTGGACAACGTCAACCGCATCATTGCCATCGTTGCCGTTGCAGCTCGTCTCTCGCCCCCTGGAACCTGCCCTCCCAGCTTCGGTAGCTTAACAGACTGTTACACAGTCAGAAACTTCTGGGGCAAAACCTGGCATCAAACATTCAAATGGGTGCGTCCGACGAGCGAGACTATTATGATTGGCTGATGCTGACAAACACGGGGGGTGGATAGAACTTCAACAGAACAGGCGAACTAGCCGCCAGAGGTATCGGAGCCAAGAACGGGTCCTTGCTTCGAAGGTATACAAAACTCCACATTGCCTTCCTCATGTCCGGAGTCCAGCATTACATTGCCACCTTGTTCGTCCCATCCCCTGCTTGGGCGTGGGCTATGTGTGGCCAGATGGTCATGTATGCTATTATCATTACGGTTGAGGATGCGATTAAAGCGCTGGGTGTGCACATAGGCATCAAGCCAAGCTGTAAGCAAGCCCTCAACTCCTCGCTCGAATATGTTCTGTCAACAGCGACTAATCGAAGAAGTCCTGACATATCTTGCTGGTTATCTTTGGTGCACCTTCTGGGTTCCCTTTGTGTATCAGTTTGTATTCATCTACGATATTGATGTCGGCTTCTTCAATGGCAGCTGCCCTATGTAGTTATCCCATGTAACTCAATGACTAGTCATCTGAATCACAGCTCGTGTTCTTTCAAGGCTATTTTGCTCTTTGAATCGTCACTGAAATTTCCGTTGGGTCTACTTGGATATGGGGGAAAATAATGTGAACAAATGTGTATTTGTGAGATGTCATCCAATGACTGAAAACCCTAATCAAATCTCACCGATCAAGACTCCGATGGTCTTGAACCTGGCAATGCATCTTGAGTCTCTCGGAAATCAGATCCAGCCCATCCCGAAGATCCTCCTCTTCCCCGCGAATGTCCTTGCCGATTATGTTGTTTATGAACGCTCCAGGATGGCTCTGATCCATACTCGGCCGCGCCTCGTTAATCCGTGCAGCCAAGAGCCGGGTCTTGTGTCGGATCTCTTCCGTATGCTGAGAAATCAGTTGTACTAGCAGCGCAACCTGTAGTCGAGGGCTCACTACCGTGTGTAGTGTCCCGATTTGTACGGGAACAAGATCGGATAGCTCAAAGTGCTGCGTTTCTGTTGCCGCCATTGAGTTGACCAGCATGTGTACCAGGTTCTTGTAGCTCCGTAGGATCTGTATGTAGCATATGAGCGCCAGCCTAATCTCCACAGTGTCTACTGTACCGCTGGAGGCATAATGCGGCTGCTGCTGAGCTTGTTGTTGTTGCCGTCTAGGCTGCTTCATAGTATATGTAGCCCATTCAATGTGAAGTGGCGCGTCTTCTTTGGTTAACACTGCTGTGTCGCCGACTGATGGTGCGTAAGGCGTGTGTTGCCGCTGATGAGCCGTTACTGGGCTCGGTTCTGCGGTGCGTAGTGGTAATATTTGGTTCAAGACCTCGATGAACTTCTGAGAAACCTGAACTGTCTGGTTCATGATGATGCGGAGCTCCGCAGCTTGGGGCGGCCTTCGGTTCTGAATCCCGTGGAGGTTCAGCTGAATCTGAGACAGCAGCGAAATTGGGTCTATGACGGGTGGGTCGGCCAGTTCGGACGGACAGTGATCTATTGATCCTATTGCGGAATCATTACCAGACGGCCCTGGTACTATCATGAGCGAGGGATCCATTGGATCCATGTGTGTAGAGGCCGGCGGCTCTGAGGTTGCTTTGTCACTCAGGAGGTCCGACCACGCCTCGTCATGATAGTTGTTGCATGAACCACTGAAAAGTCCTGGCGTGGCCACTGACGTTGTCGGCTCAGGATAGTGGTCAAGGCTGAGCGGCCAGACTTCGAAAGATGTGGGAATGACACTGTGGTCCATGGGACTTGTGGTGCAAGTAAGCTCTTGTTGCTCTGCAATAGGAGTGTCTGCTCTCTCGGCAGCATTGTCTAAGGAGAAGATCGAAGCCGTGTCCATAGTGGAGATATTATCCTCTTGAACTGCTGCTGCCGTGTTCGTGGACATTGATTGTGTTGTGATAGAGCCTAGATCTTGATTGCAGACGGCCATAAAGCTGCTCTCCTGGCTTCTGTAGTTGGCTTCCTCCTGTTTGCCTTCCTGCTTCTGCCGTTTGCTTGGTCGTCCGAGGCGGAGAGGAGGACTGAAGACACACATCTCGCCAGCTTCTTTGCATCGCCGACATGGGTTTTCATCGTTGGCTGAGGTACGAGTGCATCTTTGCTTTCGTTTGTGACATCTGTCGCAGGACAGTCGAAGAAGTTGAGGGCCACCGAACAGCAGCATAATGAATCAAAGTGACAGATTGACAGAAAGAATGTAAAGGCGTCAAGAAGGAAGGGACCCGTGAAGCAGACTTTGTAAGTCAAGGTATGCTGGTGTGAGTGATTGAAAGATGGTATAAAGAATTGGGGCTTGACCAATGGTAATTATGGCTTTCTGTGTCTTCGATATCTGCACTCTGTACTACTTGTTGCTGTTCGCTTCGTATTCCTCAGTGAGCAGTGGTGCGTGTGAAATTGCCAGAGTCCTATCCACCAACCCGGAACACACATTTATGTACTTGAAGGATCTTTGGGCTGACAGGATTGAGTGAGCAGGGAGTGAGTGTCCGGGTAGCTGCTGGTTCCGATGCAAGCTCTCGACCAGGTACGATGAGCAAGTACCCGGGGAGGACATGGGTTTACTCTCGATACACAATAAGGCTTCGAGAGATCGTAGCATGGACACAGTTTGCCTCTTCTGACTTGGCTCACTGTGCTCACTTGCATGCCCGCCGCGTTGTTTATACACCAGCTGTGGGGGTGGGTGGCTGTGGTTCGACGGGCATTCTGGCAGAAGGTGACGGTCTAGTTGGCCATGCATAATGAACAGGCCACTTTCCATTCACAGAAGACGCCATTGCGGCAGGCCTTGTGAGATAGATGAACGTCGATTTTGCTAGGCGTTTTTTGCGCAAGTGCTGACGGGACCAGGGGGGAGAAGATCACATTGCAGCGAGTAGGATGGCCTGGCAGTTTCCGCACACATGTGCGTATAACAATCCAGGGCTTTCCTTACATGATTGGGTAGTATCTGGCGGCAAGAGCAATCACGATCGAGACCGGGGTGGTCCTGCAGTCGGTACGAGACGGGGGGCATTCCGGTAATCATGTTCGTAACCATCAGTAGGTATATAGCTCAAATAGAACATCCATTGACATGGGTCAGATGAAATACTGTAAGTAGTGACAAGTTGCGGAAATTCATAGACTTGAAAGAGTCTCGACGCAGCGCCGTACCCAATCAACGTGCCAGCTTTGTACACTCGACTTTTAGCAGCCAAGTCGCGGGACTTTACACAGAGCTCAGAGAGGTTATACTCCAGAAACTGGAAGAGTAAAATAATAACCGGAATTACTCAAGTAGCCGCCCGTATTGTTCAGTCCCGACCTCCTTATGCTTACCATCTATACGTGAAGCTTTCACATATCTCCATACTACCATATGCAAGCGCCTGGATAGGAGGGGTAGCATTAGTATTCGTCCCTGCCACCCAAACACCCCCCCTGTTAAGACAACCCGACACGACTTTATTATATGGGCCTGGAGATCCACTTACCGTTCTCTTCTACCTAGTAGTTGCGACCTGTTGATGTGCCACAAACTGACGTGCTATCGTCAGCGCTAAGAGCGCAAAGGATTCTGCTTGCATATGCAGACCGATGATTCCAGCGACAAGAGTCCCTGTTCCCACACCCTCAATTCATGGAACCTCGTTGTCGCTCTCTCTACCGCTCTATGTATGTTCCAAACTATCAGCATAGGGTGAGTAGGCCTATAGTTCAAAGGGTGACGGTAGTATGTATAACACTGCTGCTTGTTTCCTTAGACACTGTGGCAGATTGGGAAGCTGTTGACAAGATCGAAAGGCTATGTGTCATGATGGACAGGAGGCGAACGAAATATTCGTATGTTGCCTATAGACTTTTTGCCAGCACGCTTCGTACACTTGGTGGCTGGTTGTCAACCAAATTCATCCGTCTACCTGGTATCTTGAAATTGTATGTAGTATGCTTCCGCCCCAGTGGCATAGACTATATTATGTGCAGGGTACGCATGATTTACCGTATGGAGTGCTACACCTATGATACGGTTGATATCCGAATATGGCATCTCGTATACACTTGGAAAGAATAGCGTCGTACCGCTTATAGAGCCTGACGGAAGAAGATGGGTTGGACTGTTCGTGCATAAGGGCCTCGATGTTGACGAGCAGTGACAAGTGCAGACATATTAGACAGCAACGACAAGCCTGCCACGCCTATGCACGCACAGCTTCATATGAGACATTCTAGAAGGCCATGGTGACGAATGCCTCTGCAGTTGGGGGCTGTTCCATTTCGGAACATGTTGAACTGCTGCCCGTCTCACGTCAAAAGGGTACCGTCAAGGACATGGTAGGATGACATATTCCGGATCTAACGCCTTTCTGTTCTGACAAACGGGATGTCTGGTACATATCAATGAATACTACGGAGAATATCGCGAGAAGTTAGCAAAAAGCAGCCGACACGGATCAAACGCCGATGTGTGAATGTGCAATGTCGCGGATTTTTCCAAAAGCAGACGAACCTGGCGACAAGCACGCTGGCAAGGGGGTGTCTTTCTTCTCTATCGTTTGTCATTTTTCTTCCCTTCTCCTGGAAAAATGTAAGTCTCAAAATTTGGAATTCGCTTTTTTGGGGAAACGGGAAACGAAATAGCTCTGGACTTTGCGTCAGGTCGGTGGCCAGGGTAGTAAAATGACTGTCATCACGCAGACTCCGGGGCCATTACTTAAGATTTCTCTAGACGTGAAGCTTATCAATGCATGTGAAGATTATATATGCTACACGACTTTGTGTAGCCTATCGTGAAGTCAACTGGGCATAATTGGAACTCTAGCCAACCGTGGCAGTCAATTACTCAGGGCAACTAGGCCACCCGCCTGGGGCGAATTAAGTCGGTAATCAAGACCAAGATGCTATCAGCCATGGCCAATGTATCAGGAATCGTCTTTTCTCCCCAGAGCCGTGCGCCGTCAAAGGCGTATCTGGAGTATATCCACAACTCACTTACCAGATCGTCCATATACTCGCCCATTTGCGAAGCAATCTCCAACCTTTCCGCGACGTGGTGGGCTATTGCAAACAGCCAGCCAAAGATCGCCTCCCTGGAGCAAGGCCTGAATTTTGCAAAAGACTTTTCAGCATGGATTGAGACGGGAAATTCTTCAAGGCTGGAGACCAGCATGTCGGGGATCGTCACGTTACCTCTGCTGGTCATCATACATACGATTCAGTATCTCGAGTATCTACGGCAAAACTGTATCACACACTCGGAACTGCTACCTCATTTGCGGGCAGGTGGGGTCCAAGGATTCTGTGCTGGATTGATGATGGCCATTGTTGTGGCTGCGTCAAAGGACGAAACACAACTGGTTGAGAACTCCGCCAAAGCTGTTCGGATAGCCTTTGCGATTGGGTCATATGGAGAGATTGGGTGTGATGCAAACTCAATTATTTCTACTACTATGGTGGTGCGGTTGAAACGGGGCTCTGAGAGGGAGCAAATCATCCGCGAGTTCCCAGAGGTGTGATAATCTACTCAGCTCCATCTCAGGAGCACGCATGCTAAAGAAGAATATAACAGTCCCGTATCTCTGCTGTATCCGACCCCAAGACAGTAAGCATCATTGCTTCATCATCCCAAATTGCCGCCATGCAGGCATATATAGAGGAACTAGGCCTCTCCTTCAAGATGGTTCACATGCGAAGCAACATACACAATCCGAAAAATGTCGCTCTTGCGAAAGAGCTGCTGGGACTCTGCCTACGCGATGCCGACTGGCAGTTGCCCAACAGCGATTGTATTCAGGTTGCTGTACGATCCAATAGCACAGGTCAGATTCTTTCAGGCTGTTCGCTCACAGCCGAGGTTATCAACACCATTCTTACCTCTTGCTGTGACTGGGACAGAGTCATGAACAATGTAGCGCAAGATCTCCGCCGATTCGGGAAATCTCATCGCATAGCAATGGTTGGCCTGGGAGACTGCTTACCGCTCCCGCCATTTCAGAAGATTGGCATCGAAATTACCAAGGTGGATGTCATGAGCAACACGGAGGATGCAAGGCGACGGACAAATGATGCTAATATCTCAAGACGGGCTACTTTTCCTTCCGATTCGGTCGCCGTAGTAGGCGCGGCTTGTCGATTACCAGGAGCAAATACCCTCGACGAACTCTGGGATCTCATTTCTCGAGGCGAATCGCGGCTGGAAACGCTGCGCCAAGATCGGGTCAGGCTCGAAGAGTCTTTTCGGGCATCACAGGACAAGGACTGGACCACAAGACGACAATGGTTCGGAAATTTCGTTGATTGTGTCGATGAATTTGATCATGGCTTCTTTGGCATAAGTGAAAAGGAAGCGGCATATATGGATCCCCAGCAGCGGCTTTTGCTCACTTGTGCGTACGAGGCTCTGGACTCCAGTGGCTACCTTCATCATCATGCCCGAGCAAATGGCGATCCGATAGGGTGCTTCATTGGCGCGAGCTATACCGAGTATAACGAGAACACCAACGCATACGCTCCCTCTGCATTTGCCGCAACAGGGACCATTCGAGCTTTTCTTTCAGGCAAGATCAGCCATTACTTTGGCTGGACGGGGCCGTCCGAGGTCATTGACACGGCATGCTCGGCGTCGCTGGTTGCTGTTCATCACGCAATTAGGGCGATTCAGTCTGGGGATTGCTCCATGGCCCTTGCAGGCGGTGTGAATATCCTTACCGGAGTTCACAACTACATTGATCTCGGCAGAGCGGGATTTCTCAGTAGAACGGGCCAGTGTAAACCATTTGATGAATCAGCGGATGGCTATTGCCGTGCAGACGGAGTCGGGATCGTTGTGTTGAAGCCACTCAAGCAAGCAATTGCTGACGGGAATCACATTATGGGCGTCATTTCTGCGACAGCTACAAACCAGGGCGGCTTGTCTCAGGGTATCACAGTTCCGCATGGAGATGCTCAGAGGGCGCTCTATTGTCGAATCCTCAAGACTGCCAATATTGAGCCAGATCAGGTGACATATGTCGAGTCACACGGAACAGGTACTCAGGTCGGCGATCCTATCGAAGTCTCCAGCATTCGCGAGGTCTTTGGAGGGCCATCGCGGCAATCAGTGGTGTACATTGCGTCCCTCAAAGCCAATGTAGGACACAGTGAAACTGCTGCTGGAGTTGCTAGCCTTCTGAAGGTCCTCACAATGTTTGCTCACAAAGCCATTCCTCCGCAAGCTGGATTCAAGACACTGAATCCCAAGATTCCCGCTGTTGAGCCGGATAACATGATGATTGCCGCTCAGCTCATGCCGTGGGATTCGAAGATACGCATGGCCTGTGTCAACAGTTATGGGGCCTCAGGGAGCAATGCGGCGCTGATCTGTGCAGAATGGACCGCTGAGATAGCAAGACCGAGAGCGGGTGCGCCGACTTACCCAGTCTTTCTGAGTGCGCATACAAAAGATGCTCTGAGAGACTCAGCCATCCGACTGGCCTCTTACTTTCAGAGTCCCGGAAAAGCCTTGAGTATTGGCAGCGTAGCCTTTACATTGAGCGAACGCAGAAAACACCACCGTTATCGATGGTCCACCTCTGCACATAGTCTGTCCGACCTGACCAGACAACTGCACGCGGGTGTGATGGAAGGCATTGTTGAGTCTCCCAACACACGAATGCCGGTTGTTCTGGCCTTTTCAGGTCAATCTAGGACGAAGATCGGCCTCGACCCGACACTCTGCGAATTATATCCCCAGTTCCGCCGTTATCTAGAGAACTGCAATGACATACTGCGAAGCTTGGGCTATTCAGACATCATGTCTTCACTTATTCAGACCGACGCCGTCACAGACGTTGTCATTCTCCATGCGGGCACATTCGCTGTTCAATATGCCTGTGCGAGAAGTTGGCTAGAAGGCGGATTGCAGGTTGACGCAGTGATCGGTCACAGTCTCGGCGAATTGACGGCGTTGGCTGTATCCGGCGTGCTGTCACTGGAGGATGCTCTGGGTCTGGTCGCGAAGCGAGCTCTATTGATAGAGAGAAAATGGGGCTCAGAACCGGGATCCATGTTGGCGATTTACTCAGATCTCGAGACTGTGCAGCAGATCGTTGCAAGCTCACACACGACAGTCGTGGAGGATGGCCTTGAGATCGCCTGCCACAACAGCCCTAACGCTCATGTTGTTGTTGGAAAGCGAGCGTCTATTGCGAGAGTTAAAAAGCTTATAGACAGCAATCCGCAGTTTCAAGGCACGCGACATCAGCGTCTCGATGTGAGCCACGGCTTTCACTCGAGATTGACAGACCCGTTGCTCCCAGATCTAATCAAGTTCGCCAATAGCTTGACGTTCAATGAGCCTCTTATTCCGCTAGAGACATGTACGGAGTCGCCTGTTCTTAGCATCACACCGAAGTACATTGCAGAGCATTCGAGACACGCAGTGTATTTTACACATGCCATTCGGCGTCTTGAGCGCCGTCTTGGCCCATGCACCTGGTTGGAGGCAGGATGGCATACTCCGATCATCCCCATGGCAAAGAAAGCTGTCGCAATGCCTGAGATACACAACTTTCAATCATTGAGTGGCTCGGCAGTGGCCGTCTCCAATGTAACGGCTGCTCTATGGAAACAAGGCCATTCAATTTCCTGGTGGGGTTTTCTCTCCCCAGGAGACTCACAACTCGACCAAATCTGGCTGCCGCCATTTTCGTTCCAACCATCCCACCATTGGCTCGAACATGTTGATCGAGTGACGAAAGTCCAGCATCCTGACAGCAAGGTGCTTCAGCAGCGATCTCGACTTGTGAGCTTCGTCAAAGTATCGGCCACAGGCGACGAGTTCCAGCTCCTCAGGCAGTGTGAAAAATACAGCAACATAGTCAAAGGCCACGCTGTGCGCCAAAGGCCTCTTTGTCCAGCTTCCTTGTACATGGAAATTGCCGTCATGTGTGCTCAGGAGAGAGGTTTTGACTTTAACGAGCACACGATCAAATTCCGCGAGATTGTCTTCTCCAACGGCCTGGGATGCGACAACAGCCGTGATGTGAGAGTCGTGTTGGCACAAAATCTAGACTCAACTGCTGATGGTGCATGGAATTTCTCAGTCAACAGCTCAAAAAAAGGTGATGCGAAGTCTGTAAGGACGATGCATGCGATTGGACAGTTTGCTGCTTTATCAGAGGCGTCCGACTTTCGTATATACGAGGGGCTCATCTCGGACCGCATGGCTCTCCTCCCCAAGGATCCAAACGCAGAACACCTAAAGAGAAGAACGGCGTATGCTGTGTTCTCGAGAGTTGTTGAGTATGCTGAACTTCTCAGAGGTATCTCCTCGATCACTTTGTCTGAAGATCAAGCTATCGCTGAGATCGAGCTCCCAGCTGAAGCGTCGACGAACTGCGATAGCACTGTCGACCGCTTTATGGACGCGATATCTCTGGATACATTCATACAGGTTCTCGGCCTGTTGATCAACTCAAGACTCAACACTGTAGGCCACGAGATCTTTGTTGCGACAAGCATCGAGAACATGACAATTCTCCCTTGCGACTTCAAGACCCAGAAACGCTGGAGTGTGTACGCCATGTTCGGTATGAAGGGTGATCGACAAGCCATTGGAGACGTCTTTGTATTCTCTCCCGAAGGCAGGCTCGTCATTCTTGGGTCGCAGATAAGTTTCACCAGGATCAAGGCAAGCATACTAGAAGAATTGCTTGACAGAAACTACTCAGAATCCGTCATGGTCAAAGCTCAGCGAGCCGAGGGCCCAGCTGCGTCTGGTGTGATGCATCGCATTCGCACTGGTGAGGCTATCGCTGCAGGCAGTTCTGTCCTTCCTGTTGATTCGCTGCCGGCGAAGTCTGAAGAACCAGCTTACAACTTCGACGACGCGAAGGTGCTTATAGCAAGTTATATTGGTCTTACGGCGTCTGAGATTCGCAAAGAGGAAAGTTTCAGTAGTCTAGGCCTAGACTCACTGTCTTCAGTCGAACTTGCCGATGAGTTGCGAGTTAAGTTCGGAATTGAAGTTTCGCCAAGTGACTTGCTCACAATGCAAGTGGGCGAGCTTGAACAAGGGGGTCCATCACAAGGCACAGACTCAATTGATGTACAGGAACAGGACCTACCGCAGTCCATAAACAGACGTGTGAATGGACTTGCGAATGGACGTGTCGCTCAAGCCAGTGGGCTGAGAAACGGCCTTCATGATGGATGCAGCAATAACAATGTGAGCGGTCAAGTGAAAGACCACGCCTATAGCTATGCCAGCAAGACAAACGGACATCTAGAGAAGCCTCTGAGACGACCGCACTACGCAAGGCACCGCGTTCAGACGGTAACTTACAAAGAAGTCGACGGCATCCACATTCTGGCAGACATGTTCATTCCGCTAGAGCCACCCTCGGAGGCTATGCCCATAGGTACGCGGTAGCTGGCCAACTCATCCCTGAAATAAGTCAACTGACATGTTCCATTATCGATAGCGCTCATGATCCACGGAGGCGGCCATTTGACGCTGTCGAGGAAAGCCATTCGGCCGTCCCAGACATCCTTTCTCCTAGCAAATGGCTTATTGCCCATTAGCCTAGACTATCGACTTTGCCCTCACGTCAATGTCCTTGATGGACCTATGGCAGATGTTCGAGATGCCTATGCCTGGGCAAGAAAAGAGGTTCCATTGCTGCTGCGAGAGGCAGGCATGTGCGTGGATGGCTCAAAGATTGTCGTCGTCGGCTGGTCAACAGGAGGGCATTTGGCAATGACTACTGCTTGGACTGCTCCAGCCGCAGGTTTGCCTCCTCCTTTGGCTGTTTTGGCATTTTACTGCCCTACACATTACGATCCTTCGGGTATGTTTAGACATTTCCATTGGAAAGACTTTCGCAACTTTGCTAACAATTAATAAAAGATGATTCCTTAAGAATGGGCAAAGACTACCATTCCCGCACAATGTCAATGTCCGAGATCCGAAAGGCTTTAGGCACGCAAACAGTATGTTCATTCTTTTCGTCGCTCCACATATCATCATTACTCATGCAGACGTACAGGCATCGAGTCACGCATTCAGTAGTACTGATACAACCGGTCTGGGCTGGCTTGAACCAGGAGATCCCCGCTCAGAGCTGGTGCTGGCTCTTGTCAAAGAACAGAACGGTGTGTCTCTTTTACTAGATGGTGTTCCTACTGATGGAAACACCTTCCAAGCTCCTGAGCCCGAGCGAGTTACAGCTATCAGCCCGCTGTCTCAGGTCCGCCTCGGCACCTATCGCACACCGACGTTTGTCATCATCGGCGACGAGGATGAAGTTGTCCCCTTCCACTCTTCGGTTGACTTTGTTGATGCCCTGAGAACACAGGGTATCAGACACGGGTTCATCCCGGTACCGGGTCAGCGACACATTTTCGACCTGACGCTTGCACCGGGGATGGCGAAATGGGAAGAGTGGGTGGCTCCAGGCTACAAATTCTTGTTTGACATCCTTGGTATTTCTTCCGATTGATACCCTCTTCCCTCGAGGAGAGTATGGTGTTGGGCCTGGCTGTGGGGTTGGCACAGGCGGCTAGAAGTCTCGCGTCAAGTTTGGGCTCTTCTTAAAAATGGGCAATTACGCATTCATTGAACAGATATCACAAGTACACGGCTCTCCCCGTGGAGCACCAAAATGGCATTCCACAAAGTATGCGGGACATCGACACGTAGAGACAGGGGTGCATATGTCAATCATTGGCACCAGCTTGAGACGATTCGCCAATCTTAGAATGGGCCAGGCAGCTGGAACATCCATGTGAATTAGAGGATGCTAGTCCAAGGTGATCCAATTTGTCCGTAAGAAACCACCGAACTGGCATCCACAAGACTGCAATTCCCATCCATGGAACTCCGCGTCTATTTATCGCCGATGAATTGATCCGGTGATCCTTGACTGTCGGTGCATTCGGTGGATTACATCAACTTACTCGGATCTCTTGGAAGAACTACGTGGCATCATGCGTATCAGAAAATACATCGGTCAAGAGAAGAGGTATGTTGGCCATGATACAATGTAGTCTGTGTGTTATGATTGTATTGAGACTACCTGATGCATGTTCAGGAGAGCATCTCTTGAATTAGTTCTAGATGTGCATTGTACCGAAGGCCTATTCACTGCCTCAGATAGCCTACCGATCTCCAGTACCTAACATATCCAGCAATGGTTCCTCTGTCCAGGGCCTTGAGACAACGTAGTGTAGCTGAGTTCTTGCGGCTCATATCAGTCCCCATGACAACTGCCCCTGAAGACGCGATACGGAAATAAAGCTTGAAGAACTCGTACAGCTTCCTTACGGGATAATCCTCGACGTCCCTTTCGGCCGTTGATGTGACCTCCCCCAGCCAGTCGTCAAAGGAGAGCGTCTTTGTGATGCGGAGCTCGTTACCGATGATCTGAAAGACCTCGGACCAGGACTGTCTGACCGGGTTCTCTACGTGCGTGACCAGGCCTGGAGCGTCTGGCGCGAATAGAAGTTCTGCCACCGTTGCTGCAGCATCATCTACCGGGATCCAGGAAACAGTCTGTGGTATCAAAAGTTAGTGCTTATCGAGTCGTGACCGAGGGGCGTGTATACTCGTTGACAGTCATGGAATGAATGGGGTGAGGTAGGAAAAGTGCATACTCCTTCCAATATGGGCAGAATTCCTAGGCCCTGAGAGGTGCGGATAAGCATAGGAATCTGCTCACTGACGTTCCACGCTCCCGTCTTCCGAGCGCCACTCAGCTGTCCGCATCGGGCGATTACTACCTCCACATTGCTATTGTAGAGTGAGGCTGCCTCTTCGAGAATCTTCTCACAAACCAACTTTGCATCGGCGTATCCGATGCCACAGGCGGCGCTTTCCACATCCAGGGGCTCTTCTGGGATGGGTCTTCCAGGAGTGATGAGCCCTAGCTTGGCGAGGGCGGAAATGGACGAGACAAAGAGAAAACGGACCTTTTGCGGCGCTTGAACAGCGATTCTCAAAAGATTCTTGAGATATGAAAACTGGTAGCCGAAGGATGGCAGCCGCATGTGGAAATCCATGGGCCAAGCTGCGTGCAAGATATGGGTGACCGTCTTCGACACCATGCCCATGACCATCGCAGGAAGCCCCAAGTTGTCTATGGTTGGATCAATTTCTAGCGCCGTAATCTTTGCCCATTGATCGTCGGTCAATTTAATGCCCTTGGCTTCAATAGAGGCTCTGTCGACCTTGGCTGCCCCTGGAATGGGGTTGATGACGGTGCCTGGCCGCTTTCGTTGCAAGCAGACGATCTTGGCAACTTGGGTGGACTCGGCAAGTTTCCCCAGCGCGTGGGATCCCAGGCCACCTGAGCTGCCTGTCAGAAGCACCACTGCTCCCCGGATAAGCTTGGGAGAAGCTTTTGGCACTATATCTTGCACTTCAAAGCCCTTGATGGAATACTGCTGGGCATAATCATCTACTTCCTGTGCAACCGATGCGCTCTCCGTGCCAATGGGGCCGTTGGCGGGTCTCAGAGCGTTTGCGATGGCTTTGACGGAGGGATTTACATAGATAAAATCTTTCCCAATGACGTCTGGAGGCGTTTTTGAAGCAGCTGAAAGAAGGATGCGTCGCAGCGTTGTGGCTTGTAGAGAGTCGAGGCCCAGATGAAACAAGTTGTCATCAACTGTCCATTTCCCAGGATGGACTCTCAGTTTGAGTCTTTTCTGAATCAGTCCCTTGAGTTCTTGCTCGAGTTTATCGTAGTCGAGTGGTGTTTCTTCAATGGAGCCGTTCTCGAGGTCCTCATAAACCTGTGAAATTTCCTTTTCGAGCAGTTGGAAGACCTCTTTTCGAGCAATTGATCCTTTGTCGGTTCTCGGGATTGTGACGGATGACGGAACGACAATCACGGCATTGGGCGAGTAGATTCTCGCGGTGGTGTCCATGCGTTCTCCTACGCGTACAATGATAGGCCAAATCTTTTTCCTGAATTCCTCCTTCTGGTCGGGATTTAGAGGAGTTGCAGGCTCGACGACGACACCTATCTGGAACTGGTTCTCGCCAAATACAATCGCTGATTTGACCAGTCCAGAATCAGTCAGGGCGGTTTCCAATAATAATGGGTTGACCTTCTCGCCAGTTGCAAGAACAACGACATCGTCGTCGCGTCCGACAGCGGCAAAATCCGTCTCGGGGAACTTCTCGCTTCGAATGAGTTGATCGGCAATCTCGAATGGCTTATCGGCACCAAATGGGAATACCGTCAGCCTGAACCTTTTCTCGCCGTCAACTGGGGGGAGCTCCGTGACCTTGAACAGCATATCCTGTCGGAGTCTGAAGTATTTCCAGTCGTAACCCGATTTAGGCGCAAATGTCTTCGTCAACGGGCCCGTTTCAGTTGTCCCGTAGAGGTTCAGTAGCTTGACGCCCGCAGCTGACGCAGATACTCCGAAGTCAGCACTCAGAGCACTTCCTCCGGTTCCAACAAAGTCCAATTTGGCCAGAGCCCTCAGACCGGTTCCGTTCGGCAGAGCAGCCATGTTTTCGAGAAGGAAAGGCACAGTCAGCATGCCAGTTGCGCCAGACATGTTGATAAGATCGACAATTGATTGAGCATCGGGAACTTCGTCCGAGGCGGGAAAGCACACTGTCTTTCCAATAGCCATCGAGAGTCCTGGTGCAAGAAGCCCGAAGCCATGGAACAGGGGCAATGTAGAGATGACAATTCCTTGAGCCTCCTCTTCTGTTTCGAAGTCACCGTGACTGACGGAAAACATGAGCTGTCTGTGGCTCAGAGCGATTGGCTTCGGAAGGCCTGTAGTTCCAGAGGAGTGCAGAAGCACAATGTTGGCGTCAATGTTATCCGGGTAAACCGACTGCTTCCTGACGCTTTTGTCTGCCGGGACATTGCAGAAAGTGCTGTACGGCTGAGCAACATGAAAGTCACTGGTCTTGACATTCCCGAAAGCTCCTTTGGTGATCATGGCGACCCTTTGAGAAACAATGAGAGATGAAGCTTCAGTACTTCGCAGGAGGTGGAAGATGGCTTCAGGACTCAGACGAGCGGAGAGGACAAGTGGCTAGCCAAGTCAGAGAAGCACGGAGGAGGCTCGGAATGAAATTACGCACGGGAATGCCCATAGACACAAGAGCGAACTGGTGCACCAGGAGACCAAAGTCACTCTCCATCAGCAGAGCAACCGGCAGTCTCCCTGTAAGATCATGCTTTGTCCTGGCCTTGGGCAGCTTGACGTTTTCCGCAATCCATGTGGCGCATTGGTCAATCGCGACCTTGAATTGAGCATTGGTGATTTTGACCCATGGCGCGTTTGATCGGGCCTGGATGCAAAGAAGGTGATTGGGGTTTTGAACAGCATTGAAGTCAACCAACTCTGGCAGAGAGTGTATATAGTCCTCCTTTCTCTCTGCAGAGGAGAAATCAACGTTGGCCTTCACAAACGAACGCATCGTATTGGCGTGTCCTGGGTGTAACTTCGGCTATAAACCAGCTATGTACGTCCGGCATGAATCGTATGAAGCATAACATGGTGTTTATATACAAACAGGATCCGTCATATACTATATGGCTCCCATGGACTATTCAGTGGAATATCGCCGACAATGTATCTTCGCTTGTTGAAGTTGGTGTGGTATCGGACCTTGGCTAGGTACTTGTAGATTGATCCACGCCGCTACTTCACTTCATATGGCAATATGTGCTATAAGTGACATGGATTCCAAGAGTGTGGATAACCGCCATTTAGGATCGCAGTTGACGGAAAATCGGTGGTCGCGGTTTGCGCAATACTATTGGAATGTCGGTAAGCCAAAGTCGGAATATTGCAGTTGGTCGTGTCAACACAGGACTGTAAGCACAGCTGGATAATATTCCTTGGCTACCGTCTCAGTCCAGTAATAGTCATATTCCGAGCTTACAATTAACGTACATGTGTGTGAAAACTTTTGGTGGCACCCTTGCTGCGGCATTAGAAGCTGCGGCGCTTCACCTTAATCATGTATCGATGAGCTTGAAGCTGCTGCGCAACCCGAAACACTGTAGTCTCATCCTGCCCAGGCACATACTCGAACTCGAAGCGCCGGAAAAGGCTGACCAGCGTCATGTGCATCTCCTGCAACGCGAAATGCTTTCCGATACACACGCGACTACCGGCGGAGAAGGGCCAAAAGGGAACTTCGTTCACCTTTCCTCCAGCATAAATGTCCAGCCAGCGCTCCGGCAAGAATTCGGTTGCGTGAGGCCAGACCTTCTCATCCATGTGAACATTCTGGGTGCATGGGAAGACGGTGGTCCCCTTGGGGATGCTGTAGCCTAAAACCTTCTCCTCTTTCTGACACTCACGAGGGCTGCCCGTCGCTTGGCCGGGCACAAGGCGCATCGTCTCATCGATGCAAGCTTGAAGGTAGGTCATTCCCGTAAAGCTATACTCGCAATCAACAACCTTGTCAGGGTCTGACGGCGGATACCACTTGTCGACCTCGGCCACAAGCTTGGCCATCTTATCCTTGTTTTTCGTCAGCATGATGAGGGTGAAAATTTCCGCGTTGGCTGTGGTTTCACTGCCCGCAGTCAACAAGATAACAGCCTCATCTTGAATGTCCGATCGGCGAAAGACGGAGTCCTCGGAATCATCGCCCGCTTCTACGAGCTTCTGCAGCAAATCCCGCTTGTTGCTCGCCTTGAGGATTGCCCTGCGATTTTCCACGGCATCGGACGTAAACTTGTCGACATAGGGATCACGAGCCGGCAGGAAAGGAATGTTTCGGATCCACGGGACCAGCATCAGCACGCCAGCTAACTTCAACGCCTTTTTTATCTGGTCCGGCAGCGGGTGTGAGCCGTTCTGTACGACGTTGAAGCTCTGACCAAATGTGGTGACACCAATAATATCGACAGCCAAACTCTGGATGAGATGCTGCATGTCCACCTCAACGGGCTGCTTTCCACATTGTGCATCGAGCTTATCGACAGCAACGTTGATGCATTCTAGCATCAGTGGTTGCATACTGCGGATATAACGTATGCCGAACATGGACGAGATCATGCGCTTCCGCACTGAATAGGCAGCTTTGTCGGTAAAAGCAATCAGCGTGGGACGCCTGGGATCCTGCCTGAAGTTGCCATAGACAGCTTCTGACTTGTGCCAGTCCTGCGTCTGGATGATGCGCTTCACCTCAGCGTGGTCGGAGATGGAGATCATGTCCGGTGCCAATACGACGATAGGGCCATATTCTTTATGTAGCCTGTCCGCGAAGTGATGGCTAAACAGCTGTCAATGATCAATGACTTTGTTGTCAATGTGAGTGCACAAGTCATACCTTGCTCCCCTTAGTACTGACAGAGTAAACGGCCATGATGTAATTTTGTTGAGTATAGGGCCCGGAACTTTCTGGATGGGTGAAAAAAGTGTTTTTAGAAACTGGCGGAGTCAGCATAACATTCCCCTTCAAGGGGAAATATCAGCTTACACTGAGGATGCGCGGAACGACAAAGTAGACGAAAGCGCTAGCCAGTGCCACCCTTTGAGGTGTGAGGCTGGTCTGTATTAACCACCAGTTTGATGCATCCATTTCGGCCATCATGTGACGTGACTTTGGAGAAAAACACAAACCTTCCATGTCTGCTCTGTGGCAAGCATGTCTTTTTTAAGCCAACTTCGCTGCACCAGCGGTTCGGGTAGTGGCATGATGCCAACGGCAGTGCCATTCGATTCTCGTTATGGAAAGTCGCCGATGGTTTGATATCACAAGTCAAGGCGGCATGGTTGACCAGATTGGTGATTCGATGGATTACCCGTACATTCACCAGAGGGGAGGGGATGGCTCCATGCCAGAGGCAAGTGAGTAGATATGCGATATACGGGAGTAGCTTACTAAAAGGATGTAAGTCCAAGATACTGGACTTTCGTAACAGCGGCGGCTCACCGTTGGTTCCAGGAAAATCACAGGAGACAGAATGTCAAGCTCTGCACGCTGTTTGAAGGTAGGAGGAGCAAGTGCCGATTACATCTCATCCAAGCCCATTTGCGCCAACAAAGCCCCCTGTTCCTCTCAAAAGCAGAACCACACTCGCTGCCACCGGCTCATTGATACTTGTATATCGACTTGATCTGGCAGTAGCTCAACAAGCCTTCAAGCCCATACTCAACCCCGATACCGCTCTGCTTGTGGCCCCCAAAGGGGACAAACGGATCTGGTTGAGGTGGCCCATTAATAAAGATATTTCCCGCCTCTAGCCTCCTGGCAATGTCTTCGGCAAGTTCCATTTGGTTCGTCCAGATGCTCGCCGCGAGCCCACTTTCCGTGTTATTGGCAAGACGAATTGCTTCATCAACGTCAGAAAACGGTATACATGGGATGACGGGGCCTGGCATGCAGTCATTATCAGCAATCATTTCTCAGTGGTACTCTAGCAGCAGGCTTACCAAAGTGTTCCTCCTTGACAATGGTCGAATCAGGGGGCGGATTATCCACAATCGTAGGAAAGGCGTAAAACCCCTCCCCATCGCGTATCCCGGCCTGTTCGGTTCTGATTTTGTATCCCCGCTTGCGAATATCTTCAAACAACGCCTGCAATTTCTTCAGTTGCATATAGTTCTGCACAGGGCCCACGTTGGCCACGACATCTTTGGCAGCGGAGTTTGTGGCTCGTGCAAGTGCGTCAACAAAGCTCTCATAGATGGTTTCGTGGATGTATAATCGGCGGCTAGCGAGACAGATTTGACCTGCGTTGAACCATAGGCCAGCAGCTATCAAAGGAGCTGTTTTCTCGATGTCAACGTCTGGAAGAACAAGCGATGGATTATTTCCGGCCCTATTTCTCTTTATCAGCTTTCGCTGCAAGACTCAAAAAGGAGGGGGGGGGGGGGGGGGGGGGCATCAGATGAGTTGTCCTACATTTCCAAAGTCAGCCTCTTGACCGTCCCGGCACAGGCCTCCATAATCTTCTTGCCAGCAATGGTTGACCCAGTGAATGATATCTTTTGAATTCCTGGATGACGGACGAGCTGGGGACCTAGATGATCATCTCCTCCCAAAGCTTGTACTACTCCTGGAGGAAATACCTGTTGAGCCAACTCAACCAGTTTTAACGCCGTGTATGGGGCAAATGGCCTACTTATAATTAATCAGAAGCTGCATCATTGTTAGGTACTTTTCCGGCACTGGGAGAGCATACGATGGCTTCACGATGACACAGTTTCCTGTGGCTATCGCTGGGGCAATTTTGCCAATTGCTGCATTCATCAGACAGATTCACGATGAGCTGCAACTGAAATGGGCATACCGAGCATCAAGGGAACTGAGGGTAGATGTTTAGCCAGCATCCAACTGTAGTACTTGAAGCAACCAGACTCACAATTCCATGGACATATCGCTGCCACGACCCCCAGAGGCTCGTATCGGACAATCGTATATTTCGTCTCATCCTCTTGCCTTTTCTCTGATATTTCATACTTTGCTATTCGTTCCGGTCAGCCCAGCCCAGCCGCCAACAGCACCAATTCACCAACATGGGTATCTAAACCAGTTCGCCGCCCAGTGTACCTCAATCGCATTCACTTGAGCCTAGACACGATATAAGCCATGTTTTGGTCAAGCAGAGTTACTTATCCCATACACTTCGACCCGTTTCTGCACCTAGCAGCTCGATAAACTGGTTTGCATGGGCCAAAAATATATCGGCAAACCTTTCAAGCAGCTCAGTCCGGTCCTTGTACGTTTTCGCTGCCCAGGAACCAAATGCCTTTCGCGCAGCGACAACCGCATCTTCGACGTCTTGGCTTGTAGCAACAGGGGTCTGCCATAGCGATGATCCAGTCGCCGCGTTTGTGCCAGTGTAGAAACTCTCAGACGAGCGACGGGTGCCGTCTACGATGTTTGCAAACTTGGTAAAGTCGATGAGATGCATGGTTCTGGTTGTGATGATACAATTGGACAATTGAAGGGATTGCTAGGATTCTGCAGCCATGATGGCTCTTCCTTTTTATCATTGAATACGTTTCGAATAATAGAATATCTTCTCTCCAGTACCCAATACTCGCCCGGATCTATGGCCAATCCAGAGCTGATTGAACGACACCTTCGGCGGTTTTCTATGGATTCGCTTAGCAACCACGGTTGAGCTGAAGCTCGTAGCCATTGCCGAGTAGTAGTAGTAGTAAGCTCTAAGCTCGATCTCTTCACGCAATGATCCTATGAGAGAGAAGTGAGGCTATGCCTTCGGCACCTGCCAGACCGTGCTCGAATTAACACGAACGTCCATTGCAGCTTGATACGTTGACTTTGGTATTTAAGGGCTTCTCGCCGTACCTGTCATCTCAGCTAGTACCTTGGCTTGCACACCATCAAGTCCCGCATCGACACTCTTCCTCTACTAATCAGCAGTGCATCCTCCACTCTCTCTCACAACCTGTATTCTTATGAGCTCGTCTTGCAGCTCCTCGTCTTGCATTCCTTACACTTCATCCACATCGAGACTTTCCGAAGCTCATGGCGCCACTCATCTTCTGATACTACCTAAGGTATTATACTGGTATCACAACGCCTAAAGCCTGATACATATTGGGCATTCATCTCCCCCATTGATCGGGGCTTTTTACTTCAATGCTACTCTCCAATGCACGTAGAAAGTCGCCGACAAATGCAGGGATTTCACTGCAATTTCCAGGGCCAGTCTGGAGTTTCGTCCTCACATACACGACAAAAGGGGGAGAAAAGTTTGAACATCTCATCGCATCATACTTCATCCACCCAACGAACTAGATCACCATGGACGCTGAGAAAGGGACAGCGCCAGCTCCAGTTACTATCGAGCCCGAGGCGCCGCCCAAGGATGCTCGCTTCTGGCTCATTTTTGTAGCCATTAGCTGTGTGACATTCCTCGTCGCTTTGGACACATCCATCATCTCGACTGCCCTCCCGACAATCACGGCCAAGCTCAACTCTGGTGAGCTCTACGTATGGATCATCAACTCGTACCTCCTCGCGGCGACAACGTCCGCGCCGCTGTTTGGCCAGGCCGCCGACATCTTTGGCCGCCGAACAGCTACCGTGACGTCGCTGATCTTGTTCGCCGCGGGAAGCGCCATCTCAGGCGCCGCTACGAGCACGGGCATGCTGATTGCCGGGCGAACAATCCAGGGCTTGGGAGGAGGCGGTATTGCAACTCTGTCCGAAGTCGTCGTATGCGATTTGGTGTCGCTTCGAGAGCGAGGCCAATATGCAGGCATTATCAGCTCCGTCTGGGCCATTGCCGCCGTGGTTGGCCCCATCATTGGTGGTGCTTTCACCCAGCACGTCACCTGGCGCTGGATCTTCTACCTCAACTTGCCCATCTCCGGCGTGACGCTTGCCTTGGTCTTGGTGCTTCTCAGGATGCGAAACCCGCGCCAGGGAACCGTTGCCGAGCGCCTTGCATGCGTTGATTGGGCTGGATATGCCATCCTAACGGCTTCAGTCACTTCGACGCTGTTGGCTCTCACCTGGGGAGGAACTACGCACGCTTGGTCATCGTGGCGGACCATCGTTCCGTTGGTACTGGGCTTCGTCGGTCTCATCGGCTTCATCGGATACGAGGCAGCTCCATGGGTCAAGGAGCCCGTGATGCCCCTGCGTCTATTTGGCAATCGAACAGCGGCTGCGACGCTGGCCATCAGCTTCGTCCACAGCATCCTCCTCTTCTGGGTCTGCTACTTCCTGCCCGTGTACTTCCAAGCCGTGCTCAATGCCACTCCCGCTAGATCCGCTGTCATGCTGTTTCCCATTGCCACGACGACGGCACCCGCCGGTATCATCTCGGGCGTGATGATTACAAAGACTGGTCGGTACCGGCGATGGCATTATATCGGGTTTGGGCTCATGGCCATTGGTTGTGGCCTCTTCACCCTGCTTGACGAGCACTCGTCGACGGGCCGCTGGGTCGGTTTCCAGATCATCTTTGGCTTCGGCTGCGGCTTCGTCTTCACCAGCTGTCTGCCCGCAATCCTGGCGAGCCTGCCAGAGTCCGAAGTCGCGCTTGCCACCGCAACGTGGACGTTTTTGCGCAATCTGGGATCCATCTGGGGCGTTGCCATCCCGTCAGCCATCTTCAACGCCCACGCTGACAAGGTGGCACGCTCCGTCTCTGATGCCTCAGTGCGTGAGCTGTTGCTTCGCGGCGCTGCATACCAACACGCGACTCGCGCCTTTGTGGCCTCTTTTGCGGACAATGCGACTCTTCACCAGAAGATTATTGATCTGTACGTATCGAGCTTGAAGATTGTTTGGCAGGGATCCATTGGCTTTGCCTCCTTTGGTGTCGTGCTGGCCATCGCGCTCAAGGCGTACAAGCTGCGCGACCAACTCAACACCGAGTATCGGCTAGAAAGCGGAAGCAAGGAGGCGTCTTCTTCTCCAGGGCCAGCCACTGAAACCACGAGCGTAGAGCTGGAGAAGCCGGCCGAACAGAAGTGAAACCCGAGTTGATGTGTCCAACCGAGCAAACCAAACTGCCGATCAACTTCGAATCACTTGCATGACAGTACGTGATCTAGCTGGGCAGTACCTAGGTAGTTAGTTGCTTCAGGTCTTAGAATATTTTAAGATAGCAAACATTTCTGTAATATAAGAGCGTTGCAAGTGCGTTTACCTTGGTCTCTGTGCCTGAGGCCGCAGAGACACGTGCGGGCCGGCTGCACGTACCTTATTGTAATTACTCGTACTGTTTGTTGTTTGGCACCTCTGACAAAAAAATAACGTCCGATACATTTTTCAATCAAATGTAGGGTAAGTACCTACGATCAACAAATGGTACGAGCTGTGAGGTTTCGTTGAACTGTTGTCACGATCCCCATTGGTTGGGGCATTTCTGCGGGTTTTTTCCTTCTCTGTTAGATAATACCGCCCGTTGAATAATCCTGCAACCGATGATCAAGGTTTGCCTGCTTAAGGGAACAGGATTTTTGACAAGTCTGGTGACGAACGCAAGGCAATGTGCATCCTCTGGCTTATCTGGCGAAGCACCCATATCTTGAATTGGGCCTCATTAATATCATCAAGACGATACATATAACGCATGTAACAATCCTCTCGTTAACAATTGTCATTCCGCATCCGTCCACCACTTTTCAAGAAATTCCCGAATTTTCGTGAACTTGTAGTCGGGAAAAATCTGGTTCCACTCATCAGACACCTCCCAGCTACCTTGATAAATAGAGACTATCGTCTTGGCAGTGAAAATCTTTGCCGACGACACTCTCAGCTCCTCAGGAACCGTAGGATGTTCCATTCGTGGATGCCAAGTGGCAGTCAGTCTGCCAGCCCGAGCTTGCACAGATTTGATGGTTTCGACAGCGAATCTTCCACCTGCATTGTGTAGACCATGTCAGTAGAGTACCTTAGGTAGAGAATTCAAGGAGACGGCGGGGGAAACAGTACCTCGAATCTTTTCTCCCAACAGAATTAGCTCTTGCTGGGAGATGTTGTCGCCCCTGATCCCTCCCACTGTTGGCCATTCTCCTCCATACTCAACGGCTTTGGCAACAATGTTCGCTACGTCTTCCATCGTTGTCATGCTGAAATAGCCGGGATTCTTGGCATCACCTAGGATGATTGCCCGACGATGTTCCATGTCAATGTGGATGCCCCAGATATCTGCATACTTGGTTGTTTTCTGAGGGAAGGCCAGATAGTTCATGAGCATGCCTGGCCGGAAACAGCAGTACTCAAGGACCTAGCAACAATGCCAGTTTCACATTAACTTGCTGGCTCCTCAACTGGAGCTGGAGGACATACCTTTCCAGCCTCATTGATCTTCTTCAGATACTGTTCTATCGCAGTTTTACCCGCATACCACGGGAGCCCGTTGGTGGAAGCTCTGGCAATGTTGAATGTTAGTGTGTGTCTCGAATATACCAAGGCACAGGGACCGAGGTAGACGAACCCGGCCCAATCACTAGGAGCAAAGCGTTTGACGCCTGCCTTGACGCATGCATCAATCAAGTTTCGCTGCGACAAGTTTCCCTTGTCCTGAGCAACCACGATGAATGAGAGCACTGTGTGCACGCCTTGCAGGATATCCACCAGCCTCGTGGCATCAGCATAATCTGCAACAAGCCATGATACTCGTGACTGCAAATCTGGAATATTTGCCTCCTATCGACTCATTAGCACCTCCCTGAGGACTTCGTACCACTTGGTTACCTTTCGAGAGATTATTGTGATCTCGTGTTTTCCAGTGGCAAGAAGGGCATCCATAATCTCTCGTCCCACACCCCCGGAGCCTCCTGCAAGCGCAATCCGAACCATAGCTAGCCTGATGAATGTAAGTTTGAGCTTTGATAGATGGCCTTTCTGGCATATTAGGCTGTGTCTACTTCAACCGCCGACTTGTTCTTATGCTACTCTACTCTTACGAGTCATCGAGATTATACTGTCCTTTCTGGGAAGTCAGACGAGTCTACTACTAGGGGGGTCTATCACCGAATTCCCGATACGAGAACCACCATCGTCATTGGATCGTGTGCATTTAGCTTGTCTCCTCACGGGCTCAAGATTCTCATGGAATCGGACCACTTACGCCGCAGCCCTTCTCCCCGCCCTTGCTTTTCCCGGTCGTTGTGCGGTTGTCAAAGCCTCAGCGTGATTCTGCTCCTTCTAGGAGGAAATGCGAAATACAAGTACCTATGGTCATCACTCGATGTAACGAAGTAAGGGCCGCAAAAATTACTGCATTCGCTTGCCACAGTGTGAACAGCATCTAGTCGGAGTCATGGATTCTCAATGGATTCTCGATTCTTTCCTTTTATTGGCGCATGGGCTGAGCAGGGGTTCGTTCCGGTGCGAAGGTAGTCACCATATCTCGTATCTTACTATTTCCTGCCGGCTACAGACAGCTCTAGGAATTATAGTCTCCGATCCATAATACGCAGATAAAACGCACCGATGGGTGGTGCCTCGTTGCTCGTGTCCATGCTGGCCTCTTTCTCACCACAGGAATGTCATGCCTCGAATTCCTTCGCGGTAGCTACCAGATTAGGGTGCCCAAACACGTCCTTGACTCCTTCGGCGCCGATGGTTCGCAGGTACCACGACGTCACGAGTGGATAAGCCTCCCTCCTCTTGTCATCGAGATAGTGCATGTACGCCCAATACAAGGCGGCAGCCAATGTCAGATCTGCTAAGCTAAGCTGGTCCGTTGCGAGCCATTCCCGGCCCGAAAGCCATTTCTCGACAACTCCCAGCCCAAAGCTCAGCCCTTTGGCGGCGGCAGCCTCCTTCTCTGGCACATAGGGCGCGAATCCTGCCCGAGAGAGCACGACGCCCATCATGTTCCCGTATACCTCATTGTCCGTGAAACTGATCCATTGTCGGACCCTGGCCCTCTCGGGGGCATTGGCTCCCAGCAGCTGGACTGAGCGAGGGCCTACCTCCGAGACGTATTGTGCGATTGCATCAGATTCGGCAATTGTGGTGCCGTCGGTGGCTTCGAAGGCGGGAACCTTGCCGATGGGAAACTTGGCCAGGAACTCGGGTGTCTTATTGGTGACCATATGCTTGTAATCTGACGCTGTTGCAACATTGATCCCGTTGACCTTGGCCGCAGCGAGGATCTGGTCTCATCGTCAATCCAAGTCCAAGCTAAAGGATATTGGCGTTGGAGTTCTGACTAAGAGTACTCCCTTATACTCGCAAGCATTCGAATCACCCACCTTGAGACATCTTGCATTAGGTACGTAAGAATACAATGTGCCGACGGTCGTCATTGTTGCGGGGCTCTTTTCGCTGGCTGATCGATTCGACGCAGTAGCCAGTAGCTGGTAATCTTGAAAGCCAGCAGAAAGACTGAGGTTAATTTTTTGACTCAAGGTTCTTCTCTTTCGGGTGGTCTGGATCTTTTGTAAGGCCCTGGGCGGAGGATTCGGAGGGTTTACTCTCTACGGAAACTGGGAGAAAACTATTGTTGGCCCCGTCAAAGTAGCAGCCCATGGTCTGCCATAGGACACGCCCTGAAGTTGCATGGTCCGGAAGCTCACGCGTCTACACGCGTCTATCATCGCTTGCAGAGCTGAGATTGTGTCCTCCACCATTGAATCAACAGGATAAGATAGTTTTATATGAGGTAGAGTAGGTAGGTAAGGTTTTGTAGGGTATCGCATACAAAGTATATCCGCTCCTAGGACAGAGACGGTCGAGTAATTCCAAATTGCATATCCAAAAAGGCAAACATCCTCTGATGAGAAAGCGCTAGAGCCCCAATCTTTGCTTGGAGGCCGCCTTCACTCACCCCCTTACCGATCCACAGCTCTTTCTTGCTGTTGTCAATGTGGTCTAGCTTCCGGAAGATTCGCTCGGCATTGATTTCTGGGACAAAATAGAACGTGTCCGAAGCGCCTGTTATCATAGTGGCGCACTTCAACTTGGATAGATACTCTCCTCCGTCTTCAAGGCGGAGCGTGAAGCGCTGCATTTGCCTCATAACGTCGGCTGGGTTGTTCACGCCATATATCCACATGCTGTGGCCAAATTCCCAGCGAAGCTGGAAATTGGCTGCCGCCAGTCGGTTGACAACAAAGTTAAAGAAGCTGTCACTTAGCCACCCATTCAGCCAGCCGCCGATGAACCAATTGGGCATTCGACTCTTGGTCACGTCAAAGAGGTCATAGCATCCGTCTGTCGAGATGGCTGCTCGGACTCGCGGATCGGCGGCAGCTCGCAGCACTAGATACCCTCCAAGAGATGCACCTAGCACGGCCACTCGATCCATGTCAATGTTGTGGTTTGCTGCCAGTTTGCTTTCGAGAAAGTCCAACACTTTAGATGTCACTCTCTCCCAGTCAGACACCATGTGAGTCCTGTCTCGCCGCAGAGAGATGCCTTGACCGGGGCCATCAAATGTTAGAACAGCATATCCACGAGGAAGTCCGCCTGCTGGCCCGTAAAAGTACAGCTCTTCCTGCGTCGAATCAAAGCCTCCCATTTGGACCAGAATGGGCAATTTATCCGTCACCATCTTATGAGCAGGCGGGAGGAAGAGCCTCGCAGGCATCGATATGTTGCCTTCGAATGGGATCTCAAGAGTGTGGAGCTCGCCATCCAACAGTCTGACCCCCCGTTCAAAAATATCAAAGCTTTTTTGGGCAGCGTTCAGAAGCCGGGGATCTTGCGGCTCGCAGTGCAGAAAGAACTCGCTGGAACGATAATAGTTCGAAGCTCTGATGAATGCCCATGAAGCTTCGACCCGATCGCCATGCTTTACAGCGTCTTCGCCCACGCTGACTGCACGCTCAGCTTCTGCTGTCCAGGCGCGGTACCAGCTTTCCGGATCATTATCAGTAATCCTGGTCCTGGCAACAAGGCACTCTCCAATTTCCGATCCGTGAAAAGGGGCGGCGTGTAGGACACGCAAGAACTCGAAATTGAAGAATTCTGATTTGAAAAACTGGAACATCTTGTGTTGTGACGCTGAGCTGGCCGTACTGGCACGACGTAGAATGGAGATATGGCAGGAGGAGGCGAAAACTCGGAAGGTAGATGGATGACACGACACGCGTATTGACAGACATGGCCCTTTAACATGCTATATGTTCAACAATTGCTGTCATTGTCGGCGACTTTCAGAGACGTGTCATACAATACACGGCGTCAAGATCTTTTCACGCTTGGGGTATTGGCTCCGAAACGCTACAGAGTCTAAGGCCTGAGACTTGTATATAATCCGACTGCACGCTCAATAAGAGACGAGAACCTCAACAGGTTAGGTTCATCACCTCCTAACTGTTGAACTTGGGAATTGGTCGCTTCCATTTACTTCCTGCAACTTGTCATCTCTCATCACGCCTTTACAAGCAATTTCATTACAATGGCGCACAATCCTGCGGAACCAATCGCTGTCATAGGTTTGGGCTGCCGATTCCCCGGCAGCTCCAACACCCCCTCCAAGCTATGGGACTTGATCTGTGACAAGAGAGATATTCTGAGAAAGATCCCCATAGACAGATTCAATGCAGACAGCTACTTCCATGAAGATGGGGAGAGACAGGGGCTGATGAACGTCAAGCATGCCTACACCCTAGATGAGGATATCAGAGCGTTTGACGCCTCCTTTTTCAAGATAAACGCCCGGGAGGCGGAGGCCATGGATCCGCAGCAGCGACTGCTCTTAGAAACAGTGTACGAAGCGCTGGAATCCAGCGGATTATCCATGGGTGATCTGCAGGGCTCTGATACATGCGTCTATGTCGGCAGCATGACGGGCGACTACCACGAAATGCTGATGCGAGACCCGCAAGACATGCCCAAATACATGGCCACAGGAACAGCACGAAGTATCCTTTCCAACAGAATATCATACTGCTTTGACTGGCATGGACCGTCCATGACCATTGACACAGCCTGTTCGTCCAGTCTGGTGGCAGTCCATGAGGCAGTCCAGGCACTGAGAATGGGAACGTCAAAGGTCGCCTGTGCTGCGGGTGCCAACCTGATTCTTGGCCCAGAGATGATGATTTCAGAGTCGAAACTGCACATGCTGTCGCCCACAGGCAGAAGCCGAATGTGGGATGCCGCAGCTGATGGCTATGCACGAGGCGAGGGCTTTGGAGTTGTCATTCTCAAGACCTTGGCTGAGGCAGTTGCTGATAAGGACAACATCCACTGCATCATCCGTGAGACCGGAGTGAACTCTGATGGACGTAAGTTTCACCGCGTTCATACTTGAAGACCAATGATTTTACTAAGATGAACTGACTCACCTCGGCTCAGGAACCAACGGTATCACGCTCCCAAGCTCCGAGTCGCAGACGACTCTAATTCGGCAAACATATGCTCGCGCGGGACTCGACTTGACTAAGGACCGATGCCAATACTTTGAAGCCCACGGGACCGGAACGCCTGCGGGAGATCCGATTGAGGCTCGAGCCATCCACGACGCTTTCTTCCCAAACAAAGCAACAGCCAGCAGCGACAATGTCCTGTATGTTGGCTCAGTGAAGACGGTCGTCGGCCACTTGGAGGGCTGCGCCGGTATTGCAGGCCTAATCAAGGCTAGTGAGGCCGTCAGAAGAGGCGTCATCCCCCCCAACATGCTGTTCGAGCAGCTTAACCCTGCCATTGCCCCTTACTACAACAATCTTCAGGTGCCTCGGCAGCCAATCCCTTGGCCGGCGCTCAAGGAAGGGGAACCGCGACGAGCGAGCGTCAACTCGTTTGGCTTCGGAGGGACCAACGCGCATGCCATCATCGAGAGCTACGACGCCGAAAATGTCCGGCCTCTGGTCTCGCAGTCGGAGCCCATCATTCCCATCCCCCTCGTGCTCTCAGCAAGCTCGAATAGCACGCTAAAGCGCATGGTGGCCAACACAAGGGGCTTCCTCGTCTCCGACACATCAGCTCCTCTGCAAGACGTCCTGTACACGCTTTCCGAGCGCAGATCCCAACACGCCGTCCGGGCGACCTTCTCGGGACATAGCAGAGCAAGAATCGCCGAGAAGCTTCAGATTGCGATAGATGACGACAGCTGGACAGGCATCAACGTGGAAGCCAAGGCGGCCCAGCCGCGCATCCTGGGTGTCTTCACCGGCCAAGGCGCGCAATGGCCGACAATGGGTAGGGAGATACTCAAGTCATCTCCTGTGGCGCTTGAAATCCTCAACAAACTGCAAGAATCACTAAACAGTCTGCCCGATCCCCCATTGTGGACGCTCAAGGATCAAATTGTTGCTGAACAGAGCACCTCTCGCCTGTCTGAGGCCGCCGTCGCCCAGCCGCTGTGCACGGCGCTACAAGTCATGCTCGTCGACCTATTGTCGCTGGCTGGTGTCAGGTTCGACGTTGTGCTTGGTCACTCTTCCGGCGAAATCGGCGCGGCTTACGCTGCTGGCATGATTTCTTCAGAAGAAGCTATTCGCATTGCCTATTACAGAGGGGTCCATGCAAAGCTTGCACGAGGCAACAACGGCAAGCCAGGAGCCATGATGGCTGTTGGCCTCTCGTACGACGAAGCATCTGAGTTTTGCGAGCAAAACTTCTGTGGCAGGGTTGATGTCGCTGCAAGCAACGCCCCAGCCAGCGTCACGCTCTCGGGAGACAAAGACGCAATTCAGGAGGCGCAGGCCATCTTCCAGGAGCAGGGGACCTTTGCACGCCTCTTGCAGGTCGACACGGCGTACCACTCCTCCCATATGCTGCCTTGTTCGGAGCCGTACCTGGAGTCTCTGGCGGCGTGCGACATCCAGCCGAAGCAGCCTCGCGAGGGCTGCACCTGGTTCTCGAGCGTATACGGGGATCGGATGGAGGGCGACATGATTGATGCTCTGACGGGAGAATACTGGAAAGACAACATGATCAACCCCGTGCTCTTTTCGATGGCGGTAGAACTCGCTGCAAACGGTGAACTTCCCTGTGATGTCGTGCTCGAGGTTGGGCCTCACCCAGCCCTCAAAGCGCCTTTTACTCAGACGTACAAACAAAGTGCGGGCTTGGAGCTGCCGTACCAGGGAGTATTGAGCCGTGGGAAGCACGATGTTGAGTCAATAAGTGAGGCGCTCGGATTTTTATGGACGCACCTTGGAACTCCAGGCGCGAACCTGGGCTCCTTCTCGAAAGCGTTCAACCCCGACTTCTCGCCTCGCCTCACCGCCCTCCCCGCATATCCTTGGGATCACTCGCAGTCTTTTTGGAAAGAATCTCGCAAGTCTCGCAATTTTCGCAGCAAGCCCGATTCTCGCCATGCCCTCCTGGGAGACCGATCAACAGAAGATATTGACCAGAGCATGGTATGGAGGAACATACTCCGCCTCGAAGAGCTGCCTTGGCTCGATGGCCACCGAGTCGAGAGCCAGATCATATTCCCAGCTGCTGGATATCTTGTCATGGCGCTTGAATCATCCAGCTCCTTGACTCATGATGCCGACCATGAAGTCGAGCTGATTGAGCTGTACGACGTCGAGATCGGAAACGCCATCCCGCTGTCGGATGAATCGCCAGGCGTAGAGACTCTCTTCACGCTGAGACCAGCGAAGCCCAACGGGCGTACCATCACAGCTGAGTGGGCATGCTACTCTCCTGCGGGCGTTGACACATCATGGCGGTGCAATGCTTCGGGAAGTCTTCGCGTCATATTTTGCGATGCCCACGGTGACGATGAGATTCTTCCTCGCCGTGTTGCCCCTGTCGCGTCCCTAAGCAGAGTTGAGACGGAGCGCTTCTACACTTCGCTGACTGAGATTGGGCTGAACTACACAGGTCCTTTTCGAGCCCTGCGAGCGATCGAACGCAAGTCCGGCATGTCGACTTCCATTGTGACTCAACAATCGGGGCTGCCCGCCATCATTCACCCTGCGGTTCTCGATGCGGCGTTCCAGTCCGTCTTTGCAGCATTCTGCTGGCCTGGCGACGGGACTTTGCGCGGTCCGTTTGTTCCCACAAGGTTGCGGAAACTGCGCATCGTCAGCAAACACCTTCTCGAGTCTGCGGGGGAACTTGTTGTCGACTCTTTCATCACTCAATCATCAGCGCAGAATTTGACGGCAGACCTTGGCGTCTTCGACATCGCTTCTAACAAAGGCATTGTGCAGTTGGAAGGCCTGACTTGCACCTCCCTCACCCCACCAGGCCCGCAAGACTACAAGGAGCTGTACACGCGGCCTCAGTGGGAGGTTGATATTGCCAGTGCGGTTGCCTCTCTTCCCACTACTGACGGAGATGATGCCGACGATCTGGAACTTGTTGACCTCTGCGAGAGGCTCGCGTACTACTACCTCCGCCGACTCAATGACGAGATTGATCGCAGCGAGGTTCCCGCCATGGAGTGGCACTTTCAACGCATCTTCGAATGGATCGATTACCTGTTTCCTTGGATCGAAGAGGGCACACATCCCACGATTCGAAAGGAGTGGAAGTCGGACACAGGTCCCTGGTTGCATCAGCAAAGAGCCAGATTCCCCGACCAGGTCGACCTTCAGCTTATCACGGCCGTGGGAGAGCACCTCGCCGAGGTTGTCCGTGGCCAGACCACGATGCTGGAACACATGATCAAGGACGACGTCCTGAACAGATTCTACAAGCTTGGACTGGGGTTCCAGAGAGCAAACGGTTTCATGGGCCGTATCGCTAAGCAGGTTGCTCATCGATATCCTCGTATGAAGATCCTCGAAATCGGCGCCGGCACCGGCGGGGCTACGAAGGGAATACTCGAAGCGCTGGGCACGGCATTCGAGAGCTACACGTTCACCGATATATCAACTGGATTCTTCGAAGCCGCTGCGGAGGCATTCTCTCCTTGGATCGACAAGATGATCTTCAAGCCACTAAATGCGGAAATTGACGTTCTTGAACAGGGCTATCAGGAGAAATCGTTCGACTTCATCATTGCCTCAAACGTGCTGCACGCGACCAAGTCATTGTCGGAGACCATGAGAAACATCCGTCGACTGCTCAAGCCCGGCGGCTATCTCCTCCTCCTTGAGGTCACTAGCGATATTGTTCGTGTGAAGCTGATGATGGCTGGCTTGTCAGGTTGGTGGCTGGGAGGCGAAGACGGCCGCCGCTACGGACCAACCATCACTAGAGAGCAGTGGGATTCATTATTGAGAAACACGGGATTTTCCGGTGTCGACCACATTATCAACGACTTCATTGACGAGTCCAAGTACATGACGTCCGTCATGGTCTCGCAAGCTGTTGATGAGGACGTTGCTCTCCTGCGACAGCCGCTGTTGGCCTCCGCCGAACACCACGCCTGGACCCGCTCTCCAATCACCATGGTTGGCGGAAGATTGGAAGATGTCGCATTCCGAACTGCCAAGGCATTATCTTCTATTCCAGGCCTGAAACCTCAAATTCACTTGGTCGAGAAGCTTGTGGATATAGCAGAAACATCCCTGCCCACGACCACGCTTGTCGTTCTGGAGGACCTGGACGAGCCTGTATTGCAAAGAGTCTCACAGGAGAAACTCCGCGTCCTCCAGGAGGCTCTTCCACAAAGCAGACAGCTGCTGTGGGTGTCACAAAGAGCGCGCTCTGAGAATCCGTACGGCAACCTCTCAATTGGTCTCTGCCGAGGTCTCTCTGCCGAGTACCCTCACGTCTCAGTCCAGCACATAGACTTTGACGACGACATCACTGAGGCTTCCATCTCAATCATCGCTGAAGCCATCATCCGCCTAGTGTATGCGGATCAGCGGAAGTTCAACGGCGGGGTTGTCTGGACCAGCGAGCCCGAGTTGCTCGTCAAGGATAACAAGCTGCTTACGCTGAGGATCATGCCCGACACGCTTCTCAACGACCGCCTGAATGCTCGTAAGATGGTCATCAAAAGCGTGGCATCTGCCAAAAGTGATACCATTGATCTTTGTATCATGGGCGATAGCTATGTTCTGACGACCCGCGAGGCGTCTCTGTTCCGGCCGGTCGATGCGAATCTCGTCAAGGTCAAGGTGTCGCACTCGTCCGTGTCTGCCATTCGCCTCAATGATGCTACCGCTGCTTACCTTTCCGCCGGCTACCTGGAGCACAATCCCGCCATAAGTGTCATTGCGCTATCCAGCACCCATGGTTCAACTATCAGCGTGGCTCCTGGCTGCGTCTTCAAGGTCGCTCAAGGCTCAAACGCTGTGACCATTCTGCAAGACGTCACAGCTGCTGTGATTGCTGACCAGCTCATCTGTGACATTCCGTTTGGGAGCACTGTCGTGTTGCACAGAAGCGACAAGTTTCTCGGAGCAGTGATCAAACGCAAAGCAGCCAAGGCTGGACTGAGTGTGAAGAATATCGGCCTTCACAAATATGTCTCCGAGAAGGTGTTGCGCGACGCCGTTCCTGCATCTTCACGACTTGTTGTCGACTTTGCTCCCGTTTCCGATTGGGCTGATTGCCTACCCGAGGATTGCAAATACTGGAACGTGCGAAACCTCTTCCCACAATCGCCCAAGGGAGAGCCAGTTCTTGCTGCAGAAGCTGTGAAGCGGCTCGTTGATCTGGCACAGCTGCAGCCATCTATCTTCTCAAAGGTTGATGTCGTCCCTCTGGCTGATCTTGTTAAGCAACCCGTATCAGCGACATCATACTCAACCATTGTTGACTTTTCCGATACTTTGCCTATTCCAGCCCAAATGTCCGTCCTCGATGCCTCAACGCTTTTCCGAAGTGACCATACGTATCTGCTTGCAGGCTGTACCGGTGGCCTCGGTAAAGCTCTCTGCCTATGGATGGCATCGCAGGGCGCCAAATACTTTGCACTCACAACACGAGATCCCCGCAAGATCGACCAGCTATGGCTCACGGAATTGGCTGCATTAGGTGCCAAGGTCAATCTCTACGGGCTAAGTATCGCGGACAAGGTTGCCCTGTCGGCTGTTCGTGACCAGATCGAGCAAGATATGCCCCCAATTGCTGGTGTTGTGAATGCAGCCATGGTTCTCTCCGATAGATCGTTCGGTGAATTGACAGCTCAAGACTTTCAGATGGTTTTTGGTCCCAAGGTTGACGGTACCAAGATCCTCGATGAGCTGTTCCACGACCAGCCGCTAGACTTCTTCATCATGTTCTCCTCCCTTGCAAGTATCGTTGGCAACCGTGGTCAGTCCAACTACGTCGCCGCGAATCTGTTCATGTCTACCATTGCAGAGCAACGCAGGCGAAGAGGGCTGGCGGCATCCGTCATCCACATTGGCATGGTCTTAGGCGTTGGATATGTGTCGTCAACTGGCATCTACGAGAGCATTTTGCGTCAGTATAACTACATGCCGATTCCTGAGCAGGACTTCTTGGACATGTTTTCTGAGGCCATCGTTGTTGGCCGACCCGAGTCCAGCCATTGCCCAGACCTCATCACCGGCTTGAACCGCCACAGTCTACGCGACGATGTGCAGCGGCCATTCTGGCACGAGAATTTGAAGTTCTCCCACCACACAATCAGCGAATACCGTCAGGCTGAGGCTACAACAGCAGAAAGGATGTCGCTGGCGCAGCGCCTAGCTCAGGCAATGACCACAGAGGAAGCAGAGAACCTCATTCGAGAGGGCTTTTGTGCCAAGCTTGAGCGGATGCTGCAGGCCGCGAAGGGGTCCATCCATGTATCGCAGTCCCTACTGAATCTGGGCGTTGACTCTCTGATTGCCGTCGAGATTCGCTCCTGGTTCTTGAAGGAGCTGGATGTCGACGTGCCAGTCCTCAAAGTCCTCAGCGGAGCATCAGTTTCAGATCTATGCAAAGAGGCTGCCGGAAAGGTGACAATTGGTACTGAAACACCCAGCGAAGTAGTTGCACCAGTGGTTGCTGAACAGGTATGTTGCGACCTAGAGCAATGATGAAGGCCTGCTGCTAACCTCCGCCAGAAACCGGCTCAAGTCCCCCAGGTCACGGAACCCATTCAACTGACTCCCACCTCGACAATCACGACGGCTGCTCAATCCACTACGCCATCTGTCTTCGACGGCTCAAGTTCCTCCTCCAGTCGCGGTGTTTCGCCCCCTCGATCATCATCTGATGTCATTGAGAATGAGCCCAAGATAACGCGGCAGCAGCTGCACATTGAGCGGGTGGCGGAGATGTCATTTGCGCAGCGCAGATTGTGGTTCTTGCGCCAATTTCTCCAAGATCCAACAACATACAACGTGACGCTTTCGTACAGCATCACTGGCCGACTGCGAATCAATGACTTCCGCAATGCTTTCCGACAAGTTATTGCACGACACGAATCGCTCCGCACATGTCTCTACAACGATCCAGACACAAATACGCCCACACAGGCCGTTTTCTCGGATGCGATCTTTGAACTCGACTGCAAAGCGGGCACAACAGTTGAACGCGAGTTTTCCAATATGCGCGAACACGTCTTTGACCTCGAAAACGGAGAAAATATGAGGGCAGTCGTCATCTCAAAATCAGAGTCTAAGCACTTCTTCGTGCTCGGCTTTCACCATCTTGCTTTTGATGGGTTCAGTGCTCAGACATTGGTCAAGGACCTGGCAATGTTTTATGCCGGGCGGCCTTTGCCTCCCCTTCGATACCAGTATGTCGACTTTGCCATCAAGGAAAGGACTCTTTCGTGGAATGATGATATCGCGTACTGGAAGGCTGAGTTCTCTGAGCTTCCCGAGACTCTGCCGCTGTTTGAATTCACCGAGACAAAAGCTCGTATTCCCTTGACTGAGTACAGTACCCGAGCTTTGACGCAGCAACTTCCTGATCGTATCGCGTCGCAGATCAAAGCGGCATCGAGAGTCCTGGACGTTACTCCTTTCCATTTCCACCTGGCCATAACGCAAGCGATGTTGTCTCGTCTGTTGGGCATCAGCGACGTCTGCATTGGAATTACGGATGCCAACAAGAACGATTCGGAGTTTCTCGATACGATTGGCTTCTTTGTCAATCTGCTGCCGATCCGCTTCAAGACAGATGGCACTCAGTCTTTTGCTAGCCTAGCGACAATGACAAAAGACAAGGTGCATAAAGCGCTGGCACATTCTCGGGTACCGTTTGATAAACTCCTGGATGAGCTCAAGATTCCTCGTTCAACATACCATAGCCCGCTTTTCCAAGTGGTTCTCAACTACAAGATGGGTTCAACCCAGTCTGTTCCCCTGGCAGAGTGCGAAGCGCGAGCCATTCGATTCGAAGATGCCAGAAACGCCTACGACCTAAGCTTTGAGATTGAAAACTTACCAGATGGCGGAGTGCTTCTCTCTCTCAAGACACAAGATTACTTGTATACCGACCATGATCTGCAGACAATTCTTGTTACATATACACATCTGCTTGACACATTGTCACGCGAACCAAGCTCGGCCATCAACGCAGTCGACCTTGCCCCTGCTTCACGTTTGGACCTCGGTTTGCAGCTTGCTCGAGGCGATACATACGAGCCAGCAATTTTCCACCTTCCCGGTTGGCTTCATCATTGGACCACCCAACAACCTGATGCAATTGCCATTAAAGACGATTCTGGTGCTGCGTTTTCATACCGCGAGACTACGGAGCGAGTCAATGACATTGCGGGGCTGTTGGTCGACGCTGGCGCCCAGTCAGGTCAGCGAGTTGGTTCTTACTGCGAGCCAAGCATCGATGCCATTTGCGCTCTTCTGGCGATACAAAAGATTGGCTGCGTCTACGTGCCGCTCGATGTGCAGAATCCGGTGCCTCGCTTAAATCTTATCATCAAGGATTGTCAGCCATCGCTTTTGGTGTATCACGACGCGACTGAACCATCTGTGAAGCATTTTGAGACGTCTGCATCACTGGTCTCCATTTCTAAGATTTCTTCATCAAAGACAACTGCTTCGCAGTCATCCGCGCTCGATCATTCTGCCACAGCTTATATACTCTACACCAGTGGTACGACCGGCATTCCCAAGGGAGTTATGCTGTCGCATGCCAACTTGATGTACCACATTGCCGGCGTCTACAACAAATACGGTCTGGAGAAGGAAACAGTTCTTCATCAGTCGTCTCTCGGGTTCGATTTGTCGCTGGCCCAAATCTGTCAAGCTCTGTACTCTGGAGGCAGTCTCGTCATTGCGCTGAAGGAGTGTCGACGGGATCCAGCGCTTCTCGCGAAGCTCATGCTTGACGAAAAAATCACCTACACGTGGATGACGCCAACTGAGTATTCCATGATTTTGAGATACGGTGCCGAATACCTGCGACAATCGACATATTGGCGCTCGGCTTTCTCTGCTGGAGAGTTTATGTCATCTAATCTGCTCAACACATTCCTGGGAATCCATCCTCCACGCCTCCGCCTCTTCAACGGCTGCGGTCCTACGGAGATCACAATCAACAACTGTATTGGTGAGAACGAGCTGAGCGACTCGGCGCCGCGTGATACTCGAAATCCATCCATTGGAAGGTCGCTACCAAATTATTCTACATATGTACTCGATGAGAACCTGAAGCCAGTTCCGGTCGGATTTCCGGGAGAGATCTGTGTCAGCGGCCCTGCCGTGTCCCAAGGGTTCGTTGATCGCGATGAGCTCACTGCTGCAAAGTTTCAGCCCGATCCTTACGGTTCTGGGCACTTGTATCGTACTGGCGACAAGGCCAAATTCCTTCCCGATGGCCGCCTTGTGTTCCTCGGCCGTATGATGGGTGATTCTCAAGTCAAGCTCCGCGGCTTCCGAGTAGAGCTCAACGACATCGCCAACACCATCATCAGGGCTAGCGAAGGTGTCATTCGTGATGCGGCAGTCAGCTTCCGAAGAGGACAGGACACAACCGAGGACTTCTTAGCAGCTTTTGTTGTTCCATCTTCAAATCAGGATATTGTTGCGCCCAGAGTCCTGGAACAGCTTCGAGACAAGTTGCCCCTGCCGGCCTATATGCGCCCTGCTAGACTAATCGTCGTGCATGACTTACCCGTGAACTCGTCGGGAAAGCTCGATCGATACGCCTTGGATAAGCTTCCAATTCCTGGCATTTCTTCGACTGCTGAGGTTGAACAGCTAAACGTGACACAATCAAAGTTGAGAGAGCTTTGGCTTAAAGTCCTGCCTGATGTGGATGCTGCTGCGATCGGTACCGACACGGACTTCTTCTCCATTGGCGGCAACTCTCTCCTCATGGTCCGTCTTCGTGGATTGATCGCGCAATACTTCTGCACAGAGATCTCTGTGTTTGAGCTGTTTCAATCCAGTAGCTTGGGCAGCATGGCTGCCAAGCTTCGGTCATCTGAGACTCGGGAGGTGATCAACTGGGACGAGGAGACTTCTGTGCAGCCTTTGTCGGTCACTGATAGCACTGCCCTTCAGCAAGCCTCAGACGGGCTCGAAGTCCTACTCACCGGAGCCAGTGGGTTCCTCGGGTCATCTATACTCAGTCGCCTTGTTGCAGACGAACGCGTTGCCATGGTGCACTGTGTCGCGCTCCGCGGGATTCGCCCTCTGGCTGTGCAGTCACCAAAGATTAAAGAGTATCCCGGAGATCTTTCAAAGGACCTTCTGGGTCTATCCGAATCCGAATTTAGGACTCTGTGCAATCGCGTGCACCGCATCATTCACAACGGCGCGACAGTATCTTTCCTACAGTCTTATTCGTCTCTTCGCAAGCCAAACCTTGAGAGCACAAAGACGCTGGTGTCCCTCGCCGCATTCAGAGGCATTCCGCTGCACTATGTTTCTTCCGCCGGAGTTGCCAAATTTACCGGGTTGGACGGCCTACCTCCTGTTTCCATTTCCCAGCACGAACCACCGACTGATGGATCAGACGGCTATTCGGCCACGAAGTGGGCGTGTGAAGTATACTTGGAAAAAGTGACGGAAAACACCAACCTGTCTATCTGGATCCATCGCCCCAGCAGTATCACGGGAGAAAATGCTCCTGATACCGACTTGATGCAGAGCATCATTCGGCACTCTCTGGCCTTGCGGGCCATTCCTGATCTCTCCTCCTGGCAAGGCAGCTTCGACTTTGTCCCCGTTGACGACGTTGCGGCAGGCATCACCTCAGCCTTATACGACGTCGGTCAGGGTTTAACGTTTGCTCATCATTGCGGCAAGCAAAAGATACCCGTTTATGAGCTAAAGAAGCATTTGGAAAGTGCAAACGGCATCAAGCTAGATGTTTTGAACTTGAAAGAATGGGTGGACAGGGCAAAGTCCGACGGATTGCTGGACAATGCCAGCGAGGCTATGATTGACGGAGTCGTGGGCGTTTCTGATGGCAAGGCGATTTTACCGAGCCTACTTTAGCTATATTTCCTCATCTTGTATTCCCTTCATGTGCGTGCCTCTCACTCCCATTGTTTGCCCAATTCGTCCCTTTTCCCTTGTCTTTCATGTGTATTTCTAGCTAGTAGTGTAGTTACATTCAGCACTTGGCATTTCTGCATCTACTTCTCAATACCTAAGGAGGGCAAGCTTTGCGCAACTCGGCGAAAATACCCACCAAAGGATGCGATTTTACACACCAACGTCAAAAAGCCTCGACGGGATTAATAAAACATCACCATTCATCGCCTCCTGTTGAAACGGGCTAGTTAGCCGCTCAAAGCCTTGTCAATTTAACCTTGCCCACCACCATGCCCATGGTCTGTTTTAGAGCCGCCGTATTTTGTCGGAGGATTATTGAGGCCCTTTACCAACGCTACGAAATACCTCCGATTCTGCTTGCCATGCCCGCTGTAGGTATATGAACAGTATGCCATGCCGTCGTAAATAATCGCAAGGTTGAACAGGTAACCCGCCGTCAGCCTTCATCCCCCCTTTTTTTTCCTCAGCGTCCCCAAGATGCCGGTCGTACGCAGATTTTCCTTCTCGCTTCTGCTCGCTGGGCTGTCCAGCGCAAGAGTTAGCTGCTCTCCTACTGGTACTCAGCCGCTCGACCTGCCTCTGGCTCTGAGTGAGCTCGGCTTTTTGACACCCATCTCCATTGGCTCGCCTCCCCAGTCGGTGGTGTCGTTGATGGACTGGACTTGGATCAACCAGTTCACCCTCTCGACGCTATGCTTGGGTAGCTCTCATGACACCTCGGCCTGCCTTGTTGATGGACAAGCTTTCTTCAACCAGTCCGAGTCGTCGACATTTGTGAACCAGACAAGTCTGTATCCTGCTCGAACGTGGAACCCAAATGGCTTCTTCGGCCCACTCCCTCTCACTGTGCAGTTTGGATCAGACATTCAGCATGTCGGACCCTTGTCTGCGCCGGTTACCTTTATGTTGGCAGATATGCAGTTCCCGCAGCCTAGCTCTTTTCCATTCACTGGCGTGTTTGGCTTGTCGCCTGTGTTCCAGACTGACAATCAGTCGACTCAATCGACATTTTATCAGTTCTGGAAGCAAGGGCTCCATGCAAGTCCAACCGTCGCATTTCTATATTGCTACAATAGCACTTTCGGGAATGCAGCCCCTGCAAGGTCTTTGTGCGCTGGCAATGACGCTGTGCAGTCGCTTGGAGGTTATCACTCCAACTGGATCTCCGCTGGCAGCCTCCAGTGGTACGATAGCATCATCTTCCCATTGGTCAACACCATCGACATTGTCACAAGCCCCGAGATCCTCAACTATTGGGCCTTACCTGTCACGCAGCACTTGATTGGGAACGAGGCACAGGCAATCAACAAGACGGCATCTGGGGCAGTCTTTGACTATGCTAGCTTTGGTCGTGGCGCCCCCGTGTCCATCAACAGCTATACCAGGCTGATTGAGCTCACGAGAGCCGGGCCCATCACTCTTGATCCCGCTCTGGCACCTAATAATGGGGCCCAGGCATTCTACTCCGTGCCCTGCTCAAACGTCACGAAGCTGCCCCCGCTCAAGTACCAATTTGGGGCGGGAACTCCCCAGTGGGAGATCATTCCCGAAAACTACGTCGAGAGGATTGCCCTTTCCAGCAGCGAGACGGCCTGCGTACTGAACGTACGGACTTTGGGCGATGGCGATTGGGTTATTGGCAATTTGGGGGAGACGTTTGCCAAGGATAAGGTGATTCTCTTTGACTTTGACAAACTGCAAATTGGCATTGCCAATGCTGTGAAGAAATAAGTAGGCCTGAACAACAGTCTTACTTAACGAATTTCTCTGCGACTAAAGAATGTTTATTTGTTGATAAGGCGAATGGCCGAGCGGTAGTCCTGAACACGCCAGAGAGAATGATAGGGTAGAATTGCAGAGTGGCATCAATCATAACTTAAGCTTACCGGTAGTGAAGGACCTCCTCTACGTACTACCTAGGTCCTAGGTAGGTAAGTTGCTTTCAAGCAGTACCTACCTAGTAACATCAATCGATTAAGGTAGATACAACTATATTTTGTGGTAGCAGCAGCCTAGTCCGTTCCTGCATGATCTTTGCACCCTTCCGTTTCTAGTAAGTTCTCGTGTCGTTCTTCACCTCGTTCCACTGTGTTGTGTACCCTTCTGGTTAATCTAGGTATTGGACTTCAGGCAACATTCATTTCAGCATATAATCAACATCTATATCATTTAATATGAAGCAGGTTTCTCAATACATTGTTTGCTCTCTGCACTACCTTTGGTAACGAAGTTCCACCAGCCAGAGCAATTCACATGCACACATGATTATGCAATTTTGATCGGCAACCGCCCCCTGTTTTCAGGCCTTGGCCACAAGACCAAGGTCCCCCGTCTTCAGCTTAGGAACAAAGCCATTGATCGAGTCCGTCCCGAAGCTGCTAATGTTCATCGTATCCTCCGTCCTCATCATTTGCCTGGCACGGATGTGATCAACGACAGTCCGTTGGTCAGGAGAGAGATCGACCTGGTAAGCTGTGTTGGGACACTTGCCCAGTTGCTCCAACATGCTCGAGCGGTCTTCTGGCTTCACGGGCTCGAAGGCGTTGCTGCAAAACTCTAGAGTTTTTTTGAGCTCCTCCTTGGACAGCTTAGTGTCGACGTCTGCTATACCCTGAATAACTACCTAATAGTCAGCAACGAAGCTACAATCAGTGAGACGAGAAGTTACCTACTTGGCCGGAAGAAAGCGAAGGCCCGATCATAGTTATCTTCATCAAAATCACTCAGAACAGCTTCCTCCTGGCTTCGAATCTGCCTGTAAGCACTCAACACAACAAGGAGGAAGCGAATGTAGCTGTCGGCAACCTTCTTCGAGTGCCAGTCGGCAGCCTCTACTTCAGAGACCTGTCCCTTGATCGCCGCAGAAATGGTCGTAGCTGCAGATAAGCCACCAACAAATGCGAGATGGACGCCAGAAGAAAAATATGGGTCGATGAAGCAACCGGCATCACCTGCAATGCGTGCATAAGGTATGGCATAGGCCGTGGCGCTATACGAGTAGTCAGATGCGGACTTGATATCTGTGAGTAGTTCGGCGTTTTCGAGCAATTTGGACAACTCTGGCGCGAGCTGTTTAAGGTTCCCTAAGTAGAATGTTTTTGAGTCAGGAGAGCCGGCTTGGGATTTGCGATTGGCGGACATCTTCTGGTTCATGACGATTCCAACAGACGTAGTTCCGTTGTGTAGGGGAATGAGCCACGCCCAGCCGCTCTCGTCTAGGTATCCGGCGTTAGTGACTTGGGTGACATACAGAAGTGAGTCGACATGTTGGTACGAACCTTGGAGAGCTTCAAAGAAGGGGGAATTTTGTCTCGGCGTTCCCACTCCATACGCCGCTGCTCCCTTCCAGTATCCCCAAGTAGCGACATTTTTCAAACCCTGGTTGTACTTTCTGTTTTTGAGGTATTTCGTACTGAGAAGTCCTACACGCCCACTGGCGTCTATAATATAGTCGAATTTGATCTCGCGTGACGTTTTGTCGTCCTTCATTAAATAAGTTGCTGAATAAGGCCGTCCAGGGTAGTCGTATGGCAGTTCCCCAAAGCCCTCGCAGGGCTCACCAATGAAGTTGATTGACTTGACTTGAACGCCATCAAAGGTCTTTGCGCCACTGCTGGCGGCATGCTGGAAGAGCAGATGGTCTGCCTCTGAGCGAACCACGTTCCAAGCGTAGTTCTGAGGACCGCCGGCGGCAAGGAAATCGGTATCTTACCCTAAGTAAGCTTCAGTGTACAGAAACCACGAGTTGAAAACTGACATCCTTCACGCTTCTTTGGGTTGAGCTTGAAAGCTGCGCCAACCTGCACAAAGTTTGGTCAATCTTCAGCTCAACGAGAGATTCTTCTTTATGCGGAGTGTTTAATCACCTTTTTTGTGAATCCGTAACTGTCAAAGACTGAGTCTACGTCAATAAATCTGAGGAAGTGGCGCATAGACGCCAGCATGCTCTCTCCGATATGATACCTGGACATGGTCAATGATGCTTCCCCATTCCGTCATTTCCGCTCAGAGCTCAGTAGAGAAATACCGTGGAAACTTGTCTGCTTCCAAGAGGACGGTGTCAACACCTTCTCGTGCCAGAGCTGACGCTGCGTATGAGCCAGCCGGGCCACCGCCAATAACGAGAACGGTACACTTTTCAGGAACGGCCATGATCCCCTGCAAATTATGGTTATGTCTTTGGCTTAACGATGATTGAGCAAGAATAGTGAGATGCGGCTACTAATGCATGCACTGAACGTCGATCGTAAAAGGGACCTATATGTACCTCCCTATTAGAACTCAGACAACTACGTACGATATCAAGAAAACGTCCAGGGTGAGCGGACGTTAACAGCACAACCAAAATCGACCATAGATGGGATCGGAGCAGATGAAGCACACGTACCTCCGCCGAGTAGTGTCCACTATCTCCGTGCACCGTAGAAATCAAAGCAGCGTGACATCGGAATATTACAATGTCATTTGTCTGTCGGCATATTACAATCCTGTCATCAGAGCGGGGCAACCTTGGTTAGGTGACAAGGCTGAAACTCGCCGCCAGCGAGGAAGGTTATGCTCTATTCGGCCCAACGATGTGAGCATCAAGAGTAGATTTCAAACTGGCCGACATGCCAATCTTTGTAGAATCATTATGCCGGGGGATAGACCCGTGCATTGTCACCGCGGGAAGCAGAATGACTGAAGAGTCTGCGGTGCCATCCAATGAGTGGAAGAGATGATCAGTGAAGGACGCGTTGATAGATGCTCTTACCGCGGAACATGATGTAGACTCTTGTGTTGTTGATGCATACAGGTGAGACGAGGCGAAGCACTTGGGCGTTTTTGGGGTAGTGGAGATACGTTGAATAAACGCCTGCGATAGCTTCGGAGCATTTCTGTTAGCTAACGTTAGGTTCAGATACAAGACATTTCTGTCCAAGCACTTCTTAGTGTCTTATGGGCTGTGGGCTCTGTTCTCCTTTCGATCTAACAGGTGATATCGCCTTTATACTGAGGAGGCCCGCGCAGCAAGTTTACACCTTACATCACCTATAATTGCATCGGTTACTCGCAACCTCCCTTGCGCGCACCTAGCTACAGGTGTAACACAGTGATGCCTCCAGCGGTAGTCAAGAACTCTGCTTACACTCCTCCCACGAAAGGCATCCTCTCTTGCCTGCCATCCTCATGGGTTCCCTATGCTGAGCTCATTCGCCTGGACAAGCCACATGGCATATATATGACTATATATCCTTACGCCTTGGGCCTACTTTATGCCAGCCAACTTACCTCAGAGTCGTTGCCTCCAAACGTGGTCCTGAGTCGATTTCTCAACTTGGCGATATGGACCTTCTTGATACGAAGCGCCGGCTGTGCTTGGAACGACAACGTTGATCAAGACTTTGACAGACAAACTGCCCGGTGCCGCGACAGACCGATTGCACGAGGCGCAATCTCGACTCTTCAAGGTCATGTCTTCACCACCGCTCTATTGGCTCTCGGGTTTTTGTCAATTCAAAACTTTCCTCTTGAATCCAAGATTGATGGCGCTGCAACTGTCTTATTGACATGCATCTACCCCTTTGGGAAGAGATTCACGCATTTCGCTCAGGTTACCTTGGGCCTAACGCTGTCCGTTGCTATCATATTCGGGCCGCATTCTGTGGGCGCCAACCCCTTGTCACAGGGCAATTTCTTGCCAACGACCTGCCTTGTGTCGTCCATCATTTTGCTCGTCATCTTCTATGACGTAGTCTATGCTCGTCAGGATACGGTCGATGATCTCAAGTCCGGAGTCAAAGGCATGGCCGTCCTCTTTCGCAACTGGATCACCACGTTGCTTTTGACCCTCATCATAGCCATCCTAACTCTTCTATACATCACTGCACGGTCTCTTGACTTGGGTTGGGTCTTCTTTGGCTTGTCCGTTGCAGGGCCAGCCGTCAGCCTCCTCACAACGATTGCCCTCATCGCCAGCAAATCGAGCAGTTCAAGATATGCGGGCAAGTTCTATGTGCTAGCCATTGCCAGCCTGCTCAGTGGCTTTACTATAGAGTATCTCAGAACGATTATGTAGCTTGCCGATGGTAACACATTTTACGAATTTACTTGTACCCACAGTTGGATGTGTTATAGCGATGATGTGGAGGAATAACGACGGCTTCTTGAGTTTGTCTACCTGGCCTAATCAAGCGAACCGCGGTAGCAGATGTGTCGCATAGCTCACTAGGAAAGTAAGTCGCAAAAATGTGAATAGAGGAAATGGAGTTCAGAAAGATGCCGTCACATAACAGGCACAATGAATTGCCTGTACATTACTAGCGAAGCTTAGGTACCTTACCTATGCAGTACTCTTGACCCAGATCGCACCATCTGCGAAGCCAACTGTGACGCCCCCCATGTGAGGATTGGGGAGCAAATTGCCAAAGTAGCCCAACCTGCCTTACAGCTCCTGCTATCGTTGTCAAGCCTACCAAGGTAGCTATCAAGTGAGAACGTAGAGGCAAGCCCGCAAGTCCCAGTAATCTGCACCAAAGTTCCGAGTAGAGAGCACCACTAATGGCGCCTGATAAACATCCCCGAAGATCATGGCAATCGCAGCGCTTGGCTCTCTGAGGTTTGGCGGATGTTATCGCACCCATCGATAAGACACCTCCAGCGACTACGTCATCATCTTGGGGGTTTCCATTGCTTCGTACCACCTCTGGCAGTTTTTGATTGCTCGAGAAAAACCGTGTGGTGCACATTAACTTAATTCACAAACGTTCAAAGAAACGCAATCTGATTACCATGACGATGCGTATGCCATTGGGCCTCCCACAGGCTGGCACGCAGCAAGCCCAACAACTGATACCGCTATAACATTCACTGTAGGCCAAGCCCGGCCTCCAGTAACCCCTGCAGTTCTCTTGACCACACTGGACATCCCTGGACCCTTCAGTCAACCGGGGCATTCTCTCCCAGGTTGGTTCTTGTCTCTACCAACATGACGCAGAAGCAGAGCAAGTCTCAATGTCATTCATCTGGCAGCTGACAATCTTCGACCGTTCACCACGCCCCGCATCTCCTTCACGCCCTGACTTCTCCTATGCGACGATCGCAGCGACATGCCGAACGGATGCCTCTAGACTTCGCGCAATCACCAGACCCGAGCATGCCTTGCCCCTGTGCCAGCCAACATCTCCAGGGCATCATAACCGAGGTCCGGCATTCGAGCCAGCAGTCAATCCGCTTGGATCTTGCGGGTGACCGGCAGCTGAATGGATATTTTTACTCTGTCTGCGAGGCATCCCAGTAGATTGCTTTACCAACCATTGACCACCAACGCTCACCTGCTCTAGATTCTCCAAACATCTACGACAGTCACATCAATCTCTCCTTCGACTGCTTGAAGGCAAACACGAGCGATTACTGCGTGGCGCCACCTCCGCGGGGCCCAGTTTCAGCTCGATCCCACACCTTCGCCCTTTACACCACGACTATCACGATAAACCCAGACCCTCGAAGCCCATCCGACCATCTTCCAGACATAGAAGCACGAAGCTCTCAGCGACGCACAAGGCGCCTGCGATCGACTGCGCCATCGACTACTGAACATCGAACAAACAATTGATGGTTCGGAACGTGCCACTTTACTTGCCTGTCCGCTACCTGTTTGGTGACTAGACAACAGGCCGAGGACGCTTCCTTCAATGCCCACGGCGGCTCAGGCTACTGTTCGTCGTGTGTATCCGAAGACCGTCTATGAGGGCGATACGGGTCGACACTGAATCGTTCTTACTCCTCGTAGCGGCAGAGAATGTTCAACGGTGGATTGGGGGTATAAGAGAGAGAAGCTGATATGCCATCAGCCGTGCTATAACGAATGCTGAAATGCTCCCCAGACACCTCCTTTCCCACGATATACGGGAATTGCAACGATCCTCCTCTTTCGCCAGACGTGTTCGTTACTATGATCCAACAACTCCCAAGGTCAGAATCAGCGGCATGAAACATTGCCGGATTTGGATGGCCACATTCTGCGTGCTATGTGTTTTCATATCTGGAGACAATGACATTGGTGGTCCCGGGGCCTGCAAAGCGTGTTGAAGTGTGGTTCGTAAGTTTCTGGACGTCGGATAATGTCAATAGGCCATAGGTCAAGTAGCGTTCCAGATCCTGTGCTGGATCACGTCTGGTTGGCATGGGGAGCTTTTCGGCTTTCAAAAAGCTGCTTGTTCGCCCGTAGCGAGCCGGAAACTCACGCTGCAGTCAGCAGTGAATGCCCGAGCTTTGCCTCACGGACAGGCTCCGAGAAGAAGATCCATACCCGCTTTCAGAAGCCACGGCTCGTCACATTTCGGGAGACCTCATGAAGGAGACTGGTTTCGCTCTGACGCTGCTCGGTCCCTTCTGAAATCTTTAGATGGTCACAAGCAAATGTATTGCCGAATAATTGGCCACTGAAAGTGGGACGAACGGGTAGTAGTGTCTGATGATATCGAGGAGAAACCGTTACCCACTACCCGAAATGGCATTGGTGTGTCCAAAGCGAGTGATCGAACTGAGGATCATATGCTTCCGATTCGCACAAGGCGAATGGATGCACAGCACCTGGTATTACTAAAGGAACACTTCTCTCTTGCAGGAATTGATTGTGCATGTCATATACGCCAGTGCTGCTGTTCATAAAGACGACCACTCCTGAGCACCTTCCACGCGGCACTGATACATCAGCAATTGCCAATTGTGCTTGAGTCACACTGATATTTGTATTGTAGATGCAATATACCATGGGTACAACTAATTATCTGGCTCAACATCGTCCGTGAACTTTACGCCCTTGCTTGCTTCGCCAGACGCCTTCTTGTCCAGGCTGATATTGTTGTTCAGCTTCTTCTGTTCCTCATCGATCTTGTCCTGGTTGTCAGCCCCCTGAGCCTGCTCAATCTGCAGGGCTGACACTTCGAGAAACAGCTTCAGAACCTTGTTCTTGATCTTGCCATTTTGCAATGCTGTAGCAGCGTCGCCGCTTGCAGCCTTGATCTGGTCGTTGAATGCATCGGTCTCCGCGGCCTCTGCTGTCTCGCGGGCGGCTTTGATGATGGCCAAATCATCATCGGAGACGCCTTTCAAGTTGTTTGTATCAATCTAATGACTGTTAGTTGGCGGCTAGCATGCTTGCCATACAGGCAACTTACTGGGAATTTTGCTTGGGCTTCACTCAGAGCATTCCCTGCCTTGCCATCGGAGATCTGGAAGTCGGCATATTGGCGGAACTGCAGTGCCCTCTTGTGTGGTAAGCTGGTCGGCAGGGCGAGGGCTGAGGCAGCTAACGAGACTGCCAGGTAAAGCTTTGTGAAGTGCATTGTGATGGTAGCAATGAAAGCAATGTGCGAGTATGAGATGACTGGTGAGATGGTGAGGGTTCCCAAACAAAGCGATGAGCAAGTCTTATATGGATATAGTGGATGAGAATGTTTGTTATCGAGAATCAGAAAAGGGTTGGCAACCACGGCAACTTTGCAGGCTTATATGTTTCTTTGATCAGTGCGAAGTCATCGCCGGTATATCGCTTAGCAGGAGGTGATGCCTTTAGCGTTTCATCGCTGTTACGGAGCACCTCCCTGAAGCTACCGAGCTCCTGGCCCATAACTGTTCGAGCTGGCAACGGATGTATCACCTTTTGTTATTTCCGCTGCGCTATAGAGATTACACGATGATACGAGCGTTTATTGTTTCAGGAAAGCGGTTGAAGGCAGAATACCGGCCTGGTGTTGATGAGAGCTCACATTCTGACCCTGTCTAATCATGTTCGCAGCGCAGCAGACAAAATTAGGGGTGGAGACACCACTTAACGTGAACCGTTTGCCAGCGTTTTGGGGGGTTCAGAGATGCAAGCGAGGCAACAGAATCACCCCATGTCGTCGCCTGAGACGAACCGCAGCTGCGTAAAGGAAGACGGACTGATAAGCTCCCGGGCGTCTGGAAATACCTTAGCGATATAGTCATTGGATGAAGAGGTCGGAATAGCAGTTTGTAAGCCCGACACCCCTGCCATACATCCAATCCACCACATCACTAGAAACACTACATGGAACGGGATGAGAGCAGCCATAATGACGCCTTCGGTTCTAACGTAGTACCTCACTTCCAACGGCATTTGTAAGGCGCATCACAAAACACTTTTTGCGGACGATGGGCAAAGCCTGCATTACCGCTTGCTGCGCAAGCCTACAGGGTAAAATTCACGGCCGAGCCATCACCTTCTTCATATCTTCTATGACATCGAGTTCAGCTAATCCGCAATGCTTTTTGCTCCGCCCCATGAACAGTTTGGACCCAAGCCATCCTCGATCGGATGAAAACCTCGGCAGCCGGAATCTTCGCCGAAATGACCCCATGCGCCTCGTCCAGCGTACCAGCCTTGACGGTTGTGAGATCTTTGTAATTGTCCGAGTCACGCCAAAGAGTGGTCCCGCACGTTCTGCACAAGTAATTGTCAATGCTGACTCTTGAATCGGCAGTCTTGCTGAAGACCTTGGGGTTGCCAGCAGTGATGACGAAATCCGAATTCGGGACGATGAAGCTAGGGCTGTAAGTGCTACCGCCGCAGTGACAGATGGCCTGTATGAAGTCCATTCTCAATGAATAGGCGCGAAATTCACAGCTGGGGTTGACCAACTTACTTTCAAGACGGGTTCCGCATCATACGAGTAGCGCACCCTTCTACAAAAACAGCCTCCAGTGAAGGGGGGCTTCTCGCGGAGATGACCTTTACAGCAGGGTTGCACCCAACAGTCGCGGCACGAGATCTCAGGTGCGTATGTTAAGCAGCTATCAATTCGCAGAACACTACTTGACTACGGGCTGCCGGCTCCTTTATTTATAATCACTACAGGCGTCAACGGTCAGTCGGACAAATTCGTCGGGGCTCTGCTCATACCCCTGAGCCAAACATGTCCAGTCTCCGCTAGCTGGCGCCGTGAACGCTGAAGACGCCCGGGAGATGAATGCACGTGTAGATGTTTTCGCTGACGAAACAACAACCAGCCCACTTACTATACTCAGACTGCTTCCTGGGTAAGTGGAACCGCTCCATGGGGTGACTGAGTATTTTCCGTTGAGACTTTGCGGTAACATGAAATGTACGGCATCGTCCATTCTCTGGGGTCGAAAACCCTAAAAAAACCGATAGCATCGTAAAATGTACACATGAGCAGTTGAATATCAATGAATCCCGCAAATGCTTTAGTGTCTGCCCTCATAACTCTCATCATCATGCTAGACAAAAGGTCCACTTCCGAGCCCGCAGGACATCCAGCCAGTCTATTCGAGCATCGTTCCACAACCGATTTCTCCATATTATCTGCAGGACTTCCTCCGCGGGAGCGATATCCGCGTTGGCCGCTTTGCCGGCTCCTGTCCACCTGTCCGTACACAGAGCCATCTCCTCTGGAGAGCATACTTCTGCTCCTGCCAAGAACAAAATAGGGGGGAGAGCGGTGGCTACTGTACTCCTGGAGCTAATCCTCTGGACGATGGACATTGTCTGCGATGCCAAGGCCGGCAGATAGACATGCTGGCTGGGTCACTGCCGGAAGAGGAGGATCATCAAAATCAGACGATGGCACTCTGCTAAAGTTATCAGGTCCAGTCTTGTGGAAGACTCCAGCGCTGAGGCCAGCTCATCGTCATGTTTCCGGCCAGAAACCTTTTGCTGAAGGTGCAAGAACTCTTGCTCCCAGACATGGCCTCGGGCAGCAGGCAGATCCCTCAACCGCGTGGTACCGCCGAACAGATCCTCGGACAAACTAGATAGGCAATTGATACCAGTAGAGCCAATTTGATTTTTCTGCGAAAAGAAGTGTTGCTGGTCGATATCAAAGCTCGGGGCGGATGTATGTGCTTGATTGTGGCTGCGAACGAGTCAAGCTGTAATGAGCAGAGGAGCCGCTCTGGACCCTGAACTCACCTCGCGTCGTGCGGTCAAGCGCGTCTTCCATGACCAGGCACATCCAGTCATAGTAGCGAAAGTGCCCTCGGATACAAACAGTCTCCCATGTGGTCCAAGCTGCGGCCACGCTTGTCTCATGCTGCTTCAGCAGTTCGCGCACGCAGTTTACCCTCTGCATCCATCTCAAGCTTTTATCCGCCCCCTTCTCCCCCAAGCCAATGGAGAACAACGTTATGATCTCCAGGAGCGAACTAGACAATTCTGCGGAGTCCCGGTTGTATAGAGGTGTTTGGATGGATTTATGAGCCAGCATCTGGCGTTGCGCAGCAACGTGACGAAGCTGCGATGCAGGGTTCGATGCCGACTTTGAGAGGTAGGCAGCACTGCAAGCAATGGTAAGGTCGAAGACGGCAGTGTGCTGAAAGGCCATGGGAATATATAAGCTTGTGAAGAAGTTCCCCGTAGAAGAGACAATCGTCATCTGAGGAATGATCACGGATATATAGTAGCTCAACGGGTGGCGCTCCAGCGCAGCCTGAGACGGGTCCAGCTCAGGTCCATATCGATGTTCTGGTGCAGGACTCTTGGGGACACATGTAATTGGAGCGGTTCCGGTTTTCGTCTCATATGCCCTATTCGTCGAGCCACCAAAGTCGGTGTCGTTTGACCTTGTGTCTGGGGACGCGTTCGTTGATGATCTCACCACGGCAATCCGCTCTCCACCCGCTGACTCAAGCTGGCGATTGTAGTGTGAAAGATGAAGCTTCTGTGGCCACTGGCAAGCTGCATTGATCCGTATACATGTGCGGCCGTTGGGCTTCGCAGCATCACATCTCTTCCGACGAGCACGGCATGTCAAGCATCCATCACGTGTTCGAGGGGCGTAATGCTTTCTTCTTGGATTTGAGCCTTGGGTCGCAGCAGCAGGCGGCGTCAGTGTCGATGTCCAGGCGTCTGCTTCGTCTGTTCTGGATGAACCAAGCGTGGCGTCGTATGGTCCTAAGCCTTGTCTAGGAACCTAAAGGTTGAGAGCCGACAGCCGTAGCACACCCAAGGCCAAAAGGTTCGTCGAATGATGCTGACTCTGTGGGGCTGGCTTCGATGCCAACACGAATATATATGTCTGCAATATCCATGACGTACGTACACACTATTGTCCATACTGTTTGTCAGGATGCAAAGTACATTCAGGAACAATACCATTCTTCTACAAGATGACGCCTTGTCTTTGAGTGTACGCAATATATACCTACATTCTTTGCACAAAATACCTTATTCATGGTCTATTTTTCTGACTGGCGAGGGGCTACTCATGTGATTGGGCCACTTGTGATCCGATCCTTGTAGATGCGACCACAGCTCGACATGAAGCTACTATGGGTTGGCGCTTCTAGAAGGGCGTATGACAAGAGGTGTGGAACACGGCGTTTTAGTTACAGGTGCGCCCTTCCGAAAGGGCGTATAACAACAAGTATAGGCCGGAAGGGGGTTTTTTACTAGATGAGTACCTAGTAAATAGATCTGCTGCTCAGGTACTTGCTTAAATAGGTACCTTGCCTTGAAAGTCGGACTAATGCAACGACATTCGTCCTGAACGACTTGTGGGATACGATTACGCACCTGTGAAAACGAAATACTGGTCTTACGTCTAAATGACTGGCCTACCCGTAATACGTTACGCTCGTCAAGAAGGTGATGCATCCAGGGTGCATATATTGCAGTTGTGTTATTAGCACCCATGTACTGACAGATATTACCTAGACGTTACGCTCATCCTGCGTTTTATTAGAGCTGCAGCGGAGGAGCAGTTACCTGGAGCTGAGGTTACTGCTACAGAAGAACGGCTTGCTAGCACACTACATTTTGGACCACCTACAAACGCCCCTCTTCCACCAACACGACTTGCGAGGGCACTACTGCTCTTCTCAAGCAATGCGGAACCAGCAGGCCTGTTGGTATTCTTCTACAATTACTCGACGTGGGCAGCGGCTCCTGGTATTTGTCTGGAGGAACTGTACGTCGTGCCAGACTACCGGCAGCATGGGTATGGACAGATGCTGATACAGGCCATGGCCTGCGCTGCTGAAGCTGCTGGCTGTATCAAGATGGACTGGGTGTGCCTCAAGGACAATGAAAAGGCGCTGTGCTTCTATGATAAGGTAGAAGCAAAGAGGATAGACAAATGGCATGTATTAAAGGTCGATAGTGAGGGCATACGTCGTTTAGCGATTAATGAAACATGGGACTGGGCTTGATTATACTGGAAATGATAAGGCTGCGAACTCTAGGTAAATGCTTATATTCTAATATCTCTCTCCTATCCACTTATGCTTATACAAAACATCTACAGTAGGGCTTAATTAATAATAAGCATGCCTAAACGCCAACGCATAAATAGACTAGCTTTATCTTTTAATAATAAAGACATTTTATCTTTAAATCGCAATATCTTATTTAAAAATGCCTTAAATTAAATAAAAATCACACTAAAGTCTTTATAAAAGGATAAGGATTTAAATAATATATAAACAAGGCTATTTAAGAAAGGATATTATATATATAAAGCAAGTTCCTTATAATAGCATTTATAGTATTATAATATAATATATATAGTAAATATTAGCCTAATTATAACTATGCTTTAAGCAGCTAAAAAAGTTAACTAAATATAATAAAAGGCATATTAAATAATTAATTAAAGAGAATTCTTTTATTTTTAATAAATAGCTTCTTTTTATAATCCTTATATATATCTATATAACTCTTAAGTGTATACCTTAAATTTAAAAGCATTTAATATATATCTGCACTTTATTAACTAAAATTAACCTTAAAGGCTGCAGCTAAGTGTTTAAGATTTATATAAAAGTATATATAAAAGCTAATTTTATACTAGCTATAGGTTTTTTTCTTTAATAAGGTTATAATTAAGAAGAATAAGGCTAGGCGTTTAAGGTAAGTATTTTACTATTATATAAGTTTAGTAGCCCTCTTTTTAACTTACTATTACTTTATAACTAATACTTTAAAAGGTAAGAGACTTAATAAGGATAAAGTCTAAGTAATTTTAAAGTAATTAATTATAGTGTTAATATTTTAAGGCGCTTTTAGCGCTTTTAAATGCATATTATTATATATACTTTAAGGTAACCTTAACTTAGCTTAATATAGTATTACTAGATATATAATACTTTAGACCCTGCAGTTTAAATTACTTATAATTCTAGAACCTAGATATATATTTATATAAGATAATACTTTTATATATAAAAGTTATTTAGTTTAGCAGTAGTTATATAATTTTATAAGAGAGTATAAAATTAAGATTATAAACTAGCTGCTATATTTACCTAACTTTAACCTTATTAAAAATATATAGAAATTAGTTAAATAAAAAATTATTAAATACTATTTTAAGCTTTAAAAGCTTTTGCAGATAGCTATAGTATTTAATTTATTAAAAAAGGCAGCTATAAAAGCTTAGGAAGAGATTAAAAATAAGGTATTAAAAAACCTTATTTATATAATATTAAACTAAATTAAGGCTATTATTTATGCCTATAGCTAGTATACTAAGTATTAATTATATTAATTAATGCAGAATTAATTAGGCTATAATATATATTAATTATAATTTTTTTTTATTTATTTAGTTAGAAAAATTAATATAAGGTTAATTATTATAATATATTACTACTTAGCTTTATTTAGGCGTGCTTGTAATTTTCTGAGACCTACTGTACCATGCTCTATTAACATCCGGAATTCCACACCATTCTAAACAAGTTTCGCTATCTAGACCGTATATATCTCTTTCTACTAATTCAGGTAAGGGCGTCAAGGCCCATGAGGTAGATCTCGAAATAGAATGCAATAGCGAGGCCACCAAGTCACTTACACATTCTTGCCTTGAATGTGGCATTCAGTTGTGCGACAAACAAGAGCAATGGCTCCCCAATTGCGAAAGACTCCTGTCGAACATCCAGCCCTAGTTCATCATTTTCACGAAGCCGTCTGGCAAAAAACCCATAGAAAAAGAAATTTGACATTTCGCTCTCACAATACGTGACCGCCTTGCTAGAATCTACCTTACTCATAATAACCGAATTATTCGAAAGCACGCCTCAAACCTAACTCGTGGTCTTCTCGTTGTGCTGCACCTCTCCAATCTCGACAACCTTGTCAACTTCGTCGTGGTGCACAACCTTCTCGACGGCCATAACGGCCTGGTCTGCGAGGGTCTTGTCCTCGAACACTGTGGAAACAAAAAGGTTAACAAACTCTGTCTATAAAGGCCTGAGTATGGGAAAGGCCTCGCAGGCGACTTACGGAAAGACAATTCTTCCAAGGTGCGACCAGCCGTCTCAGGAAACAGAAAGTAGACAAAGCAAATCTCGAACGCCAGCCAGCAGCAGTAGACAATTAGCCACCGCCAGCTGATGTTGTCCAGGCCGATGGGATTGACAAAAGTAGCGAAAAACCCAGCAAGACGCCCGAATAACTGGAAGACGGAAATACCGCGTGATCGCTCGGCATAGGGCCACAGCTCTACCATGTATGTGTATGTCAGGGCGTTGTAGCCAATGTTGTAACAGGGTTGGTACATGAAGATGAAGAAGATGGTGGCGGCGCCTGCAGCCTTGTTGGGGTGGCCAATCGCGTTACCTGCAATGCTGCGCTCCATGGTCACGGTCCAGCAAATATAGACGACGAGCAGACTACACGTGCAGACGAGATACATGGTGCGGCGCTTGAAGCGGTTGACGAGCAGGGATACGGTAACGCCAGCGACGAGGGACCAACAGGCAATGGCAACGTTAATCTTCTGCTTGAAGACGGACTCGGTCTGTCCAATCATGGCCAGAAGATCTCCAAGGTAGTACGAGATGAGTGTGTTGCCGGACCACTGGGTGAACAGGCCAAGGAAGCTGGAGATGAGAGTTCGCCTTCGCATGCCAGCCGTCTCGAAGATTGACATCCAGTTTTTCTTGGAGTACTCTGCCTCGAGCTCAATGGTGGCGGTTATCTGGGCCATCTCAGCACGCACGAATTCGGAGTCCTGGTCACCCTCTGCATGGTACTTGACGAGGATGTCGTTGGCCTCGGCAACGCGCCCTTTAGTCACAAGCCATCGGGGGCTTTCAGGCAGCATGAAGACGAACACGATCTGTATGACAGAAGGCGCCATCTGCAGCAGAGAGGGAATGCGCCAGGCCCAGTCACTAGCGATGCTATTGGTGCCAAAGGTTATGCCGGCAGCAACGATCTGGCCGATGAAGTAGGCGACGTTGAAGAGCGAGGTGAGAACGGCACGCTCCTTGGGGTAGCCGAGCTCACCGATGAGGGACGAACCAGAGACGATGCAGGTGGGGATGCCAAAGCCAAGAATGATACGGGCAACAATGTACATGGCGACTAAAGATAGAGTGTTAGGAAAATCCATTGTCCAGAGCATGAGCGATTTCTTCCATCAATACTGACCGTGCTGGGAGAACCCCTGGATCAGGGCACCAACGATCATAATGACGGATCCCCCCACGATGGACCAGCGGCGACCAAATTTATCGTTAACGATGGGGATGAAGGGCAGTGACAGAATGGCGCCTAGAGAGTAGGCAGCGGCAATGATGCCCTTGAGAGAGCCCTGGGGATTGTCAAAGTCTGTTGTGTCGTCAGCATAGTGGGATAGGAGACAATAAGTCAACATATAATAACTAACAGTCAACCCACGAAGGCACAATCTGCAGCGCGTTGATCATCTGGGAGTCAAACCCAGAAGTCAACTCAATGCCCATACATGCTGGGAAGAGAATGAAGTAGAGGTTCCGTAGGTTCGGCTTTCTATACCACGCAACCTTGTCCTCGTTTGCAATCTGGGTAACAATGGGCTCCGAGCCCTCTGTCTCCTTGGTGGTGGGTTTGAGGATTCCCATGGTAAACAGTGGCCTGATGCAGAACGGAAGGCACTTGAGTCCTTATGAGATTATGGCAGAATGTAAGGCTAGGCTGGTCAAAACCTGAGTGGGAAGAAAGAAGAGCCTTGAGGATGAGAAAATGCTCACTTTTTATTCTCGAGACAGGTCTCTCGTCGGTCTGGGCAAAAGGAGGCCAACTTTGGAGCCAATGGCAGACTTCTCAGCCAAGAATATCAGATTATCACTGCAAACTCGCACCAGTTACGCCGTTGCCAAGCGCCAACTAGCCGGGCTGGGGAAAGGGTTGCACACCCAATGCCCAATGGACTAGGGCAACTCGAGCTTAATTCTTTTCTTCTTTGCTTTAGTCGGTCTGGTCCTTCCCCTCAAAATCGCTGAGTGCGTCTGGGGATCCGGGGAATTGGGGGACGATGTTCTGTAGCGGGGGCTAACGAAGCTACGGGGAGTCTCCCCGAACCTGACTCTGGACCACCGCAGGATTCTGAGCTCGTAACCCCACACGAGCCTAGCGAGAGTATCGGGCGTGGCTTTTAGCCTCATCAGGCCGGCTATCCATGTCAACGATTGGGATAATTGGTCCCACGTCCATGGGGAAACTCCGAGCCTACGAAAAGAGGAAGGGACAGAGGCTAAACAAGTGTTTACAACTCCACATGAAGAGGACAGGAGAATGAGATAAGGGATTCCAACTTTCTCGCCGAATCACGCGGCTTACGGAGTACATGTCACGTTCCTAGCGTTTTGTCTTCACTAGTTAAAAAGGAAGGTATTTGAGAAAGAATTTCGAACATAGATGTGGTTCATAATAAAGATCACACCCCTCCCACCCTTCTCTTTTCAAGGTTGTCCCCTTCTCCCACGGCTTTATGTACTTCCCACTCTCTAATTCGCTCTTTCCATTCCAAGCCAAGCAACATCTGTGAGCAGCTCATCCTTCCCAATATGGGCGAATGGCAGGAGCAGATGATGGGTTTTGACGTGGAGGATGTTCTGTCTCAGCTGAGCCAAAATGAGAAGATTGCTCTCTTGTCCGGTAAGTTGCCCTGCCTAGTTCGCGGCTAAACTCATTGGGACAAAACCCTCTGCAAAATAGTGAATAACAACTAAGAACCTATAGGCATTGATTTCTGGCATACTTATCCCATACCAAAGTACAACGTCCCTTCAGTCCGCCTAACGGACGGTCCTAACGGCATACGAGGCACAAAGTTTTTTGCTGGCATTCCTGCTGCCTGCCTGCCATGTGGGACGGCCCTGGCCTCTACCTGGGATAAGCAGCTGCTGAAGAAGGCTGGGAAGCTGCTCGGTGATGAGTGCATCGCAAAAGGCGCCCACTGCTGGCTGGGCCCAACAATCAATACTCCCCGATCTCCTCTGGGGGGGCGCGGCTTCGAGTCATTTTCGGAAGATCCGTACCTGTCCGGCATCCTTGCTGCATCTATGATTCTCGGCTGTGAAAGCACAGGTGTCATCTCTGCCGTCAAACACTTTGTCGCCAACGACCAGGAGCACGAGCGGCGAGCGGTCGACTGTCTCATCACCCAGCGGGCTCTCCGGGAGGTCTATCTGCGACCCTTCCAGATCGTAGCCCGAGATGCAAGGCCCGGCGCATTGATGACATCCTACAACAAGGTCAATGGCAAGCACGTCGCTGACAGCGCCGAGTTCCTTCAGGGCATTCTCCGGACTGAGTGGAATTGGGATCCTCTCATTGTCAGCGACTGGTACGGCACCTACACCACTATTGATGCCATCAAAGCCGGCCTTGATCTCGAGATGCCGGGCGTTTCACGATATCGCGGCAAATACATCGAGTCTGCTCTGCAGGCCCGTTTGCTGAAGCAGTCCACTATCGATGAGCGCGCTCGCCGCGTGCTCAGGTTCGCCCAGAAGGCCAGCCATCTCAAGGTCTCCGAGGTAGAGCAAGGCCGTGACTTCCCAGAGGATCGCGTCCTCAACCGTCAGATCTGCGGCAGCAGCATTGTCCTACTGAAGAATGAGAACTCCATCTTACCTCTCCCCAAGTCCGTCAAGAAGGTCGCCCTTGTTGGATCCCACGTGCGTCTACCGGCTATCTCGGGAGGAGGCAGCGCCTCTCTTGTCCCTTACTATGCCATATCTCTATACGATGCCGTCTCTGAGGTACTAGCCGGTGCCACGATCACGCACGAGGTCGGTGCCTATGCCCACCAAATGCTGCCCGTCATCGACGCAATGATCAGCAACGCCGTAATCCACTTCTACAACGACCCCATCGATGTCAAAGACAGAAAGCTCCTTGGCAGTGAGAACGTATCGTCGACATCGTTCCAGCTCATGGATTACAACAACATCCCAACGCTCAACAAGGCCATGTTCTGGGGTACTCTCGTGGGCGAGTTTATCCCTACCGCCACGGGAATTTGGGAATTTGGCCTCAGTGTCTTTGGCACTGCCGACCTTTATATTGATAATGAGCTCGTGATTGAAAATACAACACATCAGACGCGTGGTACCGCCTTTTTCGGAAAGGGAACGACGGAAAAAGTCGCTACCAGGAGGATGGTGGCCGGCAGCACCTACAAGCTGCGTCTCGAGTTTGGGTCTGCCAACACGACCAAGATGGAGACGACCGGTGTTGTCAACTTTGGCGGCGGTGCCGTACACCTGGGTGCCTGTCTCAAGGTCGACCCACAGGAGATGATTGCGCGGGCCGTCAAGGCCGCAGCCGATGCCGACTACACCATCATCTGCACGGGACTCAGCGGCGAGTGGGAGTCTGAGGGTTTTGACCGGCCTCACATGGACCTGCCCCCTGGTGTGGACACCATGATCTCGCAAGTTCTTGACGCCGCTCCCAATGCTGTAGTCGTCAACCAGTCAGGCACCCCAGTGACAATGAGCTGGGCTCATAAAGCAAAGGCCATTGTGCAGGCTTGGTATGGTGGTAACGAGACAGGCCACGGAATCTCCGATGTGCTCTTTGGCAACGTCAACCCGTCGGGGAAACTCTCCCTATCGTGGCCAGTCGATGTGAAGCACAACCCAGCATATCTCAACTACGCCAGCGTTGGTGGACGGGTCTTGTATGGCGAGGATGTTTACGTTGGCTACAAGTTCTACGACAAAACGGAGAGGGAGGTTCTGTTTCCTTTTGGGTAAGTGTTTTGTTTCCCTCCTTCTATCAGTCTATGGCTTCTGTTCTTGTGATCTCTGACAGTCGCACAGGCATGGCCTGTCTTACGCTACCTTCAAGCTCCCAGATTCTACCGTGAGGACGGTCCCCGAAACCTTCCACCCGGACCAGCCCACAGTAGCCATTGTCAAGATCAAGAACACGAGCAGTGTCCCGGGCGCCCAGGTCCTGCAGCTATACATTTCGGCCCCAAACTCGCCTACACATCGCCCGGTCAAGGAGCTGCACGGATTCGAAAAGGTGTATCTTGAAGCTGGCGAGGAGAAGGAGGTACAAATACCCATTGACCAGTACGCTACTAGCTTCTGGGACGAGATTGAGAGCATGTGGAAGAGCGAGAGGGGCATTTATGATGTGCTTGTAGGATTCTCGAGTCAGGAAATCTCGGGCAAGGGGAAGCTGATTGTGCCTGAAACGCGATTCTGGATGGGGCTGTAGATTCAACACGTGAGCAAAAGCGATTGCGGAAAGTACCAGAAAAGCCAAGGGAGTCAAAGGATGGGAACTTGTGTCAATAGAAGATATGCATAGATGGGCATTCTGGGATGGTGGTTTGGCATTAATGCAAAGAAGACAAAGATGGATGTGATACAAGGTACTCATAGTGCTGCTACTTCTGTATACACTTAATCACAGCTTCTTAAGCCAGTCGAGCAGCACAGCCAGTTCTCGAATGCCCCCTCCCTGGTCAGCCCATGTCTCCAGCCTCTCCTGGACAGTGTCGACGCACTCTCTCCACATTGGAGGAACCAAGACGTGCGCCGCAGACTCAACGCCCGCCTGCTTGCCCCGGTAGGCCGCCATTAGGCACAGGGCGTGGTTAAAACGCACCCGGCACGCTCCCCACGACCCTGGGTGTCGGAAAAAGGGATTTTCGGTCTGGATCCGGTAGACGCTCAGCCGTAAACCGAGAGAAGCCTGCGCGCCGAATGTCTCCGCCTGTGAGCGCGTCAGGCGCATCCCACCATGCAGACACATGTACAAGTACGCCCGGCACAGCAGCTCGCGTACCTCGGCATATCTTTCGCGCATCAGCTTGACCAGCTCGGGCTCTTCTGGCGAAGGGTGCGAGTCAGGCGGAATATGGAACCTTAGGGCTAGTGGCAGGCAGTCCAGCCACTGCTGCAGTTGGCCCTCGAGTTTCTGCATCGTCTCGGCCAATCGGGCGGCCGTTAAGGAGTCTATGGTAGGTGAGAGAACGGTAGCGGCGCTGCGCGTACGGTTGAGCAGCCGCCGCAAGGATATCTCGGCAAGGTAGTAATAGTATGAGAGCGTCGTAGAATGCACCGTGGACGCATCGTGACGTGCGTCCACGCGGCTCTGTCCAAAACTCTCAATGGTAGGAAACGTAGGAAGAGCATAGGGAAACGATGACTCTTGCAGGGTGCATGGCGGGAGACCGTTCAGCTCATGGCGTACCTCGCTAAGGGCAGTATATCAGCATCGTGGTAAACATATGTACGCGGAGTCTACTTGCCACTCAGACTTGAGGCACGTCCAGTATAGCCGTTGCTCGAGGCCTATCACGATATGTCAACGACCTCATCCTTGACGGACGATGTCTGGAGTACTCAACACACATACTCTCTTCTTGCTTTGGCCGTTGCGTTTTCCCATCGGAATGCTTCAGATTGTACGCTTCCCACATCATAGACGCCGTTCTGAACATCTTCCACCCAGGTATTGGCTCGATATTATACTGATACCACATTCTGTTCGTGCTAATCGTCAGATCGTGTTCCACTTGATGTCAAGCTGGGGCACATACCCAAACAGGCAAAAACATACTACGCCGAGCAGTGAATCGTCCAGATAAGCCGTCGACATTCGTTTCTGCGCCATTGCAATGTACATCAGTGACTCCCTCATCCGATGGTCCGGCACAGCCATGGTCACCCGATGTCTGGGATAGATATCCAGCTGTTCGTGAGTCTCTACGTGTCGGCGCTCATCATCGGGATAATTGCCCCAAGCAGCTGCCAAAGCAAATACCAAGAGTACTAGACACGAGGTAGCTGTCCAACCAAAGCCATTTTCTAGAACGTATGCGATGTGAACATCCAGCTGGTCTGCATCGACAATAGGGTTCTTTCCCTGTATCTTGCTCATGTAAATGTCCCGCAGCTCAAACATGCGCTCTGGAGACGGGTTCGACACCTCTATTGCAGGGTCAGCAAGGCATTTAGTTGATCCACGAGTCTAGATTCAAGCGCTCTTTCTAGCATTTGTTCGCGACCATCTGCGTGCAGATATGTATAGACTCATTTGAAACATACCAAGATCAGAAGGTTTCGGTTTCTCGGCGAATTCCGTCGCCGGAAACGTGCTGACTGGTCTTTCCTGCGGGAATACGGACCAACCCAGAATCATATCAGAGCCCGTGATCGGGGTCCAAGGGGTGTCTTTTCGCGACATGGTCTCCAGGTTCTCGCCGTCCATATCCAGCAGCCGAGCCAGCTGGTCGGGACGCTGCTGGTGGAGGCCATTGCGACCGCCCTCTGCGAGAGCAGCTAGGAGCCGACCTTGTTCTTCCACCGCGCCGAGGATCTTCTTGCCCCATGTTTCGAATCTATGATGAGCAACTCCTTCGTCAGCATATGCTGTCGTCTGCCTCGCCCGGGTAAAAAAAAACTCGTGTCTCATTGCTTTTTTGCTTGCTTACATTGAGAAGGGGTCTTTATCAGGATATTTGCAGGACAGGCCGCGCTCAGCGCACTTTGCACATGTTGGGCGAACAGAGTCGCACCGCGTCTTGCTAACGCGACAGGCGTCACAGGCAGCCAGGATCCGTGTGTGGGACGGGATGTCTTTGGAACGCTTTCTCTTCTTACTACTATTCGTTTCCATGAGATTATCTGGCTGTGGTTGAGAGTTGATGTTGCTGCTGTCGCTGTTGTTTGTCTCCATTGTGCTCTAGTGCTGTTGCTGTTCCGTCTCTGTCTCCTCGTCTTCTTCTTTAGCCTATTGGTGAGGTTATTCCCGGCAAAAAATAAGCGGATTAACTGTCACCGAGGCTAGGCCATTTGCCTATGCTGAGACGTACGCGATGAGTTAACGGAACAGTCTCCTACTGGGCAAGTATAGAAACAATGAATGAAGACGAGAATGGAACGCGATGGTTATAGAGAGCCTAGCGTTCAGTTCGACATGCAGGAAGATGTAACCTTTCATGCGCGTCGATTAGTCCCGGTTTGGGGTAATTGAGACCAATCTGCTTCTATCCCACGTTCATGGAACCGCTAGTTGTTTGCTGCAAATGCGAGACAACATAATCAGAGGTTATGACAAGACGTGAGGGCTCCTCTTGGGCAATTCACTGATAAAGATCTGTGCAATTTATGATATCTTTCGGGCGAGAAATTGACATTAGAAGCTGTCGACGGCATGTGGAAGTGGAAGGTTGAATAACCGCAATGTCACCTCGATCCTGCCTGCTGAGATGCAGTAAGCAAGGAGTCAGCAGCACGGAATTATAACGGACCGGCCCGCACATCGGATTGGTTCGCTCTGTAAGAGACGAGGGAGCGTCTGCTGGCAAATGGATGTATATAAACATACCTTAGGTTCGGGTGCTTATAAACTGCCATTTTGCACTTTCGATTGTGCTAAAAACAGAGTCTTTTCTTTACTTCCCGCCTTCTTCATATGCACTAGACTCTTGAAGAGAAATGTGAAAAAAAGGAAGCATTTCAAGTCTCCGTTGTTCCAGCCAGCTTGGACGCGATGCTAACCGGTAATACATGCGTGTTATTACAATAGTTGCCTAACGTGGCCTCTTATCCAAGTCACTGAGAGTAACCCTATAATATATGTGTGTATAGATGTATTCGATCCTATTGCATTTGGTTCAAGCGCCTGCTGCTAAGTGAGTGCGTCGATTGTGGTGCCAACACGCATATTAGCGACACACGTTCGCTTTACTATACACAGGGAGTTGTGGACTTTTGAAAGCTGCGCAGAAAGAACATTTGCTATATGAGCTTATTGTACTTGCCTCTCTGGTGTTATCTGTCATTTTCGCTTGCTGGCCAAACCTGCCGTCACATCAAGATTGCCGTCAAGCTTAAATGAACTATTGCCTACCTACCGCTCGCAATTGTGCGAGAGCAAGTCCATGGACTGAGGCACTGCAAGCCTTTGTTTGTGCCTTTGCTCACGTTTGCTCTGCGCAGTTCATTATTCGTTTCCGGCTTTACCCGTGCTGAACAAGTAGCTAGTTCTTCCGGGCTTGTACCTATGCCCCCTCTCCAACTCTCCTTGAATTCGGCACCTTTTAATAAGCGGAAATAAAGTTGATTCACCCCTGCAGCTACCGACAACGTAAAGGCCGTGAGGCTTTGGTTTCACAAATGCCCGGAGAACTTTATCAGCTAATCCCCGATATTTCTTCTCCACCGTCGCTTCCGCAGATAAACAAAATCTTGGCTGGGACATCCCTTGTTTCAGGCTCATCAACTTCATTAGGGCGCCGATTGCCTCCGACTTTCGGGTAAAAGGTGCTGTTGCGAGTTACTATACTCGCAAAGATTCTACATTGGTTGATTTCGCGCTGAAGCGATAAGTTTTTAAGACGTAAGGTACCTCATATTTAACGGGATACCTAGGTACACGGGACTGGGTCCAGCCACGCCAACCACAAGCTGCAGAGCTCCAGCAATTGCTCAAAGTCAAAATTCGTGGGGTTCAAGCTATCTCTATACCTTTGCTCTACAATACGACTTCTTCTCCGGATATCTTCTCCATGCCTGCCAGATGGTTCTCAGTGCAGGTGGGCAATTCCAGAATTCTCTGCCCTTCAATAGGGCGTACTCTCTGCAGAGCCTCCTGAAACTGCGGGGCAGATTGCCAGCCTTTTACCGCGCGGGCTGTGAGACGGTAGCGCTGAGATGAAACAGGACTGGTGATAGTATATTGTAGACAACAAGGGGGGATATCGTGTACAATGGCTTCATACTCTGAGCGATGTGAATCCATTGATATAGAGTCCTCCTATTTGCACTGTAGCATATCTCTATTTGAACCGTAGTGGTCTGTGCACAGGGCAAAATTACTGTGCACACACCGTCAAGTCCATCACTGCACACCTAACTACAGTGTGAGCTAATGGCAGGCTTGTCTTCACACAACACCACACAAGGTCACGGCTTCAGTATTTTCAACTATCGCAGCCAACCTCAGAGCGGACCTCAGAGCAGACCTCAGAGCAGACCTCAGAGCAGACCTCAGAGCAGACCTCAGAGCCGACCTCATCGCAGCCGGCCACCTAATTACCGCGCGAGATTAACGGCGGCACTTATCATCATCCCAGGATGAAGGAGGCGGCAGCAGAGACAGTAGCAGAGGCAGCAGTAGAGGCAGCAGTAGAGGCAGCAGTAGAGGCAGCAGTAGAGGCAGCAGTAGAGGCAGCAGTAGAGGCAGCACTAGCAGATACCTTACTCTAGTGTTGATCCTGTATGCCCTCTACCTTACGATATCTCTGACGGTAATGAATTCCAGTGTGCAACACTGTATTCTAGTGCCTGGGTGTGGGATATTCTACCTAGGGGGTTGGTCTAGCTGGTGGCACAGACCACTACGGTTCAAATAGGAATCTGTTACGGTGCAAATAGGAGGACTCTTGATATATAGCCGGCGATGTCTTACTAGCAATGATCCCGCTTCCAGTTCTTCAACACTCTTTTCCATCTTCATTTTCTCATTCTCTTCTGTCACTCCAGAGTGTAACGCATCGCCGGACGATCGCCTCTTGCCTCTTTTACTTCGTCTTGTATTGATTGCAATTCTTCTTTATTTCTTTCTTCTTTTTGAACTCTCCATCTTGCAAAGATTCCTCACCCTCTGCACGGACTATAAAATGAAGTGCGGCTTTCTCCTTTCTCTCCTCCTCGCCATCACGGCAGAGGCCCGCTTCGGTCAGGAACAAGGCAATGGCGCCATCGCCGCCATCGGGGCGTTGACAGACCTCGGGCAACCAGGCCAGGCCGCAACCCTAGCCGGCACTTCAATCCAGTTTCTCCTCGCTGCCGCAAACCCTTGCGGCAAGCTCACCCAGGCCGATCTCATCCTCACCCAGCTGGGAACCAGCGATGCCGCCGTCGCAGCTGCTCGGGGCCTGGTGGCGGCTGAGCAGAATTTCAACCCTTTTGTTGTCAGCGTGCCCTCCATCTGCTCGGATCCCACGCTGCCCAAGTCGCCTGAGCTCCGCGGCGTGGTGCCCTTAGTCGACCCTGCAGTTGGCGGGTCGGACGTCGAAAACAAGAACGCGGAGGCATCCAAGACGAAGCCCTTTGCGGCCGATGGTCTTAGCGTTGCCCAGGTCATGATCAACAATGGATTCTCAAACTTTACATCTGTAGCCGCAGATGGTACCGTGGAGCAGGCCGCGGGAGGGTCGGGAGCCGGCTCATCATCCAGTGCACCCGCTGCTTCTGCTTCTGCTGCTCCTTCGGCTACCGTGGCGAACGGACAGGCGTGCAACAGTATCCCAGTGGCAACGACGATGATCACCATAACCAGGACGGCTGTTGTAGCTTCTGCGACTGCCCAGGCTTCCAGTGCACCACCGCCGGCTTCTTCCAACACCAACACAGATGCTCAAGCTGGGAGCTGTACTGGCAGCGGCAGCACCATGGTGTGCTCGGCTCCCAAGAGCGGCTCCGGCGCCGTGAAGAACGCCGTGACCGGCAACTTTGATGGCTTCGTGGCCTCGACCATCGAGGGCCTTGACTTTGGTCTCTGCGTGCCCACCATGAAGTTTGAGGCCGGGCTTAATGGACGCTCAGACACAGAGTTTACCTTCCAGGCTGTTGATCCCCTGGTCAACAAGGGCCAGCAGGAGGCGCTCAACCCCAACATCATCACCAACCGTATTCACGACCAGTTAACCAACGTTTGTGGAGCGAATGCGGCTGCAAAGGCAGCGGCTGCAGATGCGCAGGCCAAAATTGCGGCGCTGGGAACAAGGAATGCTGACACAGCCAACACTTGGAATGAGCTCCTTGGATTTGCAGGTGCCAACATCAATCCCGACAATGCTCCTCAGACGGGACTGATCGGGCACACGTAGAGTCCGGCAACCTATGGACTTGCCCTGAGTGTTGACGGTGGCGGGGAAATTATGTGACAAGTATCAAGATTTTGTTACAGATAGAGATACAATAAAGTCTATGCAAGGTGGAAATTTGATTCATTAATAACTAGATCTAAGAAGCAGAGTGATGAACATGCCAAATTGCTCTCCATCCCAAAATACCTTTACAGTGACTTGTAAACGCAACCGAAGATGTGATTCCTCGACGGTCTACACTCAGGCTGAGGGCGTACCATGTTTCGGACAGTCGATGGGATTGTGCCCGCGAAGCCACGGGTGCCGTGTAGGACTGAATGTAGCTATGCTACCTGGCGCGAGTGAAATTCAAGGCAATTTATGCCGGATTGGCCAGAGATTTTGAGAAAATGACTGCTTTTTGCGAAACAAAGACGCAACATGAAGTTGGGTAAGCCAGCATCCTAGCTATTTCAGTTCAGCCAAGCTATGGCGTCGTCTGTATATTTCCCGGTTACGACCATTCGATGAGGTATACAGTCTTGCAATTTCTTCACATTAGCATCCGTGCCGTTCGCACGAGGATAAAACGATGTCGGCCTCTGGGGAAGACTGTGTGTATAGGTATGCAAGTCCTTTGTGAAAGGCGAAAGAGACAAGACATGCGTTTGTAATCTGTGATGTTGTGCTATCCAATGCTCTGCAGTGTACAGTTTACATTTCACCGCGATCTATGGAGAGAGATAGTTAGAACACAGATTGTGAAGGGTTCACAGGTGGGTGCCGAGATTGGTTGTTAGAGATGTTGATGAGAGCGAGGCATAAGGAACTTTCAGTGAGTTCTGTTTACGATTGTATGTCTAGGGCGGCAGGATTCGACGTCTGAAGCGGAGGTGACGGTCACTTTGGTAATACTTCAACCGCTTTTATCCACGTGGTGCTTGTCTCCTGCACAATTAAAGAAATATATGCACATTCTTCAAAGATGCAGATTACTGTAATCTTGCATAATAACAAGGGTCAAGCGTCACTTGCTGACCACAGAGAGTAATTCAAGTATTTGTTCATAGAGCAATGTGTATTCTTCGCTTGCTGTTTCTACAGAGATGAAATTGAGATCCTGGTCTCTTGTGTCTATACTCAGTTGACAACCTTCAAAGTCTCGCTAAGAGGCAGCTTCTCAGGGACTTTCTCAGGATGAGGTTGGGCCTCATCACCATAGTTTAGGTGGGCCTTTAGCGAGTAGTCCTGAGGCACATCAAGGTATTGCTTAATGACAGCCTCAACTGGAGGGATGGCCTGCAGATGCTGCAGATTAGCACCTAGGCCCTCCAGCTCGAGTGCTGTCCAGACTAGGATTTGAGCCATGCCAGTGGTGTGTTCAGCGAATTGAGGGAACATATGGGCACCCGAGGCATGCTTCTCGCCAGCCTCCTTAATACTGTTGCCGCTTTCCCAGAAAACAACCTTCAAATTGCGTGTTAGTACTTAATAAGCGAGTATGAAAGGAAGTACCTTAGGTTGTAGTACGTACCGAGCCATAAGCTCCTTTGTGGGCAGCAAAGATGCCGCTCATTGTCTTCCAGACCTCCTCGCCGGCACCCTTGAGAATTGGCTCGGCCTCCTTGATAATAGCATCCCACAGTCCCTTGTGCTTCTCACCAGTGACGAGAGTAATTCGGACGGGCTGAGTGTTATAGGAGGAGGGAGCAAATGAGAGGACTTCGCCGAGGATCTGCTCAACACGCTCGTCGGAGACGGCAGATGTGCTCTTGAGGCCGTAGACGGTACGGCGGTACTTGGCGGCAGCGAGCCACTGATCGGCAGAAACAGGAGGAGCCATTGTACTGCGCCAAAGTTGGTCTTGCTGTTAAAGGGCAGTGAAGTCGGTTCAATTGTTTGAGTTCTTTGAGTGAGTGATGGCGAGACTGGTTTCCAAACCTCGAGAGGCGAGATTGGTATAAATACACAATGCTGATCTCCATCTTTAGCGTCCAACTACCTTACGATGAGTTGCTGCATCCCCATGTACCTGGCTCCAACAGCATCCGAAGTCTTCCATAACCTGCAGTCTTTTCCACGACACTTCGGCTTTCGAAAATTGGACTGCAACGTAAGCTTGCTGACATCGGGTTTGTAATGAGACAACGGAGGCTGTCGCTTGCAAGCGAAAGGCGTGAGATTTCGGCAAATAACCGCGGCGATTATATAATTCCCGCGCGGTTAATGCTCTACAAGAAATCAGCACGCTTTGGCGCCTCAGATGACACACCCGCGCGATTGATTAATAAGACCCGAGCCATTATCCATGAAGCGGAATCAGGTGCCCCATCCTCGAACTCTCCTTCAGATTGCGAAGTCCGTATGCCGTAATGTGTGCGGTCGTGAGGGTGCATGCTGCGGTTGGTATTCCGTAGATAAGAGGTCCTCGAAGATACGTCTCACTAATGGCAACACACTGTACCACACATACAGAAGTTTTCATCTACTCTTTGTCAATCCCTGTCAACCTATCCAAGATGCATTGCACTGCAATTAGTGAGGTGGAAGTTGATATAGGCCAGTGCATATAGAAGCTGATGCCAAGTTGCTTTATCTTTTCTCTAGCCTCGGAGTCCATCATAGTCAGCAAGCCGTGGATAGATGCCCAGGGCAAGGACTACGAGTTCATGTGATCAGGTCATGAGGGAGAATGCGAGCCGGAGCGCTCCCCGTTGCCGTTCATGTCGTCAAGGGGAATGTCGGTGCCTAGTTTCCTGTATCCTTTCCTCGCCCTGTATCGCTTCAAGCCATACTTGACGCCATACATAAACCCGAAGACTGCCAATGACACAATTGCAATGACCACAGTCGCCGAGGCCCAAACCCTCCACCCGCGCAGGCAGCATGGGTATAACAACATGAAGATACCCACCATCCACTGCATCCAAGTTATCTTCCCTGGATGATTGGGAGACAACTTTTTTCGCACGAGTTGCTTAGAAATCGGCCCCTGCGGTCCTGAGACGAATCTCTTGAGACCGAAATGAGGGACAGTTTTCTGACGAGAATCGCTATCGGGATACTGCGCGTCACCCCAAAGTCCAGTATAGTAGAAGAAAGACGTCAAGTTTGATCCTTTGGACACGTTGGATTCGGACTGGAAGAGGTGCGTCAATTGGAAAGTGGCAGGATTGAGGTGATAGAAATACGCCGAGAGAACGGGATCCCAGAGCCGTCCAGCATCGCAATAGTCAATCAGCGCTGAATCATGGATGTGATCCCTGTTAATAAAGCTGCTAGTACCAAGCATTCGGTGCTACGAGTGGCAATTGCCAAAGTGGACATGCGGACTCACCCAGGCGAGGCATAATTCGCGTGAGAACCGTATGCGCTGAAGACCAAGGGCTATTAGAGGTTAGAATTGCAGACTGTCCGTCGATTTTGTCAATAGGCATTCATGCGAACATACTCGGTCATCCTTCATTGAAAGCGCCTTGTGATCCCACTTATATGCAGCACCAGTTACATGCTGACTATACCAGATGCCGATGGGCTTTCCATCGCGAAAGCGGATCATATTATGCTCCCTTTGATATGCAGGCATTCAGTCCGATGAAAGTGCGTTAACGACTAAACGGCATACTGACCAGTCGCCAACGTGATCTCCAAAGTGCATTCCATGCTCTGTGTCCTCAATCAAGCGATTAAGAGGCTCCAGGACCTGTGTGATATTCGCGCCTCGATCGTAGGAGTAGAAGTAGAAGTAGAAGGCGTCAACGGTCCGAGCATTGTGTTCGACCAGAATAACAACACAGGGTGTGGCGTTTGCGATGCGGCCAGACTCGTCCGGACTGGAACCATACAGCCATGCAGGCAACGTCGTGATGTCGTCATTGGACGTTAAGGCGACTTTGCCGCCGACAATGTCATTGAGGATGGCGAGGTTGTCAAGGTCGAGCTCGGGCAGATTGGGGATGGTCGTCTGGTTGATCGCTGGGGCCGTATGGCGGATGTGTTGGAGCAAGTCTGCTGGTCGAAATGGGTCGTCTGAGTGAAGCCAAACGAGCGGTGCTGTGTTGGGAAAACAGGAGAAACAAGTAGTCAGCCATTAATTACACTCAAGCGCAGGGCTGAAGCTTGCAGCTGCGGCATATTGGCTGCATACCGTATCGAGTGACATAGTCGGGCACAAGGCGATTTGACTGGGCCAGGATTAGAGCTGCGCCCTCTTGCGCCGTCGGTTTGCAAAGGACATAAGGACACTGCAGTGTTAATATTACAATGCTCAGGCCATAGAGCTGCTGTCTAAAGGAAGATTGGCCAGCCATGTTTAATCTGCGACCAGGCTCTAGAAGCTGGAGGGATGCGCTGTTTTATACACTTAGCCGGAACTTCCGGAACTCTCTTTTAAATAAGAGTCTAGGTAAGGACTTATAATAAGATCTAGCTAATAAGCACTTATAATTTATATAGTAAGTACTTAAAGAGTATTTTTATATATATAAAAGATATAAAGTAAAAGTAAAGTTTTTTATAATATAAGTTTATTTATTTTAAGTCTTTTTATTTAAATTAAAGTAAAGTTTTTATATATATATTATTAAGTTTATTACTATATACTTACTCCTAAAATAAGCTAATAGTATTATTATTATTTTTATATAATAATATTATATAAAGTTATAGCTTTAGTTTTTTTAATAATTATAGCTATTTTTAAAGCTAACTTTAAAGTAAATTTTATTATAGCTAGCTACTTAACTATAGTATAAAATTAATAGTAATATATATTATTATTTTAAAACTAATAAAGTAGCTATAATAGTAATAATAATAATAGTAAAAGCAGTAATAAAGGCAGTAGTAAAAGTAATAGTAAAAGAAGTAGTAAAAGTAATAGTAAAAGTAGTAATAAAAGCAGTAATAAAAGTAATAATAAAAATAATTATAAAAGTAATAATAAAAGTAATAATAAAAGTAATAAAAAAAGTAATAATAAAAGTAATAATAATAATAATAATAATAATAATAATAAAAGTAATAATTAAAGTAATAATAAAAAAAGTAATATTATTTAAATTATATTATATTACTATTTAAATTATAGTAATTTATACTTATATTAAAATTACTATATCTGCAGGTGCTTTATACCTAGGGTTAAGAGAGAAGAGAAAAACTTAGTAAAATTTTTTTTTTCTCTTTTATTTAATTTTACCTTTAAGCTTATAAAAAACTAACTATATATAGGCTTTTATAAATAAAAATAATACTATTAGAATAGTTAAAGCTAGGCGGATTTTTATATATTTATATTTAAGCTATACCTCTTTTAGTTAGCTTAAAAAAGCTAAAAAATAAAAAATAGTATTTTTATAATTTTCTTCTTAATTAAGTATAGTATTAATAAGGGGTGGGGCTTAGGACCTACTTAAATAATTAGCTTAAAATCTAGTTAGTATCCCTACTAGTGCCTTTCCCCCTGCAGTACTTAAGCTTAAAAGGTAGTAGTATAAGAATCTTTACTTATAAATAACTAGGCTATTAGTAAGTGTATTAAGCTATAAGTAGTATTATTAAAAAGCTAATTTTTTAATAGATTTTTTTATATAATTTACTATTTTATATCTAGTCTAGTTAGCTTTTTATTTAAGGAAGAAAATAAGGTATATTACTTAAGAGGTAAGGTATAGCTTACTTAAGTAAATAATTAGCTTAAAATCTAGTTAGTATCCCTGCTAGTGTATTTACCCTTACTACTTTACCCACTTACCTTTTACTTAAGTAAGCCTTAAAGAAGAAAAAAAGTAAAAAAGGCTTTTTACTTATAAAAATTAAAGTAAAATAAAATAGCTATAAATATATAAAAAATAGCTTTAAATAGCTTATTTTTTACTAGATTTTTATATATTTTTTATATAGCTATTTTTACTTATATAAGTATTTATTTTTACTTTATAAAAAAAGTATATTACTTTATACTTATAATATAAAACTGCTATTTATTATAAAATAAAATAGCTAAAAATATATAAAAAATAGCTTTAAGTAGCTTATTAAGTATTAAAATTATATATATTTTTAATATAACTATATTTCTTTAATAAATAGGTATTTTAAGCTTTATATATAAATATAATAATAAAATAATATATTATATAGCTTTTTATTAATAAATAAAATAGCTAAAAATATAAAAAAAATAGCTTTAAAATACTTATTTTTAATTAGAATTTTATATATTTTTAATATATAAGATCTTTTACTTTTTTATAAGCTTCCTACCTTAAATTAAATTTTTACTTTTTTTTACTATTTTACTATATCTTAAATAAAGGCTTTAAAAATATAAAAAAAATCTTCTTATATATTATAAGCTATAAGGATTATATATATATTTTTTTTTAATTTTTAAAGTAAGTATTAAAGCTAGAATTAAAGTTTTAATTTTTTAAGGCTTTATTTAAAAAAAGGCAGTAATAGCTTATAAAAGAAATTTCTTTTTCTTTTATACTAAAAGTACTTTTTTTTTAATAAGGTTAGGGTTAGGGTTAGGGTTAGGGTTAGGGTTAGGGTTAGGGTTTAGGGTTAGGGTTAGGGTTAGGGTTAGGGTTAGGGTTAGGGTTAGGG